AACGTATTTTCTTGTGGTCGTGAAACTTAAACTCTTGCCACTGTAATTAAAATGCTCTTGATTTTATTATTTTAGTAAAACAACTATTTAAAACGCTTCAAAAAAAGACCGACGATACTGCACGCTCCTAAGGGAAATTACAGACTACACAAAACAAAGCGCTGCAACTTGCATACTGAACAAATAAACCGGCCTAAAACGGGATAATATCAAAGTCCGTAATATATTATGTAAAATAATGTGTACATATATATATATATTGGTAGTACTCGAATAGTTTCGTAGCCATGCTCTTATGTCAAATCGCTCGTATCTCAAAGCATTTTTTTTTCTATGTAAATACATTGAGATGCATGTCATTAATTCGTTTTAGCATAGTGTTTATTGTGAACTCCGACATACGAATGTAATTTGTAGCGTCACCATGCTCGTATCTCGAAACGAATTTTTTTTTATATAAATACTTTGAAATGTCTTTAATTCTTTCCAACGCTGTGGTGTTTGTAAAGTTTTCTGAATAAAAATAAATTTACTATTTAATAATTTAATTAGTTGTATTATCCCGCTCGTAAGTCGGGCAAATAAAAATTTCTAAATCTAAAAAATCTAAGCTAGTTCTTATAAATGTAAGAACTGCTAACGAGCTAAATAATGTCAAAAAGGAAAAAAATATGCGTTGAGTTTTTGAATTTTTAATTATTAGAATAATATATGCATAAATAAAGAGTGCATAAATGCACTCTTTGTGCTGATACTGAATAGATTCAATTGAACAAAATATTTTTCTTGTTTTATGTACTGATGCATATTTTATATTTACATTTATTCACTTGTATAAATATTTAAACTTTTACAATTGTTTTTGCAAGATTTAAAAATAAGAATTCATTTATAAATAATAATTTAAAAACTCAACGCATTTTTTTCACTTTTTGACATGATTTAGCTCTTTCGTAGTTCTTACATTTATAAGAACTAGATTGGATTTTTTAGATTTATAAATTTTGCTAAATATCGCTTAGTGTTTGCGGGATAAATTTCAAATAGATTATTTAAAAAATCATTGTTTTTCACATGGGCAGTTATACGTTGCCTGTTCACGAGTTGGAAAACTATCCGCTTTGTTTGTGTTAACGTCAGAACAAAAAACAAAAAATGTGGTTTACCAAAGAGCACTTCAATGAAACGGATAATTTGCGGATTCACTTTCATTTACTTAGAGAAGTTCAACTGAAAAACACTTTATTCTTGTAATCGAAATAAATTCATTACTGTTGTACAATAAAATCAAATTTTTCCTTTTCAAATATAAAACAAACAAAAAATTTCTTCATCTTTCTCACGAAACCATCTGATGCCGAAACGGAGTTCGTCGGGTTTGCTAGTTATTTTTTATAATAGTCTATTATTTTTTTCAGGTGATGACTCAAATCTAGTGATAAAAATATTTTTTAAAAAATCGTAAGGATGATGCGAATGGCCTTTTGGTGGGGCTCCGACCTGGGAGACTTTTTCTTTCCTGGATTGACTATAGAGACATCTGGTGCTATGGTCGGCGTTTGCATATGTTTAGCTGTACTGGCATAATATATGAAAGTCTGAAGGTAAATAATAGAATAACTAGTTGAAATGCATTTAGCCTTGAGGCAAGTTGCATAAACTTTCCGAAATGTGTAAGAATTGACTTAATCAACCGAAATTGAGATTTAGATATTTAGATAAAATTAGTCAACTGTTTGTTTCGAAAATAAATTTAACGCTTTTAATTAAATTTAAATATTGCGATTTCGAATAGAATTTTTTCGAACACATTTAAATTAACTGTAATTATATTAATTATATTGCATAGACAAGTGCTTGTATGTTCTAAAATTGTTGTTTATTATTTCGAATTTCAGGGTATCTACCGTCAAAAAAAATCATGAAAATTGTTGAAAAAAATCTTTACCAAAACGATAGAGAATCTTTACCAACAACGAATCTGCACGATTCCCAACCAATTAAAGATATCTTTCAAAATCTTTTGATTTTTCAAAATCGATTCAAAATTGCGGGCTAAAACGTGGACGAATAATTTTTCACTTTATGCGATTTACAAAGAAACGGTTTGGCTGATCGTCGCGCAAAATTGATAAACGATAGTCCTCATCCAGATAATCAAATAAATTTTGAAATCGGTCCAGCCGTTTTTGAGAAAACGTCGATTTACGACAAAAAATCTGTTCATACGCACGCATACTTTTCCCAAATTTGGTCTCATTCGATTCAGAATGGCTTAAAATGTCGAGAAAACATAAAATTAGCGAATCGGATTTTTTTGTGAAAACACTAGCAAACCCGACAAACTCCGTTTCGCCACCAGATGGTTTCGTGAAAAAGATGAAGAAACTTTTTGCTTGTTTTATATTTGAAAAGGAAAAATTTGATTTTATTACACAACAGTAATGAATTTATTTCGATTACAAAAATGATGTGTTTTTTAGTTGAACTTCTCTAAGTAAGTAAAAGTGAATCCGCAAATTAGCTGTTCCATTGAAGTGCTCTTTGGTAAACCACATTTTTTGTTTTTTGGTCTGACGTTAACACAAACAAAGCGGATGGTTTTCCAACTCGTGAACAGGCAACGTATAACTGCCCATGTGAAAAATAATGATTTTCTAAATAATCTATTTGAAATTTATCCCGCAAACACTAAGCGATTGGCTTTGCGACTTGTTATTGCAAACGCAAGGCGAACTGGAAATTGCAATCGTTTGAAGTCAAACGGAAGACCAGTCGGATTCATTGGTATGGCACCAAATCGCCAGCAATTTTTGATTGAATGGTGAAATTCAGTGGGTGTACATCATTATATTTTGAGGCAAGAATTGCTCGTTGACTTGACCAAGCATAATTCTGATAATTCTCACTAATGTCATTACTCGAATTGTTAATTACGGTGCGTGAAGTTCCAGCAATTTGCAATGGGGCACGATGCCATGCACCACTAATTTTCTTATAAAGCTTGCGGAGCCCGAGACCTTTCCAACGAATGCAAAATTGTCGAAATCGGTTCCTGCGTTATATTGTAAGGAAGGAAAACCCGACTTATTTTTATATGTATGTAGATAAACTTCTCCTTCGGGAATTTAATAATAATATAGAATTTCTTTTTATTCTCAGGTTATAAAAACAAAATTGCGAATGCGTGCAGCTAGAGAAACTCGAATACCTGGTTTACCTGCAGGACCATGCCAGAATGAAAATTCACAACTATTATCGTCGTCGAGAAGCAGATTTACGATACCGGATTGTCAAACGTACAAAGAAAACACATATCATCACATACATATTCAATATTTTTATTACTATTTCTGTTTCAGTGTGAAGAGCCTCCTTCGAGAGTTGTCCCTTCACCTCCTCGATGGAATTCTGGGATATGCAGTAATGTTGTCGGTGATGTTGTACAATGGTTACATGTTCATTGCGGTCATATTGGGAGCAGCAATCGGTCATTTCGTCTTCGGTTACATGTCTCGAAAGATTAATATGGAAAATGTACAGGCCAGGACTACGACTTCGCTTTGTGTATCGACATGTCCTGATCAGGGTAATAATTGATTGATTATTGATTTTTGTGTGTGATATCCTTAATTCCTATTAATTAATCCTTCCTATCCTTTGTGTAAATGTTTTGTGTGTATGTTACAGCATCTTCAACTATGCATGAGTGCAAGACGAAACCTTGTACCCACAAAGTATGTATTCCTTAACATTTATCCTTTGTAGAATTAAATATATATATATATATATAGATATGTGTGTGTGTGTGTGTGTGTATATATACTTGAAGTATTTTGCAGCCCAATCGTTAAATTTAACTAGTGGTGTATGGCATCGTGCCTTAAGGCAAATTGCTGGAACTTCCCGTACCGTAACGAAATTTTCGAGGAATTTTAAACGTTTTCAAATATATTATTAGAAATACTGTAACTTTGATTATTTTTGCTATCTTGTTATGTCTGAACAAATCAAATATAAATCATTAATCATAAATCAATTTATGTCCAGAACATTAACAATCGTCATTTCATTTCGAATACAATTTCAAAAAAAAATAGTTGCCTAATTTACACAAAATTGAAAGAGTGCTCCCGTATAGTCACGTCTAAACGCATTTGCAAATAATTCTGTGCGACATTTTCACTTGTACTGTGCTTAGCTTGGCGGCATTTTCACTTTTTTCAATAGTTTTCTCGTTTTCACAAAATTGGAAAAGTTTGTACCAGAGTGGCGCTTAGACTGTGCTTAGCCTGGGTAATTTTTTGAATTTTTAATCCAAAATTACAAAAATATTTGTTGAAAAAAAAAATAGAATCAAAATTATTTTCCAAAAGCAATTATTTTGTTGAAACAAGCAGAAAGTACTTTGAATCATTTAAATCGGACGCTTAGTTCGCTGAAAAACTACCATTTTTTGCACATTTACCTCTGTATCTTCGAAATGGCGGGACATGTCTTTGCCAAAAACTAATCACCTCTTCTCCCAATCATTACAAATTGAATGTTTTTTAGATCATTCAAATCGGATAATCCCTTCTCTCAAAAACTCGGTTTGTGTTTTCTGCACTCTTTGCTCCGTATCTCCGTAACGGCTGGACTTGCCTTTGCCAAAAACTAATCAGCACATCTCCCTATTAATAGGAATCGAATGGTAAATGAATCATTTAAATCGGTTAAACCGTGAGCCCGAAAACGTGGACGAAAAAATGCGGACTTACAAAACACACACACACGCATTCATTTAGTTTCTGAGGTATGCAAAATTGTTCAGAAACCTTCAGAACGTCGAGAAATGCAAAAGTTTTCATTTTTGATTTTCGGCCCATTACTATAACTACCCTACGGGAAGTTAAAAATTTAAAAAGGAGAAAATTATATACATACTAAAGTAGGAAAAACACAAAAAATATATAAAATATATTAAACACTAAACTTGTGCAAAAGAACATTATAACTAATAATAATTAATAAAGAGAGAAAATTAAAAGAGCACTTAATGCCCTCCTATATTACGTGTTGTTCGCTCGCTGTGCATTATGAACACTGATCAAGGTTACGCGGCACGTGTGGTAGAGTGAGTAGATGCGGGGTGTAAGAAACAAAAGAGGAATGAGAAACAGAGAAAGAGATATAACAGACGAAAAATTCTAACACTGTATGAGATTTATAATGGCGTTGGAACTGTCATGTAAAATATGAGAGGAATTCCGTTTGTTGGTACAAGAAATATTAAGGGATATAAGTTACGACTCAACTATGTTTCTAAGGTCACAATTCTAATTTTCTCTCTTTATTATTTATTATTAGTTATGTTGTTCTTTTGCTCAAGTTTAGTGTTTGATAAATTGTATATAATATTTTTTGTGTTTTTGCTGGTTTGTTGTGTATATAATTTTCTCCTTTTTATATTTTGATATTTAATGTCAACTATTGTTATTTATGTAATATGTTTTTTTAGATTACTAAATGATGACACACATTGAGTGTTGAAACGTTTAATAGATTAAAAAAACAATCTATGTTAACCTTTTTTTTTCAATTCGACGATTGGGCTGCAAAATATTTCAAATATATATCATCATCAATAAAACTATCAGCATATATATGTATATATATATAATATATATATATATATGTATATATATATATATATGTATATATATATATATTTATATATATATATATATAATTATATATATATACATTTAGAATCAACTGTAATCCGATTCCTTATTCAAGATTGTTTTATTAAAATGCCAGCTACACCTAGTTATTGCAAATTTAATATTTTTCAGAGTCATACTCGTCCGTCGAAGTGAGCAGATCTGACAATGGAGCAAGAAACCGATCACCACACACTTCCACGGAAAATATTTAATCGAATATAAAAGATCAAAGTCAAATCACAAAATTTGCTTGCCAAAAAAATTCCTTCTATGTCTCTTGATATAAATATATATATATATATATATATATATATATATATATATATATATATATATATATATGAGGGAGACATTTACCATTTTGTACAAATATTTCAGTGAATCGAAAGATATTAAACGAGCCCAATGATGTTATTTTATATTATCCATATATCTATGATAGATTGTTAATTATATATATGTATATATATGAAGATTTGATATGTATATTTTTGTATAAATGTTGAAATTGTTAAATACTTTGCATAGATTTTTGTTACGGATATAAATAAATATGATCTGTTAGTATATTTAAACAAAATTTATAATATGATATAATGTTGTTTGTTTATACTTGGATTATTTGTTGTATTTTGTGAAATGGTTACTGAAAAAATGAAAAAACCCAATAATTACCCCTTGTTAGACAAAATTATATGCTAGATTAGACTTTTGTGTTAGGAAATGTGATGAATTAGATATCCAACAAGTTTGTAGTTGGCTTGTATTTATCTGTTAATTTTGAATAACGCATTTTAATAGTTGATTTAGGTTAAGACAAACCTACAGAAATTACAGACTGCACAAAACAAAGCATTGCAGATGTTACTGAACATACCAAGGGACCCAAAAATAACTACTTTCAAGCATATAATATACGAAAGTAACATGTAAAATAACTATAATGCTTTTAATAGTCTAAAAATGATTGAAACTTTGAAGAAAATAAAAGAAATGACAAGAAATTAAAAATTAGCAAGTCGGATTTTCTGGTGAAAAACATAACCTTTGGGAAATTATTGACTTGAAGTTGCTGCAAATGGTTTTTTAAATTAACGATTTATTGAATTTGAAAAATGTCTTCAGAAATTATTGAGGAAACGCAAACGAATCTACATTCGTTTAACAAACCTACAGAAATTACAGACTACACAAAACAAAGCACTGCAGATGTTACTGAACATACCAAGGGACCCAAAAATTACTTTCAAGCATATAATATACGAAAGTAACATGTAAAATAGTGCTTTTAATAGTCTAAGAATGATTGAAACTTTGAAGAGAAATTAAAAATTAGCAAGTTGGATTTTCTGGTGAAAAACATAACCTTTGGGAAGTTATTGACTTGAAGTTGCTGCAAATGGATTTTTAAATTAACGGTTTATTAAATTTAAAAAATGACTTTAAAAATTATTGAGGAAACGCAAACGAATCTACATTCGTTTAAATATTAAATTTATATAGCATTTATATTTCACAAAAAAAGTTATGATTGTTAATTGTTTTTTTTCCAATGTATACGTTTTGGTTTATACAAAATATTTTTTATAATTTACTTTAATATTTAATTATTTGTTGTAGATAGTAAATTTGATACTAATGCGCATATATTTTGTATTTTTATTATCAAACAAATTTTAACCTCAAACAACCAATAAATTTCCGCCATGTTTTGACATTGACAGTTCTCCCTCTCGAAACATGTAATGAAAAAAAAATTAATATAATCAAAATTATAAAATGTTTAATTCTCTCAAACAGCTACACAGAAAGATCAAAATTAACGGTAAGATTTGATATAACACAAAACACTTTAAACACCTAATAAACAAAATTTATTTTCCTTTTTTTTAGGTTACGTGTCAAGATGTCTTTCGTTGGAAACTCAAAAAGTAATAAAACCAGAAACCATTTCAAAACCACTTCCGGAATTACAAAACGATATAAAACAATTAAAAGTGCATTATGGACAACCTACTCACCAGACACATCCACATTTATTAAAGGAAGGAGAACTTATACCAGGAATTCCACATTCTGAGTTTGTGGAACGAAGACAGAAATTGGCCGAATTGATTAGGGTTTACAGTAGTAAGCTTGATGCAAGACTGCAGAATCATTTGGTAAGGGTAATAGACATATAGAAAAACATCTTTTGAGTCTAATTAATATTTCTTTTTCTTTAGATTGTGATACCATCTTCAACAAAGAAATACATGAGCGATAAAATCCCATACACATTTAGGCAAAACACAGAATTTTTATATTTAACTGGATGTCTTGAACCCGATTGTTGTCTTGTTATTTCTATGATATATGGAGCACCTGATAAAGTTCATTTGTTTTTGAGGCCGAATGATGCAAGTGCAGAATTGTGGGAAGGACCGAGAACAGGGCCACAGAGAGCACCTTTGTTTTTCAATGTGGATCTCTCCAAATCCATTGACGATTTGGCTAGTTACTTAAACAAGTAAGATAATAGATAAATAAATATAATAAATATATATATATATATATATATATATATATATATATATATGTATTTACTTTAATTACATTTTTTTTTGGTTTGTTTATTTCAGTTTCAAATCCATGACGAAATCTTATTCACTGTGGTTTGATGCTGAAAACTGTGACTACCCGGCAATCACAAATATTATGAAAGAGTACATGAAAGATAATAGTTTTCAAAAAGTCGAAGCGCCTACTGTGTTTATACAGAAATTGAGACTGATCAAATCGAGCTACGAAGTGAATTTGATGCAGAAGAGTTGTGCGATTGCTGGTATAGCTATTAACGATACTATAACCAGCTCGGTACCAGGTAAAAGATAATGCTCTTGCTTTGATAATAATAATACATCACTACAGAGTGTGAAGTGTATTTATGACATTTTTCAGGTGTCTCAGAGCAAACACTTTACGCCAAAGTCGATTCCAGGTGCAGAGAATTGGGTGCTCAAAGATTAGCCTATCCTCCAGTCGTTGCAGGAGGAGAGCGAGCAAATACTATACACTACATAAACAATAATCAAGTCGTTAATGACGGTGAAATGGTCTTAATGGATGCAGGTTAGTAATTTCATAATTAACTTAATTAACATATATATATATATATATATATATATAATTTTATTTTATTCCCTTTCCCCAGGCTGTGAATACCATGCATTTTCCAGCGACATAACCAGAACCTGGCCAATCAATGGAAAATTTACAGATGCTCAAAAAATTTTGTACGAAATTGTGTTGAAAACTCAGAAAGAAATCATTTACAATATGATGACCGATGGATATCCTACATTGGATTCGCTGTTTACAAGAATGTGTTTGTTGCTGGGTAAATATTTGCAGGAGGAGGGAATTATTAAAAAAACTGTACCAGAGAAGGATTTACCAAAGGTAGATACTAATATATATATATATATATATATATTATATATATATATATATGTATATATATATATATATATATATATGTATATATATTAAGGTGGTCCTTAATATGGATGTTTTCGAATTTCTTTGCTTCCAGGGGCTAAAATGCTTTCAATTTGATAAAAAACAATTCTCTGAAAGTTTTAGCTTGCAATATTAACATTTAGATAGTCCGCACGTCAATTAAAAGTTTCGTATATTTTTTTTAACATATATCATTAAGTATATTCTTGCGCCATCTGTGATAGCAGACTTGTAATTTTGATGGCAATTTCTTGCTGATAATTTGAGTGTCAAAATCACCAATTAAATAAATATTTTGCAACAAAATTAATTTTGAAGCCGCGATGAATAAATATTTTGTTAAACAGTCCACATGCATTTCATTAGAATTTAAGGATTTATAAATATTGTTAATATTTGAGTTCACAAATGCTATCACAGATAGCGCAAGAATATATGGTAAATATGAATATACAAATCTTTTAATTAAATTGCGCATTGTCTAAATGTTAATATTGAGAGCTAAAACTTTTAGATAATTTTTTTTTAATAATTTGGAAGCATTTAAGCACTTGGGAGCTAAGAAATTCGTAAATGTCCATATTAAGGAACACCCTATATATATATATATATATATATATATATATATATATATAATATAAATAAATCTGTATGTTTTATTTTATTTTAGCTTGCCTATAGCTTCTGTCCACATCACGTTTCACATTATCTCGGCATGGATGTACATGACACACCATTAATCCCAAGATCGATACCGATACATCCAGGCATGATTATAACAGTTGAACCAGGTACCAGAATATACATATATTAGTATTAATATTATAAATGTTATGTCTGAAAGCATAACAGGAGCATGGTTTCTGATGGCATTATTTATCATTGGTTACTCTTCCTTCCCTTGTTTATTATTATTAGTATTATTCACATTTCCAAATTTTATTCTACTTCAATACTTTCCGGTAATATGCTTTGGCTTCCTGTTCTCTCGTGTAAGTCATCAATCATAGATAAAAGATTTGTAAATACCTAGTTTGCAAACACGGCCATAATGCCATTACATTAATTTTAATTGTTTACCCATTCCATAGGGCGCCACTAACTGTAGCACGTAAATTTACCCCTAGGTTCAATTCTAGATAAAATTTATATAAATATTTGAATTGGAAAAGGTAAACCAGATTAAATTAAATAAACTTTTAGTTTATTTAATATTCGAGAAATATTAAAAATTTTCAACTAAATCAAAAATGTGTTTTCATAAAAATGTTAAGCGTTTAAGTACATGTATCATAATTATAGGTTTGGGCACAGGCGACCCTCTGTTGAGTGATGAAAATAAAACACATTTGTTCTGTTTATTTTCTGTTATCAGTCGCCTGAATTTTTCTCCATCCTTCTAACAGGGCCGGTCCTGGGGTCCTTAGCGCCCGCATGCAACTTTTTTTCTAGCGCCTCCCCCCCCCCCCCTATTAATTTTTACCGTTTTAACAGTTTATCATTAAAATTATATAAATATTTACATATTTTTTAAAAATTAATTTTTAATTATTCTGGATTTAGTACACAAAAAATAGATATCTAGAAGGGTATAAAATATATTGATTTTAAATTTATTTATTTCACATTTTAGTAATATTCAATATGTAGTAAATTGGTTAAGGATGTAAGTTCGACTACCATAGAATTAATATTAATAAAAAGAATTAATATTTTTGTTAAAGTTATAGAATTTAAAAAATGCATTTCAGGAATAGTATTAAATTTAACAAAAATATTAAGTGAAATAAATAAATTAATTTTTAATTATTCTGGACTTAGTGCACAAAAAATTAGATATAATCTAAAAGCGTATAAAATATATTGATTTTAAATTTATTTAGAAAATCGAGGCGATTCGGGGGTTGATTATAATCAAGTATTTTGAAATTTTCAATCATTTTTAACGTATGTACAATATTAATATTTGAAAAAACTAGCATTTAATTTTTAAACATAACACTCGTATTTCATGTTGGATTTTTAAAATTTTAATTTAATTTAATTTTTCATCATTTACAATATCCAAAATTGCGTCGTAAACTTCTCCTTATTCAGAGTATCAACTTGTTGTTTTAAAGTTAAATTTTTAACGTATTTTAGAAGTATTGTTTAAAAATCAGTAAAAAATGCAAAGAAATTACACATTTCTTGAACAATATTGAAAAAGAAAACTTATTATATTTGATATGTATAATTTCTGTATAGTTAATAATTATTAAATTTTGAGTATGGACACCACTAGGTATAAATAATAATAATAAAACAAGCCTTAAGATTTTCGTTCCAAAGTAAATTTTACTTCCATTTTTCATATTTGTTCCACGCATGTCTTCAACATTCAAAGTTGCGATTGCAATTCATGCGGAACATTTGCAACAAAAGCAAAAGTTACAATTCAATTTCTCGGAATAAACAAGTCATTTTCTAAGCACTGATTCCCCATTTTTTATAATTTGTTTATATTTTTTAACAAGTTCCGATTCAACTAAATCAGCTCGCAATTTTTAGTCAATAATGCCCAACAATTAATTCAATCTTTCGCAGGTTCGCGCTAATAATTTCTTTTTCGATTCCACGGTAACTTCAAACAAAGAAACAATTGAATAAGTAGATTAGGCAATAAACAGAGCTGTTATTTAATAATTTACAGAATTATTAATCGGTTAATTGTTTCTACTGATATCACATTGCAAAATAAATACGCTTTTTGTGTCTCCGTATCCCTAGTTAAGTTGAATATTTATTATACTTTATTGAGTATTCTAGATTTTAAATAAATAATTCTAGATTTTATATAAAAAAATATAAATATTATATTATAAATTTAATTTCCGAAACTCGTTACGGCGTCCCCAAGGCTTGCGCCCGCATTTTTTGCATGCAAGGCAGGACCGGCCCTGCTTCTACATCTTGCAGTCTTTTTATTTTACCTTCCACGACGTGGTGCTGCAGGCACTATTTTTTCAATACCGTTCCGGTCCAGTTTTTTTTTTCTTTACATTATGGTGTTTAGTCTTTGTCGTTCATGAAAACAAATGTTCTTTTTGACATCAAGAGGTATCAAATTTGTATTATATCGATTAGTTTTTAACATTTCTCTTCCCTCGATGTACTCACGAATAACTTCAATTGATATATTGATTATCAATATTATATTTATATTAACTTATCATGCCACTTATATCTCGTTTACAATTCATTTACAATTTCCTCTCTTCCCCGAAGGCATTTACATACCCGAGACTCGACTGGACGTCCCGGAACAGTTTCGTGGCCTGGGTGTGCGCATCGAGGACGATATATTGGTGACCAATCAGGGACCAATGATATTGACCCACTACTGTGCCAAAGAGATTGCCGATGTCGAGAAATTGTTCCAGTCGAAATTGAAGTGATTTTGTACGTTTGAAAAATATATCGATGAAATATGCAGCGTGTGTTTTGTTATGATTGATAATGTATTTTGTATTGACCCTATTGTAGACCTTATAATATATCGAGTGCCTAAGTCGAGCGCAAAATAAGTGCTTAACTAGTTGTAAGTGGAATTCTGTCTTAAGGCAATTAGGGCATCGTGCCTTAAGGCAAATTTCTGGAACTTCCCGTACCAAAAATTATTATTTTTTTTTAAAACGATTAACATTTTTGAAAAAAAATTACTTTGAAAAAATAAGATTTTTGAGAAACTATAAATTGGACAAAAAATTAGTTTTTTTTGAAAAAAAAAAATTTTTTTTTGAAAAAAAATTTTTTTTTCTTTATTTTGACATATTGTGGAAGATCTGAACTTTTTTTTCAAAGCAATCGTACTGCTTTAACTACATAGGGACAAAATATAAAGCGCGTAAGCGCCGCGTCGCTGTCTAACGCATAAGCATTGGTACGGAACCGATAGGAATGTTAACAAAATGTATACTTATTGTTAAAATCTCTATAAAATGTCTGATAATTTGATGTGCATATGTCTAATGATCATTTTTGACCGCCAAATGGCTCATTTTTTTACTTTTTCCTCTATATCTCCGAAACCGCTGGACCTACCTTCATGAAAGTTGTATCGATTTTTCATCTTGTCAATACATGTTTTTTGAATTATTAAAATCCGACGCTCCGTTCTCTTAAAAACTGAGTTACCGTTTTCGGAACTTTTTGCCCCGTATCTTCGGAACGGCTTGACCTGCCTTTGCCAAAAACTAATCAGCACGTCTCCTTATCAATACGGATCGAATGTTTTTTGAATTATTCAAATCGGTTGATCCGTGTTCCCAAAATCGTCGACGAAAATTTGTATCCGCACATACATACACACACATACATACATACATACACACACACATACACACACACATACACACACACACACACACACACACATACATCCATTTTTTCTAAGGTATGCCAAAATGTTCAGAAACCTCTAAAACGTAAAGATATATAAAAATTTTCATTTTCGATTTTTTTGCGATTACTATAACTTGCCCTACGGGAAGTTAACTAGTGGTGTATGGCATCGTACCTTAAGGCAAATTGCTGGAACTTACCGTACTGTAATGAAATATTCGAGAAATTTTAGACGTTTTCAAATATATTATTACAAATACTGTAACTTTCATTATTTTTATGCTATCTTATTGTTACATCTGAGCAAATCAAATGTAAATCATAAATCAATTTATCTCCAGAACATTAACAATCGTCATTTCATTTCGAATTAAATTTCAAAAAAAAAAGTAGTTGCCTAATTTGCACAAAATTGAAAAAGTGCTCCTGTATAGTCACAGTCTAAACGGGATCTCTCAAAAACTCAAAAAATCTTTAACACTTGACACCTTAAAAATGACCTAAAATTCATCGCTTTACACTGGAATACCCCCTTAAGCTAAGACTTTGGTACTTTTCTACTAATTAAAAAGAAACGGCTTGGCCGATGGTCACGCAAAACTATTCTAAGACGGTCCTCATCAAATGCATATAAAATTTTTGCAATTGGTTTAGCCATAAATCATATAAATACCCTAGGGTAACACCATTGATCACGTGATCGATTTTTTAAGGATTTTTTCTCTTGGTGATAAGTGGGAATATTAAAAATTAGCCCCCTCCCACCAAAAATGACGTGCCTTTTTAGTTACGAGAAAAAATTATACACTTTTTGATTTTTTGAAGTAAAACTTCTTTAGGCGTTACGGCAGAACTGTGCGTCATTCGCTCTCGATGACATCATTTCTATACGGGTCGATCGTGATTAGTAGTCGTGTCGAGTGAATAGAATTCTCTCGTTGTATGCGTAACGGCATCAACGTTTTATGCGCTCCGATATCAACAAGAAAATAGGCATTGATAAATAAACATTTTAAAGTTACATCGTAGTACAAATCTTGATTTATTGAAAAATGCTTGAATCAGAAGAATATTTTACCCAGTTCCTTGAAAATAATAAAACAAATTAAACATTTGTGCCGTGTACTAAACGTAAGTTTATTGATTAGAAATTATTTCTATATTATTCGTAGTTTCTATAAATCTTTGATGTTATTAAAATGGAAAATATTTTTTAGGCAAGACAGATATTACAGCTGTTCAAAGAATGAGATTATATCGCCAGCGAAAAAGTAAAAAAAAATACAAGCAGTCAATGATTGTATGTTAATTTTAATTGCATGAAGTTCTTCAAACACAAATATTAAATGATGAGTGAAGTTGCGAAAACAATATTTGTTTAGGCGTTGTTTAACATAATCCACTGTGTGAACAAATATTATAGAATTTATTAATCAGCAATTACTTCATTTCTCTAATGAAGATTCATTTCTAAATGCTAATTACAATGACGAACCTTTCCTCCCCTAAAACCTTGCGTGATTAATGGACGACCCTTAACATATTTTATCAAATTTTGAAGACAAAAGATTTAGAATGACTTTGAAACATAAAATTGGCAAAATTGTATTTTTTGGTGAAAACATAAACTTAACTTTCGGGTTATTAATTTTCCATACATCATTAATATCGCGGAACCCTTTTTGGGTAATTAAATATAAATTATTTTTAAAAAATGACAAATAACATTCATCTAGATACCATCACCTAATCACTCAAATTTCGTTGTTTGTCCAAAATTCGACACAAAATTTTACGTTTCTACAATCACCATCAAAGCGTTTCCTAAAATACACCATAAACAAATATTTATTTTCCAAATTGCATTGTAAAATCAAACACAGAATATAATTTTTAATTTCTCCTATTTTTTCTCATAAAAACAGTCGAAGCCGAAAAACAAACGACGGATCTTTTATTTATTTGAAATCTACGCAATCAAAATTTTTAGTAAATTTTCCTGACGTGATCTTTTTCTCTAAAATGTGATTCAAAATTTTTTCAGAGTATTATTTTTTTGCAAAAACTGAGGAAACTGAGGATCTTTAGTGCAAAAAATTTGACGAGATGTTCGCGAAACTGCTCAACTGTCAAGGGGCGACTGTGCGGGCAATTTGGCACCAACATGCTGGCCTAAAAAGTGAGATAATAGATAATAGATTTAGATTAATGTGTCTGCAATTTTTTAATATAATATATTAATATTTACCGTTTGCCTAAAAATAATAATTATTGTTTTTTAAAATACTCTTCACGCCAAAATGCATATACATTTATAACATGAGCGATGTTAAATGTAGAACTGCTTTAAATAAAATGATGACGACTAAATGCCCACACTATATTGGAAATTGAAGCCTTTTAAACGGTTAATATAACCATAACCATAACATAAAACTGGTACTTCATGTTGGATTAAATTAATTTAATTTTTTATTATTTAAGATATCCAAAATTGCATCTTAAACTTCTCCTAATCGATATCGTGAGGGCCAAATTGTATACATTCATCTTTATTCGCCCATTTGTTGTTATAAAGTGATATTTTTACGAATTTTAAAAATATTGTGGAAAGATTAGTAAAAGATGCTAAGAAATTATATATTAAAAAAAAAACTATATTGAAAATTTAATATCCGAATCTTGTGTTGGCGCCCCCTAAGGCGTGCACTCGTTTTTCGCATGCAGCGCATTAAAGGTAGCACCGGCCCTGAATAATACTTAATTTCATATTTTAAGTGAATTAATTTGTCATATCCTGTTCATATGTGTATCATTCAATCTGCCATGCATATACTGTATCTTATATTATTTTAATTTCTGGCACATCTTACCTGCTTTTTGGCAATAATAATGTAGTCATTTCATTTTTCTTATTCATATTCGCAACTTATTCATAATCATAAATTTATTGTACATATTCTAATATTGTCTAGGTTCATAAGTAAATTGAAATTTTTGGCAAATGATAGTTCTCATTTGTTTTCAATGCAAACAATGATATGTCGTTTTTGCGATTTTTGCCATTTATTTCTACAATATTGCACATACATCCCAGTACTTTATAATCACATACATCCTAGAAAATTTCCTTAACAAACTTCAGAAAGATTTATCAAAATCCGAGTAATCGTCGTTCAGAAGGAGTATAGAGTGAGTGCTTGTGATTTAATATGAACTTTATATAATAGCAATAAAGCTCAAATTGATTCTACGTTTTAGTTAGAAAACGTTTGTATGTGAAAAAGAGAAGGTCTGTTGTTAGGGTTTTCCCGGCAATTATTCAACTTTTTCTCGTCATAATAACCATCCTTGAACTTGAACGAACATTCTAAAAGAAGAATTGGCCAAATTGGTCCGGGCGTTGTTGAGTTATGCGCTTACCAACACATTTTGCGATTCATTTTTATATATAAGAAAAGAATCTGCAATGATTTACTACAAAATATAACATAACTTCTATGAAGGCGCTATCGCAGGATGGCGATCCTTCTCACGCAGACAAATAATATATAACTGTAACAAATGTAGCTGAATGTACTTTGTATAGCTTGCTATGAAAAATAATATATATATATATATATATATATATATATAATATTAATATAAAAAATTTTCCATGCTCTTCCCATACAAACTTTGATTGAATTGCGCTCTATCTAAACGATAATATTAAGAGCTAAAACTTTCAGAGAATTGTCTTTTATCAATTTGGAACCATTTGAGCCCGTGGGAGCAAGGAAATTCGAAAATGACCATTTTAAGGACCACCCTAATATATATATATATATATATATATATATATAAATATAAGATATTGCTTTATCGCATGTATTTCTTTTTTCAATTAGCATCTTCTTTACGATTTGAACGAACCACACACAACCCAACCACTGCGTCCACAAATGCAGCAGCTGGTCTCGGATCTTTGACGGCTGGTGCAGCAGAAACAGCCAGCCCTAGTCCTTTGCAGCCGACGCCTCCGATCGCCTTTCCACCGGTAGATAAAAATTACATATCAAACTATATAAATATATATATATATATATATATATATGTATATTTGTTTTTGTTCTAACTATTTTATTTTTCACCCTTAGCCGTCGCCTATTCAGGGAAAACCTGAACTCATCCCCGGCATCGCCCTTACCGAGTTTGAAGAAAGGCGATATCGTTTACTGGATTTGATCAGATCTGCCAGCGATGTCAGGAGCAAGGACAGCATCAACTATATTGTAAGACAATAATTAACATAATAATTAATCAATGTTTTCATCAAAAAATCCGATTTGCTAATTTTATGTTTTCTCGATGTTTCAAGCCATTGAGACCAAATTTAAGGCAAAAGTATATGTGTGTGTGTTAATAGATTTTTTTGTCGTAAATCGACGTTTTCTCAAAAACAGCTAGACCGATTTCAAACATTTAAAAGCCATTCGATGTATCTCGATGAGGACTATTGTTTGTCAGTTTTGTGAGACGATTTCTTTATAAATCGCAGAAAAGTTAAAGAAATTTCGTCCACGTTTTAGCCCGCAGTTGTGAATCGATTTTAAAAAATCAAAACTGTTCGAAAGATATTATTTGGAAATGACACTGATTATTTTTTGGTGGAAATCTACCGAGCCGTTTTCTTGTAATTAACTATTGAAAACAAAATTTAAGCCGATTTTCATGGAACTTTTTTTGCGATTTATATCATGGTCTGATAATATATGATTTATATCAGGGCTTCTTAAAGTGGGGGTCAAGCTATGCTATTTGGCCAATATTTTTGATAATATCAATGATATGAATTTATCAATGCAGGGAGTCTGCGTTAATATGTTTATGTTAAGAAATAAACTTGAGGTCTTTGTTAAAATAATTCTTATATGGAAAAACAGAGTAGAAAGTGGATCGCTCGAAATGTTTCCATTTACTGACGAGTATATAATTAGTAACAATATTTCAAAAAAAAATACTCATAACAAAAATTATAGTTAATCATTTGAAGAATATGGAAGTTTACATGCATAGGTATTTTCTCAATGATATTGATACACAACAATGGATTTGCAATCCATTTTCAATTGAAATGGAAGAAATTAATTTTTTAAACTTAAAAGCACAAGAAGAATTTACCGAATTAGCAAGTGATACTACCTTGCGACTCAGATTTTCTCAAGTGCCTGTGCATGAATTTTGGATTGAAATCAAATCAGAATATTCCCTACTATCGGAAATGGCAATAAACAAATTACTGCCATTTTGTGCAACATATTTATGTGAATCAGTCTTTTCTACATTAACTTACATAAAATCAAAATACGTTTCCAATAACTTTAATAAACGTTGAAAATTTATTACGATCTGCACTAACTTAAATTGAGCCTAGATTTAATTATTTGTGTAAAAATAAACAATCGCATTCATCACATTAATATTGTTTGATGTTAATAATAGGTTTTCATAAAAAAAATGTTACAAAAGTTTATTTTTTCTATTGAATATGTAGATATAGTTTTATGTTTTCTTATAAAGAATTTGTTACAAAAGTTTATTTTTTCTATTAAATATATATATATATATATATATATATATATATATATAGTTTTATGTCAACGTTTCCAATTATATATAACATGAATGGGTACATATTCTTCAATCCTTATTTTATTTACATTGTAAAATAGTGCGATAACGGTTAATATATATTTTATTATTTGGAGGAGGGGGTCGTTTAAAATTTCCTAAGCTTGAGGGGGGTCGCTATATAAAAAAGTTTAAGAAGCCCTGATTTATATCATATATTACGGCCTTACCACAAGTAGTTTAAATTTAAAAATTCTGCTAAGTTTGAAAAAATGAGTAGTTTTTTTGACGTTTGTTAAAATTAAAATTAGACGATTTACTAGGTATAACAACAATGGAGTACTTGATTTTAATTAACATACTAAATCATCAAAATCCTACGGAAACTGGTTCAAATATAATAATTGTTGATTTTTGAAAAGTTGCTCTTTAAAAATACTCCGAGTTAAAGTTCGTTCGTTTTCAATTATGTGTAACAAGTCCACTCATAAATTAATTTATTTTTATACACATATTTATTTTTTATACACATTTATTACACATATCGGGAAGTTCATGTAACTTACCTCAAGGCTAAATACCAATACCAACTAGTTTAATTTGCTCATCAGTAGAGTCCTTTTATATATTGTTGTTCTGAGTCCTTTATATATTTTTCTCTCAACAATTCAATTTGCTCGTCAGTAGAGTTCCTTTTTTTTAATATTTATCTCCCGATAGCAAAGTCATGAGAATCAAGGTTATAGCTGGTTATACATCTTTTTTCCCTCTACTTTCAAATATTGTTGTTAAACAATGCTTAACTTTACTGGTCTTTGACAAATCGGTGTTGGACCTTTTTAACCCCGGACTTTCATATATTACTATCCATTCTTTGATAAATTCTGGGAAATTATAACTGGGAAAATATTATTCGACAAAATGTCCCTTTGATCGATATGTTTTATAAATACCAATGAGTATATAATTATACAAATGAGATATTTCAGAGTACCGTGTTTGAGAAAAATATGCCAAAAAGTGCATTTTCATATTAACATTTTAAAAATGTTGATATTGTTGAGTTTGTAGTAACGCTTGCGGCTCTATTACATGATTTTACTGAGTTGCAAATTTATAGCTGTTTTTGTAAGAAACATGTGCGATTTTATATTTTTATAATTTAGTACACATATTAAGAAATAACATACCAAAATTTTGTAACTCTAGTATAACGTTTTATATTTTTAAATATTTTTCAAAATACTCATCAAACCGTGGACTTGCAACTATTGCAAAAGTGCATTTGTTTACAAAATTGCACATTTATAGCATTTTTTTGGTTGAAACATATGTGATTTTATATTTTTATAATTGAGTACATATATTAGGCAATAACATACTGAAATTTCATAGCTCTAGTATAATATTGTATATTTTTAAAACATTTTCCAAAAGTACTTCTCATATCATATCCAACCGTCGATTCGCAACTAATAAAAATAGAGTATGCAAGTGTGCATTGCAATTTTTTAGTTTCTTCTGTTAGAAGAATATTTGATTTTATATTTTTATAACTCAGTACACATATTAAGAAATAACATACTGTATTACAACGCTTTATATTTTTAAAATATATTTTAAGCCGTCAATTTGGTTACGTCAAAACGTTTACTAACTTTAATCATAATCCAATTAAAAGTAATTGAACATCATCTGTCAAAAACGTTTGACATCTGACGTATTAGCCACCGTCCATTGTTTTATTCAAATTACGCTTCTACAAAAATGTTCAGATTAAAAATGTAAAGTTTCTACGCGATTTTGAAATAACATCTCACCTTTCCGACAACCTACTGATTGGCACGAATTTTTCAAGACTAAGACTGGCCAAATCGGTTTAGTCGTTTTCGAGTTTTAGCGGATCATTTTATCGAGAGCTCCATTTTTATATATAAGATATAAGATAATGTATAACATAATTATATATTATAATATTTTTTCTCCAGGTGGTTTTGGCCTCATCCGCGATGAAATTCTCGGCCGACCGCACTCCGTACAGTTTCCGCCAAAACACGGATTTCTTATACATGACTGGATGTCAGGAACCGGATTGTGCTCTGGTTATTCTGATGCTTTCTGGACGTATGCGAAGTATTATGTTCCTGCAACCCAAAGATCAGCCGATACCACAATGGGGCGGCGTCCAGGCCGGTGTCGAAGGAGCCCCTATGGCTTATGGGGTTGACGAGGCTTATCCCTACTCGCATATCACTAGCTACTTGAGCGGGTAAGGGAATAAATTGATAATAAATACAAAATGTATTTATTTCACACTAGACGACCCGACAGACGTTGTCCTGTACCCATGTCTACAATACTTTTAATTTAATATACTAATATTTATCGTTTACCTAAAAGTAATAGTTATTGTTTTTTAAATTACTCTTCACGCCAAAATGCATATACATTTATAATATGAGCGGTGTTAAATGTAGAACTGCTTTGAATAAAATGATGAGTCTCAATTCCCACACTATATTGGAAATTGAAGTCTTTTAAACAGTATATGGCATTTAAGTTAAAAATAAATACATCATATAACAATTTTGAATTTATTGTTTATTAGTAATATGGCAACACTCGTGATGCACACATTTATTAGTGTCGTCAACCATTACCCACACTTATATAATAACTAGATGACCCGAAAGACGTTGTTCTGTGCCCATGTCTACAATACTTTTAATATAATATACTAATATTTTACCGTTTACCTAAAAATGATAATTATTGTTTTTTAAATTACTGTTCACGCCAAAATGCATATACATACATAATATGAACGATGTTAAATGTGGAACTGCTTTAAATAAAATGATGAGTCTCAATTTCACCACATTTTCCACCCAAAATAATTGTTTCAATAATGTTGCCTATAATTTTTTCAATTTCGTATCAAATTTTACTGGTTCTTAGTAATTATAATATATAAAGTACATTTACTTAGTAATAATTTAATATATATATTATATATCAGGAACGCGCCCGCATGATATTTTCTAGCACCCACCTCCCTATTATTTTACCTGTTTTAACAGTTTATTTTAAAATTATCATTAATTAATATTTGGCTTTTGAAGCATTTTAATTATTTTTTTGGCTATTTTATGCGATTTATTCTATTGGACAAATCATAGAGAGCAAGAAAATTCTAGCCTTTCATTATTAAACATAACCATAAGTAAGTAGAGTTTCTTGTCAACTCTTTGTATTTTGCTCGTCAATAAGGTCCCTTTTTTGTTTTACATTAAACATATTATACGATACGGTTTTAATAATCGTAACGCTCACCATGCGTATCCAAGCCTAAGTAAAAATGTATGGTAAAAATGTCGTGTTAGGCGCGGCCGGCATGGCAAGCAAAAAATTTGATAATATAAAATAGTAATCATAACATAACACTGGTACTTCATGTTGGATTAAATTAATTTAATTTTTTATTATTTAAGATATCCAAAATTGCATCTTAAACTTCTCCTAATCGATATCGTGAGGGCCATATTGTATGTATTCATCTCTACTTTCCCATTTGCTGTTATAAAGTGATATTTTTACGAATTTTAAAAATATTGTGGAAAGATTAGTAAAAGATGCAAAGAAATTATATATTAAAAAAAACTATATTGAAAATTTAATATCCGAATCTTGTCTTGGCGCCCCCTAAGGCGTGCGTTGGTATTTTTCGCATGCATCGCATTAAAGGTAAGACCGACCCTGATTAATACTTAATTTCATATTTTAAGTGAATTAATTTGTCACATCCTGTTCATATGTGTATCATTCAATCTGCCATACATCTACTGTATCTTATATTATTTTAATTTCTGGCACATCTCAGATGCTTTTTGGCAATAATTATGTAGACAATTCATTTTTCTTATTCATAATCATAAATTTATTATACATATTCTAATATTGTCTAGGTTCATAAGTAAATTGAAATTTTTGGCAAATGATAGTTTTCATTTGTTTTCAATGCAAACAATGACATGTCGTTTTTTGCATTTTTAACTTCCCGTAGGGCAAGTTATAGTAATCGCAAAAAAATCGAAAATGAAAAGTTTTATAAATCTTTACGTTTCACAACTTTCTGAACATTTTGGCATACCTTGAAAAAAATTGATGTGTGTGTGTGTGTGTACGTGTATGTATGTGTGTGCGGATTCAAATTTTCGTCGACGATTTCGGGAACACGGATCAATCGATTTGAATAATTCAAAAAACATTCGATTCGTATTGATAAGGAGACGTGCTGATTAGTTTTTGGCGGAGGAAGGTCTAGCCGTTCCGAAGATACGGGGCAAAAAGTGCCGAAAACGGTAACTCAGTTTTTAAGAGAACGGAGCATCCGATTTTAATAATTCACATTTTATTTGTATTAACTGAGTGAAGAACTGTTAAAATTTTTGGAAAGGCAGGTCCAACGACTTTGGAGATATGGAGGAAAAATGAGCCATTTGGCGGTCAAAAATCGATCATTAGACATATGCACATCAAATTACCAAATATTTTATAGAGATTTTAACAATAAGTATAAATTTTGTTTGCATTCCTATGGGTTCCGTACCAATGCTTATTCATTAGACGGCGACGCGGCGCTTACACGCTTCGATATTTCGTCTCTATGCAGTTAAAGCAGTACGATTGCTTTGAAAAAAAGTTCAGAATTTCGAAAATATGTCTAAATAAAGAAAACATTTTTTTTCAAAAAAGTAATTTTTTGTCAAATTCCTAGTTTGTCAAAAATCTAATTTTTTTGAAGTAAAATTTTTTCAAAAATGTTAACCGTTTTTGAAAAAATAATAATATTTTGTACGAGAAGTTCCAGCAAAATGCCTTATGCCCACGATGCCTTAATTGCCTTAAGACAGAACTCCACTTACAGCTAGTTTCCATTTATTTTTACAACATTGCACATACATCCCAGTACTTTATAATCACATTCATCTTAGAAAATGTCCTTAACAAACTTCAGAAAGATTTATCAAAATCCGAATAATCGTTTAGGAGGAGTATACAGTTAGTGCTTGCAATTTAATATGAACTTATTTATTTATTCATTTATTTATTTATTTTAAATATATAGCCCACAGATTTCTTCCAAGAGGACTTAAAAATACAATTATTTTACATAATGAATAACAATTAAAATATATACAAAATTACAATATATAGTTATTAACATAAAATGCTTAACATAAAATTACATATAATGCAGAATGTAACAATATTATTTATAAATAGAATAAGATAAAATAATGAGATATTTGAAAAGAAAGTAAAAACGGTTAACTTGTGCAAATGGAGATCATTTGATTAGGTGAAGTGTTGTGAATATCTATTTCTATATAATAGCAATAAAGCTCAAATTGATTCTACGCTTTAGTTAGAAAGCGTTTGTATGAGAAAAAACAAAGGGCTGTTTTTAGGGTTCTCCCGGCAATTATTCGATTTTGTCTCGCCGTAAGAACCATCGTTGGACTTGAACGAACATTTAAAAAAAAAGAGTTGGCCAAATCGGTCCAGACGTTGTTGAGTTATGCGCTTACCAACACATTTTGCGATCCATTTTTATATATGAGATTTTTCATTTTCCAGTTTATTGAAATCCGAGCGTCGTTTTTCGATGTGGTTCGACGAGCGCGAGTGCGAGCATCCTGGTACTGCCAAAGTCCTGGACGAGGCCAGACGAAATCATTCGACGGCTCTATTTAGATCACCAGCTGCTCATGTCCAGAAGATGAGGCTGGTTAAATCTCCGGCTGAAATTGCCATCATCAGACGGGCTTGCGAGATTACGGGCAAGGCATTTAATAACACTATTGCAGCCAGCAGACCAGGTAAGGGATAATAATAGTAACAATTGTAATAGTATAGTAATAGTAAGTGGTGGGTACACCTAGTGTGAAATTTTTAAAAAATCAAATTTTCAATTTTTCCATATTTCGATAGGTTATACCTTTAAAAATAACATACCAAAATTTTAAATCGATATCTTAAATAGTTTTTTGAGTTACAGCCATTTAAACGAGTATATATATAGTATATATATAGTATAACGATCATTTTATCTTTAAACGCGTTTTTCTCGAAACAGCATTTTCCGAATTTGCTGCATCGATTACTCAAAAACAAATTATCCGATCACTATCAATTTTTTTTTTACATGTTCTATATATAGTTCTCCGTAAAATGAACTATCGATTTTTTGATCGGATCAAAAATCCAATTTTGGCAGTCCGGAAATGACCAAAATTTTGGGTAAAATTCGACTGTATTTTTAAAACGCCGCATTTTGTCAGTTTTTGATTTATTTTTTTTATCGTAGTTCATTTTACAGACAATATCATCTAGTTTAACGAGATTTTTTTTTTATTTCATCCACGTAGAAGGCCGGAATCACTGCAGCAGTGAGGGGCCTTTTTTTGTCGCGCCGTTGGAGATCGACGATAACTTAAAAAATATTTAATTTTTTTTTTCAAAAATTTTACTATGTATTCTTAAAACATGTATAAATATATTCCTAAAATTTTGAAATGATTGATATAGTAGTTTTTTTAATATAAATTCCCAATCATCAGCTTTTTTTTAGGCGGTTACACTAGTTTTGCCCCTTAACACATTTTAAAACTTATTTTGTACTGGACGTCTTCAAGCGTCATTTTATCAATTTTTTTCAATGATTTACTACTCCAGCCAATGGAGTATTTTGGGTCTAATTTTTGGCTCTAATGTGCATGAAATTTTGGAATTAGGTTCACCTTACTCTCAAGTTCAAAAGTGAAAATAATTTACACTCTTTTGCCACTTCCTGGGGGATGACATTCCTTCTCAGTGGTGTAATTTTTTTTTTTTCAAAATAACATCGGATATCGATAAAAGAACTAATTGTAAGAAAAAAATGTTATATAATGTTTTTTAAAAAAAGCATATACTTTTCAAGTTAGTGGCTACTAAAAATTTATATATTTTTGGCGTTTTCCTTCGTTTTTTTGCGAATATCTCTAAAAATATACATTTTAACGAAAATAATCATCAAATGAACAAAATAATGTCAATAAAAATCTTGATAAATCGGTATTTTATAAAGCGTTCTAGGAATAATATTAAGCTGGATTTGAAAGAGCAAAGTCGTTTTTTTTTCGTTCAAGATTTAATTGTTGTATTTAAAGCCATCTAGTGTCGAGGTTTTACATTTTATGTAATTTCGGTGAAATTGAGTTTTATAGTGCTCAACATAAGCTTTGAAATGAGTGTTGTTACAACTTTTTTGCGTATAATATGAGTGAGCTATCATGCAAATAAAAAGAATATACGATGTCTTTTCATATGGTTTAATGAGTGCCATTTCCACCAGAATTAAAGTAATTCACATTACATCTAGTATTTATTCACTTCATTATAGAGATCTTGATGGATTCTAGCAGATTCACTACTTTAGTACAAACTATTTTCAGAAAACTCACGATTTTATACAAACTTTTTTTTTCAATTTGCGCGGCCGCGCAGTCTTTGAACATTCATAACTCTGTCAATTTTTGTGTGAAAGAAAAATAGTAAAAAACAATGATAAGCCAGAAAGATTCCTTTGATTTTTATCTATATGCTATATGATAAAAATGATTTCGATTTTTAAAAAAATTGGAAAGAAAAGTTTTTATAAAATCGTGAGTTTTCTGAAAATAGTTTGTACTAAACTAGTGAATCTGCTAGAATCCATCAAGATGTCTATAATAAAGTGAAATCTAGATGAAATGTGAATTAATTTAATTCTGGTGGAAATGGCGCTCATTAAATCATATGATTTAAAAAAAAAAACATCGTATATGCTTCTTATTTGCATGATAGCTCACTCATTTTACACTCAAAAAACTTGCAACAGCACTCATTTTTTACTTATGTTGAGCACTATAAAACCCAATAATGCATAAAATGCAAAACCTCGCCATTCAATGGCTTTAAATACCACAATTAAATCTTGAACGAAATAAAAAACGACTTTGCTCTTTCAAACCTTGATTAATATTTTTCCTGAAACACCTTATGTAATACCGATTTATTAAGATTTTTATTGACATTATTTTGTTCATTACATGATTTTTGTTAGAATGTATATTTTAGAAGATATTTGCAAAAAAACGAAGAAAAACGCCAAAAATATATGATTCTTTAGTGGCCTGTAACTTGAAAAGTATTAGTTTTTTTGAAAAACTATAAAAGACATTTTTTTCTTATAATTAAGTAGTTCTTCTATCGATTTCCAACTTTATTTTGAAAAAATGTAATTACACAATTGAGAAGGGGTGTCATCCCCCGAACCAGAATTGTTTTCACTTTTGAACTTGAGGGTAAGATGAACCTAATTCGAAAATTTCATTCAATTCGGAGCACAGTAAAAAAATTCAGAGGTTATACCCTTTTTTCCTCTCCGTTTACTGCACCACATTTTAAAACTTATTTTGTACTGGGCGACTTTTGGTCAATGTTATTGGTACATTTGTCCTTTACCTCAGGTATGAATGAGCGTGCAATCCACGCCCGAATTGACGCCGAGTGCCTAAAATTGGGAGCAAAACGCCTGGCCTATCCTCCAGTTGTGGCAGGCGGTGCCCGGGCTAATAGAATACACTACACGGATAACAATAGGCAGATCGCCAAAGGAGACTTAGTGCTTATGGACGCAGGTTAGATAAAAAATATAAAACCACAGATGTCCTAGATTTATGGGAATTTATTCAGAAAAATGTTATGGCAAGGCCATGTTACGCTCCGACTTCCCTACATTCACAGTAATCACAGTAATAAGTATTAGTTGATGTGAATTTTATTACGACAGAAGATTCAATTTTATTAAAGTGATAATTAACTTCCCGTAGGGCAAGTTATAGTAATCGCAAAATAATCGAAAATGAAAATTTTTGCATTTCTCGACGTTTCAAAGGTTTCTGAATATTTTGGCATACCTTAGAAAAAATGGATGTGTGTGTGTGTGTGTGTGTGTGTGTGTGTGTGTGCGTGTGTGTATGTATGTGTGGATACAAATTTTCGTCGACGATTTCGGGAACACCGATCAACTGATTTGAATTTTTCAAAAAACATTCGATTCGTATTGATAAGGAGACGTGCTGATTAGTTTTTGGCGAAGTCAGGTCTAGCCGTTCCGAAGATACGGGGCAAAAAGTGCGGAAAACGGTAATTCAGTTTTTAAGAGAACGGAGCGTCCGATTTTAATAATTCAAAAAACATTTTACTTGTATTGACAAGGTGAAGAATTGATCAAATTTTCATAAAGGCAGGTCTAGCGGTTTCGGAGATCTAATGAAAAAAGTATAAAAAAATGCCATTTGGCGGTCAAAAATGATCATTAGACATATGCACATCAAATTATCAGATATTTTATAGAGATTTTAACAATAAGTATAATTTTGGTTCACATTCCTATGGGTTCCGTACCAATGTTTACGCGTTAGACGTTGACGCGGCGCTTACGCAGTTTGATATTTCGTCTTTATGCAGTTAAAGCAGTACGATTGCTTTGAAAAAAAGTTTAGATCTTTCAAAATATGTCAAAATAAAGAAAACATTAAAAAAAAAAAAAAAAAAAAAAAAAAAAATTTTTTTTTTAAAAAAAAGTAATTTTTTGTCAAAAATTTTATTTTTTCGAAGTAAATTTTTTTCAAAAATGTTAATCGTTTTTAAAAAAAATAATAATTTTTCGTACGGGAAGTTCCAGCAATTTGCCTTAAGGCACGATGCCTTAATTGCCTTAAGACAGAATTCCACTTACAGCTAGTTTTATTTAATACAAAATGCTGATTTATTTCTGTGATTTAGGGATATATTTTTAACATTGAATTTGAAAAAGCACCGTTGGGCATAAATATATTCCAGAATGCTTTTGTAGAGAGTAGTGCAACAATATAGATTATTAACCAATGTTAATCTATAAATTAATTTATAATTCACTTCTAAATATTCAACATGATGTTCAGTTTTTGATAAATTTAATTTAATTTTATAAATATTTTGAATAAATAACTGATTTTGTTTCATAGATCATTAAGAATATAAATATGATATTATATTTATTTTGTGGAGAAAGTTTAGCATGACTAGTTCATTAAAGTGTACCTTGTGAACTCCTTTCATTTATTAATTGGATGAAATGTCCTGAATATGTTAGGTATATAGTGATTTTAATATATATTTAATGTAAAATGTAATTAATATTTTATGACATTTGAAGTATAAACATTGTGCTACTGAATCATACTGAATACTGTCGAAATGTCGTGTATTTGCTGTGCATGTAGGCGTTTTACACATAAACTGCAACGTTACTGGTATGTTATGAAGCCGAGTCAGAAACACTCTGTTATTTAGATCGTTTTTTTTTTGGCATTTGTGCGGTTTCTGGGTTAGGTTTTCTATATGACTATCTGATATATACGCCTGACTGCAGAGCAACCGCATTGCTTTTATCAATATTCAGTAGGGTTTATACAAAAACCGACATTTCAGAAAACCGGTTTTCGAATTTTCATTTTACTAAAAAACCGGTTTTCGAATTTTAAATAGAAAATGAATTTTTGCTCGAATATTCTCTAATTTATCCGCAATTTTAGTGTAATTTTAGAGCAGTATTTGACTGAATTTATATATTGTTCAATTTTATGGATAGTAAACAAAATTGTTTTTATTTTAATCAGTAGAATAAAAAAATAATAGATTATTTGGATTAAATAACTTTGAAAATAATTATTCGTTATTCATACATCATTTTCGCATAATAGAATGAAAATATTTTTATTTAGTGAAAGGAAAGCTTTTAAATAAATAAAAATAATACATTCCTAAATAAAAAAAAATCATTTAAAAAAAATAAATAAATAAATAAAAAAAATATTAGATACATTTAAATGCATACTTTTTAATATCAATTTCAGTTTTAAAAACAAATAAGCTAAACTGTTCCGAGTAATTTTAATTAAATAATTTTAAATTAATTAATTTCGTTATTCATGCATTTTACATATAAGAATGAAAATATTTTTATGATAGTGAAAGGAAAGTTTTCGAATAATTAAAAATAATACATATTTAAATAAAAAACATTCATTAAAATAAAAAAAAAAATATTAGATATATGTTGATACATGCTTGTTAATATCAATTTCAGTTTTAAAAACCATTAAGCTAAACTGGGATATTATCTGTTCCGAAAAATTTTAATTAATTAATTTTAAACATTCTAATTGTTTTTTTGTTTAATAAAATATGATTTCAAAAAACTGAGAACGTCTATCAAATTGCTACTTAGACTTCTTTGTTTACTCACAAAATTTCCTGAAATAGATAATACTCTCATACTTTGTTGTTGTTTCTAAAGCCTGATATAATAATTCTACGTTTTATGTTCTTTAATTTGTGGCTTCTAGGACTAAAAGCTCTTTTTTTAAGTTTGAGTAGAGGAGGTTACTTCTTCTAGAAGAAGTCACACTGATTTAAATTAATCTATACACTGGTATACTAATCTAAATTAATATATACAAAAGTTTTCTGGAAACAATTACAGACTGATAAGATATCAAATGCTATTGAACCGATATGATTTCAAGAATCAAAGCGCTTTCATCTATCTTTTATATTTGGCTATATTTGTCATTTTCCATTTATACAGTGAAAACCGACTTTTTTCGCTAAAAAACCGGTTTTCTAAATCTATAATTTTCGCCAGAAAACCGGTTTTTGAAAACCGACAAACCCTAATATTCAGTATGAAGAGTTCTTCACAACATATCCTTGCCATATATATATATATATATATATATATATATATATATATATATATATCAAATTATTTATAAAATTGTAAAAAATATAGGTATGTATTCTTATACAAATTAATATATTTATATTTTTAAAAAGATCATCAGTTTTAATACACAACATTTTTGTGCACAGAAATAATCAAGATCATTAAAAAAAAAACGCTTTCAAATGAATTTCCACGATATTACAAATTATATTTTAACTACACGATAAACAGTTTTTCAATCTTCAACATTAGTTAAGACTTTGCCATAATATTTATCTGTTATACGGCAGAATCGGTCTATTACCGTTTCAATTATTTTTCAGGCTGCGAGTACAACTCCTTCACCAGCGACATAACCAGAACCTGGCCCATTTCTGGTTCCTTCTCTTCGCCCCAGAAAATCTTATATGCAGCAGTGCTTCGGGTGCAGGGTGCTCTTCTAGAAAATATGTTAGGAAGCGGCCCACCGACTCTGGACACTTTGTTCAATAGGATGTGCGCCTTGTTTGGTGTCGAATTGAGGAGAATCGGATTTATGAGGAATGCTACTGCACCAGAAATCGCCAGGGTAAGTGAAAAGGGATCGAAAAAATAAATACATCATATAACAATTTTGAATAATGTTCATTTGTAATATGGTATCACTCGTGATGCACACATTTATTAGAGTCAACCGTTATACACATTTATATAATGATAAATCATAAATTATATATTTATATTAGCATTAAAAATGTGTGTGATATTTAAATTTTGGTTTGTCATTGTAGTTAGCATCTAGGACTTGAACCTTTATTAGAAAAATGAAGTAATTGCTGATTAATAAATTCTATAATACTCGTTCATACAGTGGACAGCTGTAATATAGCAATCTTGAATAATTTTATTATCACTACCAATAAATAAACATAGATGTCCCCATTATGAAGTATATCTGTATATAAATGATACAACAAACTATTGTTGTGCTTGATTTTTTGTAATAAATCTGAATATCAATTTGTTCTTCATTATTCATAAAAATATGCAACTTTGTAAACTTAATAATCATCATGGTCGAAAAACACGTAGACTTCCTCTAAACTTCCAATATTGTCTGAGATATAATTCTGAAAAAGATATAGCTTTAATATTTTTTAATTACTATAAAAATGCAGAGAATTATTATGTTGAAGAACGCATAATTAAATATTGTTTTCGCAACTTCACTCATCATGTAATAATTGTGTTTGAAGAACTTCATGTAATTAAAATTAACATACATTAATTGACTGCTTTTTTTAATTATTTCGCTGGCGGTACAGTCTCATTCTTTGAACAGCTGCAGTCTTGTCTATAAAAATAATTTCTGAAAAATATATAGTAAACACGAATAATACAAATTATTTCAATAAACTTACGTTTCTTACACGGCACAGATTTTTCATTTATTTTATTATTTTCACTCCGTATACGCATACAGTCATAGAATCCTCTTACGCGACACGACGACCAATCACAATCGACCCGTATAGAAATGATATCATCGAGAGCGAATGACGAATTATTAGCTCTTCCGTTGTATTTTCACAGATTTACACACTAAAGAAGTTTTACTTCAAAAATTTTTAATTTCTTCTCTATATTTTTTACAACATATTTGTGATTTTGTTGAAAATATATTTTATACGCGTGTATTTTGTTCTCATTTCATTTAGTCAAATTAGTCAGGTTTGTTTTTTCTGTAAATCTTGTAATGATGTAAATCTTATCTAGATTTAAATCTAATAATAAATTTACGTGCTACGGTCGGTGGCGACATCTATGATATGCTGAAAGAATTAAAATTGGTGTAATTTTAAAGCGGCCGTGTTTGCCATCTATATATAAATAGATTTTATTGACATAGATTTTATTTTATTGACATAGATCAAACTTGTAATATTCTTTTATTTTGTGCAGATGATACCAGGACTGTGCCCTCATCATGTAGCCCATTATATTGGTATGGACGTCCAGGACACACCATTGGTACCCAGGAATATACCATTGCAGCCGGGAATGGTTATTTCTATTGAACCAGGTAATAAAATTCTTTCGATTGTATTTTGTCCAGCATTTTAATGAATTGATTTCATTGACCTTATATTACATGGACTGCTAGTAGAGCTCAAAATAAGTGCTCAAACTTAGAAGAGTATGTGACGTTACATGTATGAGCGAACATCGCCGACGACAATCGCGTAACTCTCCCGATTGATCAAATGTCACATATCATACGTTATGTATTACAATGTCATTTATTTCAAAATTATCAGCCATCACAATTTCGATTATATTATTGAACTAGTGGTGTATGGCATATCGTGCCTTAAGGCAAATTGCTGGAACTTCCCGTACCGTAATGAAATATACGAGAAATTTTAAACGTTTTCAAATATATTATTACAAATACTGTGTAACTTTCATTATTTTTGCTATCTTATTATATCTGAACAAATCAAATGTAAATCATAAATCATAAATCAATTTATCTCCAGAACATTAACAATCGTCATTTTCATTTCGAATTCAATTCCAAAAAAATAGTTTAGTTGTCTAATTTGCTCAAAATTGAAAAAGTGCTCCCGTATAGTCACAGTCTATTTGCAAATAATTCTGTGCGACATTTTTACTTATACTCTGCTTAGCTTGGCGGCATTTTCACATTTTTCAATAGTTTTCACAAAAAATTGAAAAAGTGCTCCAACATAAACAGTCTAAACGCACTTGGGTAAACATTTGTATCAGAGTGGCGCTTAGACTGTGCTTAGCCTGGGTAATTTTTTGAATTTTTAATCCAAAATTACAAAAATATTTTATGGAAAATAAGAAAAGATGTAATAATTTTTCATCCTCAAAAGCAATTGTTTTGTCAATACAAGCAGAATTTAGATCATTCAAATCGGACGCTCAGTTCACTCAAATCTGCCATTTTCTGCATATTTAGCTCTGTATCTTCGAAATGGCGGGACCTGTCTTTGCCAAAAACTAATCACCTCTTCTCCCAATTATTACAAATTGAATGTTTTTTAGATCATTCAAATCCGATACTCCGTTCTCTCAAAAGCTCGATTTTTATTTTCTGCACTCTTTGCTCCGTATCTCCGTAACGGCTGGACCTGCCTTTGCCAAAAACTAATCAGCACATCTCCCTATCAATAGGAATCGAATGTTTTTTAAACCATTTAAATCGGTTGATCTGTGCGCCCGAAAACGTTGACGAAAAATGCGGACATGCAAACACACACACACATACACACGCATCTATTTAGTTTCTAAGGTATGCCAAAATGTTCAGAAACCTTCAAAACGTCGAGAAATGCAAAATTCTAATTTTCATTTTCGATTTTCGGCCCATTACTATAACTACCCTACGGGAAATTAATAAAAGATGAGACATATGGCATTTGATTAATAGGGAGAGCCCGCGATTGTCGTCAGCAACGTTCGCTCAGACATGTGACATCACATACCCTTCTATGTTTGAGCACTTATTTTGCACTCGACTAGAAGTCCAAGTAATATAAAGTTTATGTTTGTGGGGCAATTCTGCCTCACAAAATAGCGTTGTCGTGGCAACGCTATCTTATGCTTGTTCCTTGATAGTGAATATGTGACATTGTCTTTGCTGTGCGATCAGGCGTATTTTACATATAAACAAAGCAAGAAAGAATGTTATGATAACTGCATCATGGAAGACTTTGTTATCATAAGATTTTTCCTTGTCGCCATGATAACACTATTTTATTGCGTCCTGGATTTCCGTATTTTTAAATCGATTATTATCAGGTCTCTACATTCCTTCGAGTCGTACGGATGTTTCGGAAATGTACAGAGGCCTCGCCATTCGTATCGAGGACGATGTCTTGATCACAGAAAACGGTCCTCAATTATTAACAGGAACCTGTGTTAAGACTCTCGAAGGATTAGAGAACCTCATTGGAAGCGGTTCGTAAAATAGATACAACAAATAAAAGTAATGCATCACCCAATCGGTCTACACCCATTTTACGTTCAAGTCTGAAACCCTTTAAGATTGTATCGATTCAACAAAACTGTCTGGACACTGATTTTATTTTTACTTAATTTGAATAAACGTTAACAAAGCCTGATTGAAATTACTAGTTTAATTTTAGTCGTGTAAGTAAATAAACAATAAGCATAATGTCTTTTATTCGCTTATGTAATGCTACATACAACAAAAATATTCGAAAACAATATCACCATGTACAAATATCATAACAATTAATTAATTATTACACTAACAAAGTTTTGTTCAATGTACATATACAAACTTGTCCTAACAAGAAATTTTTTAGGGTTACAATAAATTTATACATTTATTCCGATTGTGGGGAATGATTTTGTCAACTTACAAAGTCCTAAATTCATACAAACTACAAACCATTTGGTCTTATAAATAATATCTGGATTCGAGTAATCTCAAAATTTACCAAGTTAGTTCTTCCGGGACTCCTCCGGGGTATTCTCCGGACAGACAGGCTGTACAGTGACCGACTGGTTCATTTATTTCATTTTTTATGTTGATTCGAACAGCTTTCTTTAGACCTTCTACACTTAAGTAGGCCAGACTGTCAGCCCCTGGTAAATGTAATAGACTTATGTAGAAATCTATAATATACTAGTACTTTGTTTCTACTAACCTACGTGTTTGGCTAATTCATCAGGTCCCAGTCTATTCGCAATGAGTTCTTCTCGTGTAGGAATATTTATACCCATATAGCACGGGTAGAGCAGGGGCGGACTGGCAATTCTTATATGTACTTCACGGGCACCAGCATCTCGTAAGAGCTTGATAATTGGACCTAAGTAGTAAAGGATTGATTTAGTATCAAATCATGTTGTAGTTTATGCCAATTTTCAACTTACCAATGGTGTTTCCTCTAACTATACTATCATCGATTAGTATTAATCTTTTTCCTCGAACGTTTTCTGAAAGTGCTCCAAATTTTTTGGCAACCCCGAGTTGCCTCAATCGGGTCGATGGTTGGATGAATGTTCTGCCCACGTAACGATTTTTGCACAAGACTTCTGCAAAAGGCACTCCGGACTAAAATAATAAACAACATTAATCCAACTAGTTGGTATTGGCATTTAGCCTTGAGGCAAGTTACATGAACTTCCCGAAATGTGTAAATAATCGACTTAATCTATAATAAATAAATTTATTTATGCATGATTAGAAGTATTCCGAGTGGATTTATTACACATCATTAAAAAACGAATGAACACGTCAACTCGGAGTATTTTCTAAAAGCAAATTTTCACAAATCAATAATTTTTATAATTGAACCAATTTTCGTAGGACGTTAATGGTTTGTATGTTCATTAAGACCAAGTACTCTAACGTTATAACAAGTAAATCGTCTAATTTTAATTTTAACAAACGTCAAAAAAACTACTTATTTTCTCAAACTTTGATGAATTTTTAAAATTAAACTACTTGTCGAAAGGCCGTTATATTTCAGTAAGTTTTGTAAGACCATGATATATATCGCCCAAGAAAGTTTCATAAAAATCGGCTCAATTTTTTTTGTCAACAGGTAATTACAAGGAAACGGCTTGATAGATTTTCACCTAAAACTAGTCAGCATTATTCCCAACTAATATCTTTCGAACAGTTTTTGATTAAAAATCAATTCGGTAGAATGAGCTTAAATGTGGACGAAAAGTTTAACACTTTTTTTTTCAAATTACAAAGAAGCTTAAAAATTACTTCGACGTCTAACTGGGTGTTATCGATTTACTTCTCCTAACCACTACACCTTTAAATATTTGTTCTATAATTGAACTACTGGTGTGATCGGTGATTATTTAAGTAAAAGGCGACGTTTGATATTAATTTAAGTTTATTATAATAAAAATATGGTGAATATAATGGCATCAGATAGTTGGTGTTTCTATACTGAGCTTTGAACTTATACTAAATAAAAATTATTAAAAATTAAGATAGTAAGTAAGTAAGAGGCGGGTTACATTAATTTGTACATCTACGGGGGATGATTTCTTGGACTTAATATATCTGAGAAGGATGATTCCTTGAAATTATCTTAAGGCATTTTGCAGACTCATAAATAAAATCATCGACGCGGATATAGACAGTCCAGACAAATAACTTACATCAAAATTAAAAAATATATTATGTTACTAATGCATTTAGTACTTGAAATGCGAACGACATATGTAGACAGTGTCCGGCGACACTCTATTCTAGCCTAACAGACGACCCTTACCAAAATAGTTCATGTTACACTATTGAGACTCGATCATAATATAATTACGAATTCTTAACAATAGTGCTCATTGAGATACATTGAATGGCTTTTAAATTTCTGAAATCGGTTCAGGCGTTTTGAGCAAACGTCGATGATAGGTCTAATTTTGACAAATGCCAAAAAACGATACCAAACTTTGACGAATTTTTAAAGCTAAACGAGTTGTCGTAGGGCCGTAATATTTTAGTATGATGATCTAGAAGACTATGGTATCTACCGTCAAAAAAAATCATAAAAATCGACGATTTTTTTTTCAAACTTCATTACAAGAAAACGGCCCGGCCGATCTTTACCAAAAACTATTCAGCACGATTCTCAACCAATATCTATCGAACGGTTTTTGAATTTTCAGAATCGATTCAGAATTGCGGGCTAAAACGTGGACGAAAAATTTTTCACTTTTCAGCGATTTATAAAGAAATGGTTCGGACGATCATCGCACAAAACTCAGAAACGCTAGTCCTCATCGAGATACATCGAATGGCTTTTAAATTTTTGAAATCGGTCGAACAGTTTTTGAGATTTTTTACGGCAAAAAATCTGTTCACACACATGCACACACATACGAGCTCTCATTCGATACGCTCTCATTCGATTCAGAATGGCTTGAAACGTCGAGATAACATAAACATAAAATTAGCGAATCGGATTTTTTGATGAAAACATAAACTTCTCCTTCGGGAAGTTAAAAATTTCTGGTATTTTTAATATTGATAATGTTTTTTTTACCTCGAGTGCGTATCCATGGGCGGCGGCAGTCCCGCTTTCAGGTACACTACTAACAATATCAGCCCCCTTACAAGGTGCCTCTCTTGCCAATTGGGCACCACATTGCATACGAACAGAATAAACCATTCTGCCTTCCAAAAGACTGTCGGATCTTGCAAAATAGACGTATTCAAAAATACAAAAGGCTGGAGGCACTGGTGTCAAACCTCGTCCTGGAGGACGAGGTTCAGGTGTTCCGCAGGTTACTGGACCTCGTTCTCGTGTTATTTCTACTATTTCACCAGGTCTCACCTGGTAACAAAATGTAGAAAATTGAAAGTTATGCTCGTTTTTTGAATTATGTGTAGGCAGAGCCGGTCATACCTTTAATGCGATGCATGCGAAAAATACGAGCGCACGCCTTAGGGGGCGCCAACACAAGATTCGGATATTAAATTTTCAATATAGTTTTTTTTTTTTAAATGTAATTCAAGAAACATATAATTTCTGTGCATTTTTCACTGATTTTTTAGCAATATTTAAGATGCAATTTTGGATATATTAAATAATAAAAAAAAACAAAATAAAATAATCCGACATAAAGCACTAGTGTTATATTCAATAATAAAAGGCTAGATTTTGTTTGCTTTCCATTATTTGTTTAACAGAATAAATCGCATAGAATCTCCACAATAAACTAGTTGGTTTGGTATTTAGCCTAGAGGCAAGTTACGTGAACTTCCCGATATGTGTAATTAATCGACTTAATCAATAAAATATAAATTAATTTATGAGTGATTAGAAGTATTCCGAGTGGATTTATTACACTTGATTGAAAACGAACGAACACTTTGACTCGGAGTATTTTCTAATAGCAAATTTTCAAAAATCACCAGTTTTTATAATTGAACCAGTTTCCATAGGACTTTAATGATTTACTATGTTCATTAAAACCAAGTACTCTATCTTTATACTAAGTAAATTGTCTAATTTTAATTTTAACAAACGTCAAAAAAACTACTCATTTTCTCAATCTTTGATTAATTTTTAAAATTAAACTACTTGTCGTAAGACCGTAATATTTCAGTAAGTTCTATAAGACCATGATATAAATCGCCAAATAAAAATTCCTTAAAAATCGGCTTAATTTTTTTTTTCAACAGTTAATTACAAGAAAACGGCTCGGTAGATTTTCACCTAAAACCAATCAGTATCATTCCCAACTAATACCTTTGGAACAGTTTTTGATTTTTTAAAATCGATTCGGTAGTTTGAGCTTAAATGTGGACGAAAAGTTTAACAATTTTTTTCAAATTATAAAGAAACGGCTTGGCAGATCGTCGCACAAAACTGACAAACGATAGTCCTCACCGAAATACATCAAATGGCTTTTAAATTTTTGAAATCAGTTAAGGCGTTTTTGAGAAAACGTCGATCCAAGATTTCATTTTGACAAATGTCAATAAAACGATACCAATTTTTGCAAACTTTGACGAATTTTTAAAGCTAAACGAGTTGTCGTAGGGCCGTAATATTTTAGTATGATATAGAAGACTATGGTATCTACCGTCAAAAAAAAAATCATAAAAATCGTCGAATTTTTTTTTTTTTTAAACTTTATTACAAGAAAACGGCCCGGCCGATCTTTACCAAAAACTAATCAGCACGATTCCCAATCAATATCTTTCGAACGGTTTTTGAAATTTCATAATCGATTCAGAATTGCGGGCTAAAACGTGGACGAAAAATTTTTCACTTTTCTGCTATTTATAAAGAAACGTCTCGGCCGATCGTCCCACAAAACTGAAAAACGATAGTCCTCGTCGAGATACATCGAATGGCTTTTAAATTTTTGAAATCAGGCTAGCCGTTTTGGAGAAAACGTCGATTTACGGCAAAAAATCTGTTCTCATACACGCACACACATACACACATACTTTTTCCAAATTTGGTCTCATTCGATTCAGAATGGCTTGAAACGTCAAGAAAACATAAAATTAGCGAATCGGATTTTTTGATGAAAACATAAACTTCTCCTTCGGGTATGTGTAAATGTACCTCTCTGACATAACGTGCACCTATAGACAAAAATCCGCAGCTCTCGCTTGATATAACCCATCCATCAGCAGGAATATCATTAACATCACCTGGACAAAAACAAAAAATTACAATCACACCCATATTCCTTAAATTAAATCACAAACTGTCCACTATCTACCTGTAGCTCCTATAGGTACAATCTTCCCCAAGCACAAGGGTCGGTTACCATAAGGGTCTCTGACTCCATATATTCTATCCCTGAATGCAATCACCAAGGAATAGGATAAGGGTGCTAATCGCATCAATTGCCTAATTCTTGCTGGCCAATCAGGCCCTGATCCTTCGGCTTCTGCACCATCAGGAGGCGAAAGACACAACGCCTGGGTTATCAGTTCGGAATCGGAATGGGTTGATAGACCTACACCCCGAGCCAAAACCTGGTAGGAGAAATATATTATAATAAAAATAAATATTTTGATGTAGAAGAAGAATTAATTACTACCATTCGTCTCAGGCTTTCACAATTGACAAGTTCTCCATTGTGGGCAACGGCCATGATTCCGTGATTCGTGTGTACTACAAAGGGTTGGCAGTTTACTTCTTCACTAGCTGCTGATGTCGAATATCTGAAGGGAACAGAAATTAAACCAAGGTAATTTTTATCTTATATATCTTATATATAAAAATCGAGCTCTCGATCAAATGATCCACTAAAACTCGAAAACGGCTAAACCGATTTGGCCAGACTTAGTCTTGAACAATTCGTGCCAATCAGTAGGTTGTCGGAAAGGTGAGATATTATTTCAAAATCGCGTACAAACTTTACATTTTTAATTTGAACATTTTTGTAGAAGCGCAATTTAAACTAGTTGTGTGTATGGCATCGTGCCTTAAACCAAATTGCTGGATTGACTTCCCGTACCGTAACGAAATGTTCGAGGAATACTGAATGTTTTCAAATAGACTATTATAAGTATTGTAACATTCTTATAAATATTGTCATTTATAAGAATTATATAAACTGAATTGCAAAGTTGAAATTATTTGTTGAAAGTATATTAGAACTTTAGTCAGAATTAAAAATAAAATCTGAATTATTTTCGATAAATAAAAATAAAAAAAAAAAAAAGTTGAAAAATTTTTTTTCCAAAATCAATTATTTTGTTAAGACAAGCAGAAAGTTCTTTGAATCATTTAAATCGGACGCTTAGTTCTCTCAAAAACTGCCATTTTTAGCCATTTAACTCCGTATCTTTGAAATGGCTGGGCCTGCCTTTGCAAAATCTGATAAACACTTCTCCCAATCATTACTAATTGAAGTTTTTTTAGAACATTCAAATCGGATGCTCCGTTCTCTCAAAAATTCGATTTCTATTTTCTGTACTCTTTGCTCTTTATCTCCGTAACTGCTGGACCTGCCTCTGCCAAAAACTAATCAGCTCGTCTCCCTATAAATAGGAATCGAATGTTTTTTGAATCATTCAAATCGGTTGATCCATGCGCCCGAAAACGTGACTGGAAATTTGTATCCATACATACATACACACACACACACACACACATCCATTTTTTCTGAGGTGTGCCAAAATGTTCAAAAACCTTCAAAACGTCGAGAAATGTAAAAATTTTCAATTTCGATTTTCGGCCCATTACAATAACTTACCCTACGGGAAGTTAATAAAACAATGGACGGTGGCTAATACGTCAAATGTCAAACGTTTTTGACAGATGATGTTCAATTTCGTTTAAAGGGATGTTTTACGTGAATATCATTTAATTATGATTAAATTGTAGTGAGTAGTTTTGTTCGTAGTTTTATTTATACACAAAAACGTTATTAAACGGATTGCAAGTGTTACTAGAAACTCAAAATATCAACTTTTTCGAAATGTTAATATGAAAATGCACTTTTTGGCGTTGTAGCACTCTTATTTGCAAATCACATTTTTCTCAAACACGGTGCTCTGAAAGATCTCATTTGTATAATTATATACTCATTGGTATTCATAAAACATTTTCAAGGTTATATTATTTTTTATTCATATTATTTTAAATTCAGAACCTAAATTTGGTATCGATCAAAGGGACATTTTATCGAATAACATTTTCCCAGTTATAATTTCCCAGAATTTATTGAAGAATAGATAGTAATATATGAAGGTTCGGGGTTAAAAAGGTCCACCACCGATGTGTCAAAAATCAGTAAAGTTAAGCATTGTTTAACAAAGATATTTGAAAGTAGAGGGAAAAAGATGTATAACCAGCTATAACCTTGATTCTCATGACTTCGCTATCGGGAGATAAACAGAAATCTTTAAAAATCCATAATAAAAGTATTTTTTCCGTTGGTAGTTTTTTTTAGCATTAGTTAAAAATGTAATTGTTTTGTATTACAAATATAAAATTTTCACATTTTTGTATGGTAGTTTTATGTACTTTGTTGAGATAATTAATAATAACTCGTGAGCGGACATAAAATTTATTAATTTTACTATTATACTATTTAGTAGATCTATTTAGGATTAATATCTATAGATTCGATCTATAGAATTAATATATCTATAGATTTCCAGTACAATCGGCACGGTCTGATGAGCTTGCTTAAAATTAAAAAAAAAACAAATAATGTAGAGTATTGCAATTTTATATGAAACTATCAAAACCGTGTTTAAACAATTGATAATTTCTTGCGAGCGGAAATAAATGTTACTAATTGTACTATTTTACTATTTAGTAGACACATTTAGGATTAATATACTAAAATTACAAGTCTGTGTTACAAACGAAACGTTCTGAAGAGCTCATTAGAACCTAAAAATACTAATTCCTTGTAATTATGTATTTATATTTTGTAAAATACCTTTAAAATTAAAATGGCCGTTCCAAGTTACTCCGTTTATAGGGTGAAAAGATCTAGATAACAAATTTTTGAAAGACAGCAAAAAAGCACATTTCTACAATGATGAAGTAAAAGGCAGTTTACTGAACGTAGTCAGATAATTGTTCGTTTGAAATGTGTTATTTGTTGTGATATAATTGGTTTGGTTTTTATAATACTCGTATAATTAATATTTGTTCCAAGTCAAATTGGACCTTTGTGCCTCGCCTTGCTCAACATATTTACTTTAATTCATCGAATGTTACTTGAAACTTTTCAAAAAGCAGGTCGAAGAAGAAATACTTAATTCATTTTCTATCTCTCCTCGCAGAAATTTGAATTTTTTTTTATAAACTCAGTAGTATTATTTACAATTATACACAAAATCCAGAATTCAGAAAGAATCTGAAAAACTTGGAACGTAATCAATAAGTCGAAAGACCAAAAAAAACTTGGATTGGATTGCACTATGTTTTCTATAGAAAGTGTACAAAACTTCCAGACAAAATATAGACAAACTAATGCGATTTATTGTTTTTATAATACATTATTGTATATAGCATTCAAACAACACATCATCCTTATACACTTAAAGTATTAATATTTTTGATTCTCTAGAAATTGTTTAGACCTTACTTAGCAAAACAACGTTTGCCGGGTCAGCTTGTATTTTAATATCTTTTATCCCTTACCTCGTGTGTCCGATTCCCAGATTGCCTTTCAACTTTTTCATAGTTTCATCTGTAAAGATATTGCTAATCATACCCATTCCTTTGTGAATGTTAAAACTTTTGGCACAAGTTCCTTCGCTCGTGACGATTCCTGCCGATTCTTGGCCTCTGTGCTGCAGGGCGACCAGGCCTAGTACTATCACTTGGGCAACATCAACCTGGGGAAGAAAGAAATATAGTAGAAATTATATTTCTAAAATATAAATATAATAGAAATTATATTTCTATTTATTTTTTGTTGGTTTTACATTTACCAACCTGCGTAGGCCAATCGCCACATGCTATTGCTCCAAAAACGCCACATTCGTGGGTTAGGCCACTTTCTACTGCTCCACGACCCTTCCTGGGAAAAGGATAAGGGTTAAATTATATGCAAATGTTGTTTTTCTGGTTGATGGTTTAGACAAAATTTATTAGGTATTATCGTAGAGTAGTACTATTAGTAAAATTATCATGGCAATGCTCTCTTATGCTTGTTCTTGGTATTGAAAATCATGAAAATGTCTATTTGCCGTGCGATCAGGCGTATTTTACATATAAACAAAGCAGCAAAAAAGAATCTCATGATAACTGCATCATCGAAGATTCTCTTACGATTCCATTCTTCCTTGCTTTGTTTGTTTTATTTATTTATTTTATTTATTTATTAACTTCCCGTAGTTATTGTAATGGGCCGAAAATCGAAATTGAAAATTTTTACATTCCTCGAAGTTTTGAAGGTTTCTGAACATTTTATTGGCATGCCTCAGAAAAAATGGATGTGTGTGTGTGTATGTATGTATGGATACAAATTTCCAGTCACGTTCTCGGGCGCACGGATCAAACGATTTGAATGGTTCAAAAAACATTCGATTCCTATCGATTAGGGAGATGTGCTGATTAGTTTTTGGCAAAGGCAGGTCCAGCCGTTTCGGAGATACGGAGCAAAGAGTGCAGAAAATAGAAATCGAGTTTTTGAGACAACGGAGCATCCGATTTGAATGATCTAAAGAACATTCAATTAGTAATGATTGGGAGAAGTGGTTATTAGTTTTTTGCAAGGGTAGGCCCAGCCATTTCGAAAATACGGAGCTAAATATACAAAAACTGGCAGTTTTTGAGAGAACTAAGCGTCCGTTTCAAATGATTCAAAAAACTTTCTGCTTGTTTTAACAAAATAATTGATTTTGGAAAAAAAAAATTGTACCAACTTTTTTTTAAATTTTTTTTTTCAAATTTTTTTTTATTGTATATCGAAAATAATTCAGATTTTATTTTTAATTCCGAATATAGTTCAAATATACTTTAAGCAAATAATTTCAACTCTGCAATTCAGTTTATATAATTCTTACAAATATTAGACAATGCTACAATATTAATAATAATCTAGTTGCAAACATTTAGTATTCCCCGTATATTTCGTTACGGTACGGGAAGTTCCAGCAATTTGCCTTAAGGCACGATGCCATACACCCCACTAGTTTTTTATTTAGTTTAGCAGAAACTAGATAAAATTACTAAATCACTAGTTAAAGTGTTTTATATACTTTAATATAAAATTTTTGAATTAAACGAGTTGCAACCCACTTTTATAAATTGGACCTTACATGGATTCAGGCATTTTTAGACATTTTTTCATAAAATTTTAAAATTTCGTTTTGGGCACTATAATTTTTTATGTTAGCAGAAACTAGATATTATTTATCAAAATACCATATAAACTATTTTATGTACTATGATACTAAATTTTTAAATAAATATTTTATTAGTTACATCTCGCATTTATATATTCTATCCATCATGGTCATTTGGGTCGGGACATTTTTCTGCCTGTCTTTATATAACTGAAAAATTTCGTTCCGGGCACCCTGATATTTTTAACTTAGCATAAACTAAATAAAATTTACAGAAATTTTACATAAACCAAATATTTAAATAAACTTATTGTTAATTGCAACTTGCATTTATATATTGTATCATTGTATCAAAATCATCGCTATTTGGGTCGGGTAATTTTTCTGCATTTCTTTAAATAACTTAAAAATTTCGTTCGGAACATTCTAATTTTTTTATCTTAGCAGAAACTAGAGGAAATTGAATAAAATTCTACATAAACCAAAATATATACTCTGATACTAAGTTTTTAAATAAACCAATTGTTACTTGCAACTCGCATTTATATGTTGTATCAATCATCGCCATTTGCGTCAGGACATTTTTTTGCATTTCTTCAAATAACTTACAAATTTCGTTCGGAGCATTCTAATTTTTTTATCTTAGCAGAAACTAGATGAAATTGACTAAAATTCTACATAAACCAGAATATATACTCTGATACTAAATTTTTAAATAAACCAATTGTTACTTGCAACTCGCATTTATATGTTGTATCAATCATCGTCAGGACATTTTTCTGCATTTCTTCAAATAACTTAAAAATTTCGTTCGGAGCATTCTAATTTTTTTATCTTAGTAAAAACTAGATGAAATTGACTAAAATTCTACATAAACCAAAATATATACTCTGATACTAAATTTTTAAATAAACCAATTGTTACTTGCAACTCGCATTTATATGTTGTATCAATCATCGCCATTTGCGTCAGGACATTTTTCTGCATTTCTTTAAATAACTTAAAAATTTCGTTCGGAGCATTCTAATTTTTTGAGCTTAACAGAAACTAGATGAAATTGACTAAAATTCTACATAAACCAAAATATATACTCTGATACTAAATTTTTAAATAAACCAATTGTTACTTGCAACTCGCATTTATATGTTTTATCAATCATCGTCAGGACATTTTTCTGCATTTCTTCAAATAACTTAAAAATTTCGTTCGGAGCATTCTAATTTTTTTTATCTTAGTAAAAACTAGATGAAATTGACTAAAATTCTACATAAACCAAAATATATACTCTGATACTAAATTTTTAAATAAACCAATTGTTACTTGCAACTCGCATTTATATGTTGTATCAATCATCGCCATTTGCGTCAGGACATTTTTCTGCATTTCTTTAAATAACTTAAAAATTTCGTTCGGAGCATTCTAATTTTTTGAGCTTAGCAGAAACTAGATGAAATTGACTAAAATTCTACATAAACCAAAATATATACTCTGATACTAAATTTTTAAATAAACCAATTGTTACTTGCAACTCGCATTTATATGTTGTATCAATCATCGCTATTTGGGTCAGGACATTTTTTTGCATTTCTTCAAATAACTTAAAAATTTCGTTCGGAACATTCTAATTTTTTTATCTTAGCAGAAACTAGATGAAATTGACTAAAATTCTACATAAACCAGAATATATACTCTGATACCTTTTGTCTGTGACTTCTTTCAGTTCATCTGCTGCAGGCGTTTTCCGACAGCCATCCTTGTCGATGGTAGACTCCATCTACCGGCAGATCTTTTGGATACTGCAGAAAAACAAGGTGAGTTTATTAGATAAGCTAAATAATTATATTCAAAAGTACGGTCTAGATATTTTATCAATTAGATAATATATTAATAGTATAGAGAAATACCACAACTCGATTTTCTTGTCAAATCTTTTATTTCTCAAGTCAAGATTCAGTTTGCTCGTCGGTAGAGTCCTTTTTTTATATTATGTGATATATTTAATTTATTCGTGAATTTAATTTGCATTTCATGTATAGTTCCAGTCAGAAGAATATCTTCTTTTCATATGCAAAGATGCAATTTAAATGGAACTTATTCTTAAATTTTTGGATATAACTCGAAACCTATTTGTCGTATCGTAATGCAATCTTCTAGTAAATTATAAATTTTAAAATTATCTACAATATTGTCCTACGTGATATTTGTGTAGAATTGATATTCGTACGTTAAAACCACGTTTGAAAATAGAAATTTGAATAGCATCAGTATAGGATATTTACGCTCATCAGGCAATCTTATTTTGTACACATTGGGCAATTGGGCATTGGGCTATACTTCTATCTATAGGAATATTGGGACATTTTTTTAAACTTTTGGATATAATTCGAAAACTATTTTTTGTATCTTCGTACAATCTTCTGGTAAATTATAAATTATAAAATTCTCAACAATATTGTCTTATATCATATTTTTATAGAATTGATATTTGTATGTTAAAAACACGTTTGAATGTACACATAGCATTAGAGTAGGGTATTTGTACTCGTCGGGCAGTATATCTATTTATAGGAATAGAGGTACATTTTCCTAGATTTTTGGTTATAACTTTTGAACTATTCTTTATATCTTAATGCAATCAAGTAAATTTTAAGTCACAAAATTATCTACAATATTGTCTTACATCATATTTTTGTAGAATTGATATTTGTACGTTAAAAACACGTTTGAAAGTACGAATTTGAATAGCATTAGTATAGGATATTTATGCTCATCAGGCAATATTGTTTATTCACATCAGACAATACTTCTGTTTATAGGGATAAAGGTATTTTTTCTTAGTTTTTTGGATATAACTCGAAAACTATTTGTCGTATCGTAATGCAATCTTCTAGTAAATTTTAAGTTATAAAATTATCTACAATATTGTCCTATATCATATTTTTGTAGAATTGATATTTGTTTAAAAACACGTTTGAAAATACAAATTTAAATAGCAGTAGAAATTAGGATTTATTCTTAGATTTTTGGCGATAATTTGGAAACTGACTGTTGTTTCTTAATGCGATCTTCTAATAAATTTTAAGTTGCAAAATTTCCTACAATATTGTCTTATATAATACTTTTATAGAATTGATATCATCATTAGTATAGGATATTTATACTCATCGGGCAATACTTCTGTTTATAGGGAAAGTGGTACATTTTCTTAGATTTTTGAATATAACTCGAAAACTATTTGTCGTATCCTAATGCAATCTTCTGGTGAATTTTAAGTCATAAAGCTATCTACAATATTGTCTTATATCATATTATAAAATAACCGTTATATTTAATTATGTGTGCCTTTAAAAATAAAAATAAAAATTAAATACTAACAAAATACTTTTGTGAGTCAAAATTTACTTCACTCGTCAGTACAGTCTCTTCTTATTTTCATTGATTCATTTTGCTCGTTTATAGACAGTCATTGAGAACATACTAATTCCAAAAAAATCAATCACGAACTTTATTAGGTTACTGACACAAAATTAAGATTGGGATACATCTTAACCTTCCCAAGCCTTATCTTGTTGGCCACAAAAAAAAATGAAGATCCATTTCCTATATCAGCTCATGTGTAAGATTAAATTTCATAATTTTTTTTCTTTTTCGAGATTATAAGAATTATTAGTCACCTCGACCTGATAAAAGATACATATTTATTACACATCCTCATTATCGGTAATGAACTTTAGCCCTTTTATAATAATATAAATCTGTGCGTCATCATCGACATCGTCATAATCGAAATATATATATATATATATATATATATATATATGTCGTTATTTTTCCTTATTTATATATATATATATATATATATATATATTGTTGTCAATAATAATATGTTTGACGCAAACATGTTGTTCTCTCTTCTCGGTTGTTATGCACTCGAATAAAATAAAAAAATCATATATATATATATGTATATATATATATATATATATATATATATAAATATGCACTACTAGGTATCACTATCGAATTTCAATGCAAACGGAAGCTTTTACTAAGATAAGGTTTTATAAATATATAATTTCAGATAAATATAGATAATAAAATAAAATAGGCGCCATTCATAAATAAATTCCAGTTAAATAAATTGTTTAACATTTATGCATTAAGTAAATATAAATAAACAATTCAAATGTAAATATTAGTAATAAAAGTTACTGTACACAACAGGCAATCGTCACAAATAAATATAAGAGATATACAAAAGACTAACTAAAACTATTAAAATTCTTTTTGTATTTTTAAACGTGTTTTAACGTACAAATATCAATTGTATAAAATTATGATGTAGGACAATATTGTAGACAATTTTATAACTTAAAATTTACTAGAAGATCGCATGAAGATACAACAAATAGTTTTTGAGATATATCCAAAAATCTGAAAAAAATGTATCTGTATCCATATGAACAGAAGTATTGCCTGAGGCGTATTAATATCCTAATGTACTACTATTTAAATTTGTATTTTTAAACGTATTTTTAATGTACAAATATCAGTTTTATAAAATTATGACGTAAGACAATATTTTAGATAATTATATAATTTAAAATTTACTAGAAGATTGTATGAAGGTACGATAAATAGTTTGCAAGTTATATCCAAAAGTCTAAAAAAATGTACCTCTATTCCTATAAAGATGCGTATTAATATTCCAATCTACTGATATTTAAATTTGTATTTTTAAACGTATTTTCAAAGTAAAAATATCAATTATATAAAAATATGATTTAAAACAATATTGTAAATAATTTTATAACCTAAAATTTACTAGAAGATTGTATGAAGTTACAACAAGTAGTTTTTGTGTTATATCCAAAAATCTAAAAAAATGTATCACTATCTTTATATTATCTTTTATTGAAATTAAAAAAAAAAATCTTTATAAACGAACTGCCCGATGGGTATAAAATAGGATTGCCTGATGTGTGTAAATATCCTTGCCTTGACTGATTGCAAGTTTTTTTTATAGAAGACTTTTATTTAATATTTAATTTAGAATTGCCCGAAGTGCACGAATCTTTTATTATATGATTTAAAGAAATTTTATTAAAATTTCTATTTTGTACACATAAATAAAAATTTAAGACTAAATATTATAATTGGTAAGTTAGCAATATTTATTATAATTTAATTTTAGCTAATAAAATTTAAAATTTTCAAAAAATCTTAAGAACTAAATTGCTAAAATAAATTTTCAAAAAAATTTATATTTTTTTTAAATATTTATTGATAAAATTCCAAGCTTTAGATTATTTAAATATATAAAACTAGTTTAGATTAATTGAATACATATTTAAAATAAATTATGACAATCTATTAAGTAGCCATACAGATATGATATTTGTACACATCGGGCAATCCTATTTTGGTAATTCAGATAGACATTTTTATATATTTATTTATATAACTTGTAACCTAATATTGTATCTTAATGCAATCTTCTGGTAAATTATAAATTACCAGATTAAATTCAAATTTCAAAATCAGATTAACATATTAATACTCATCGGGCAATGTTATTTGTTACACATCGGGCAATACTTCGGTTTCTACGAACGGTGAAACATTTTTCTTAGTTTTTAATATTTAATTTGTAAACTATTTGTTATATCTTAATGCAACATTCTGGCGAATTTTAAATCATAAAATTATCTACAATATTGTCTTATATCATATATTCATGAAATCAATATTTGTGCTTGAAAACATCAAATTGAAGTGGCTTAAATTAGTCATTATAATTATCTAAAATTAACCCACAAACGGAATCTAAATCATAAAACAAATAGAACTCATTATTGTTTACCCAATAATACACAAGAATCATGACTAGAATAACATTAATTTCTTAATAAATTACTTTTTTTAACAATTTTATCTATAAATAAAACGATCTTGCAATAATTGTCGTCAACAATATTTTATCTCATTGCATTTACGCAATCGATTGCAAATGCAAACGCATTTTTAAAATTATTATTTATAATTATATTTATGATTATGTCGATCTGATTGCTGTTGTTTATCATCTTCAATTATATAAAAAAAATCTATGCAATAAATAATATTTTGCGAAATATTCCGCTGCGAAAATAAATTGCATCGCAAACGAATTGGAAACATTTTAGTGTTATCTATGCATTTGGGTTAAATAAATAAATATATATGTGCATTTATGATTATAAACAAATAATAGGCGTCTTGTTAATAATTTATATTATAAATCTATACCTTTGTTGTAAGATAAATACTAGAGAACTCCTCAACTAGCTTTACGATCGTTTACATTAATTCTGTATTTTTAAACATATTTTTTCAATACAAATATCGATTATTTTATAATAAAATGTAAGATAGAAACATAGATAATTTTATAACTTAAAATTTACCAGAAGATTGCATTAAGATACAATAACTAGTTTTCAAGTTATATAAATAAATATAAAAAATGTCGCATATTTCTTGCGAACTGAAATAGTATTGCCCGATGTGTACAAATAACCCTAATTTTTGACTAAACGGATTGTAAAGTAGATTGTTCGAAATTATTAAAAAAAATTTAAGCAATTAATATAAAATAAAACTAGTTTCAATTATTTAAATAAATCAAACTTGGAATTTTAGAAATATATTTTTTAAAATTCAAAGAATTTTTTCAAAAAAATTATCTTAAGAGTTCTCATAGTAATAGAAAAATTTTTCAGCAATTTAAAGTTATAATGAAAGTTTCTAACTTTTTCCAGAATACCAATTAAATCTTTAGTCTTAAATTTTTATTTAAGTACCAAAAATAATGATTTTAATACAATTTAAATAACCACTTTATTTATATAATAAAAATATATACCATTTTTTACACATCGGGCAATACCAAATTGAATAGCTCAACATTAATAATTATATTTATAAAAAATCTTTCATTTTGTTAAGCAATCATAAAATTAGGATATTTATACGCATCAGGCAATCCTATTTCATACACATCAGGCAATACTTACGTTTATAGGAAAAATTGGAACATTTTTTTTAGATTTTTGGATATAACTCAAAAACTATTAGTTGTATCTTATTGCAATCTTCTGGTAAATTTCAAATTATAAAATTGTCTACATTATTGTCGTATATTATATTTATGTAGAATCGATATTTGCACTTTAAAAATATGTTTCAAAATACAAATCGAATTTAAATACTTCTACGTTAATATAACAATCTTAGAACAAAGATCTTTAATTAGTAGTTGATTAAAAAAATATACTGCGTATTTCATGATATATATATATATATATATATATATATATATATGTATATATATCAAATTATTAATTTGCATATTATTTATGTAATTCAATATTTTTATCGATAACAAGTCTGCATTGAAAACCTGTTGTGAGAAACTCGATCTAATTATTTTGTTGATGAGAAAATTATCGTTTATTTAGTATTTTTAATCACTGCAGAATTATATAATAATTATATATACACATACCTTAATATTTATATAATAATATTTTGCCATTTAGACAAAACAAATCTTAATAATAATAAATTTGATTTGTTATAGAATTCGGAGGCATTTTTTTACAATTCGTTTAATAACTTGAAAACTCGAGAAGGGACACTAATTTTTAGTTGACTTAGCAGAAACTAGATAAAATTTGCAATATTTTTGTGTTAATAGTTTAATTTGCTTGGGTACAAAATTTTAAATAAAATGAATCCCTTGACTCACCCTTAAGCATTGTGTAAATTTGTAGTATATCGTTTTGGGACACTTTTCTACATTTTGTTAAAAACTTGAAAATTTTGTTCCGGGCATTTTTTTCTAATAAGCAGAATCTAGATAAAATTTACTAAAATTCCATATAAGCTGTTTTTTGTAGTCCTATATTTGAAAGTTTTTAATAAAATGAGTGTAAACTCTCCCTTAATCATTTTGTAAATTTGTTATATGCATAAGTGGATTTGGGACAATTTTTTACATTATGTAATATAACTAAAAAAAAATTTCCGGGGCACTATATTTTAGATAGCTTAGCAGTAACTAGATAAAATTTATTATTATTAGTCCCATAAGAAAATTTTGAAGAAAATGAGTGTGGACTCTCCCGTATGCATTGTATATAGTTTCAGGACACTTTTTTTATATTTTGGTAAATAACTCGAAAATTTCTTCAAGGACATTCTGTTTTAGTTAGCTTAGCAGAAACTAGATGAAATTTACTAACTTTACATATAATTTGTCTTATACGCTTCCATAGGAAAATTTTAAATAAAATTACATTTTTTCATAAACTATATATTTTCAAAGAAACTTAATGCAAAACAAGTTCAGTATTGTTTTAGTTAATAATTATTAAACTGTAATGCATATTATTTCGAATAATATTAAATAAAAATTTTACTTTCTTTCGGAAACGGAGAAAAAATATTAATAATCTATATTTTTGATTATTTGTCAAAGTTCAAAGTACAAAATGTTTGATCTAAATTTACATGTATTTGTTTAGAAAGTTGGAATTCCCTTCTCAACAGTACTATTACTAACAGTACTGTTAATTGTTTTCGAATTGTAGGGCATTATGATGTTAGTAAATAATATTAATAAATTAATTAATTAATAAATTAAATGAAATATTGCTCCGTAAAAGACTTAATCATACTTGGACCACATTTATTTATAACAATTCAAGTGCACATCAAATATTAACAAATTTTTTTAAACAAATTTATGTAAAATTATTTATATTGTGTACTAATATTTTTAAAATTGTAAAAGAAATTTTTGTAATTTATTTTTACTGAATGATGACACACATCAAGAGTCGAAACGTATGAAGCGAAAATTTATTATTTATTATTTAATTCCACGAATTAAGTAATTTATTATTTTTAACTTCCCGAAGGAGTAGTTTAAGTCTTCATCAAAAAATCCGACTCGCTAATTTTATGTTTTCTCGACGTTTCAAGCTATTCTGAATCGAATGAGACCAACATTTGGAAAAAGTATGTGTGTGTGTGTGTATGTGTGCGTGTGTGTGTATGTGTGCGTGTGTGTGTGAACAGATTTTTTGCCGTAAATCGACGTTTTCTCGAAAACGGCTGGACCGATTTCAAAAATTTAAAAGCCATTCGATGTATCTCGATGAGGACTAGCGTTTCTGATGTACAACGATCGGCCAGGCCGTTTCTTTGTAAATTGCAGAAAAGTGAAAAATTTTTCGTCCACATTTTAGCCGTTTATATATTTTTACTGAATGATGACACACATCACGTGTCGAAACGTGAGAAGTTAAAATTAATTTATTATTTTTAATTCGATGAATCGGTTGCTAATTATTTTAAATATATTAGGTTGTCAAATATCTCCCTTCCGCCTTTTTGTATTATAAACCAAGAGCAAAAAAGCGGAAGGGAGATATTTAACAACCTAATATTTCCACGTTAAAAAATATATATTAAATACAAAAAATAATAATATTATTATATATAATATTTATTTTATATTTTATAAATATTTATATTTTTAATTTAATATTATTATAAATAGTATTTATAATTAATATTACTATATTTATAATTTATAATTTTTTATATAAAAATAGGAACACTACACTTATGCAAAAAAATTATTTCATTGATTTAAAATAATACGTTTCGACACCATGATATGTCTCATCATTAGGGTAAATTCTTAAGGCAAAAAAATATACAATGTTATAAAATATTTATATAATTCAAACATATATATATATATATATATATATATAAATTATTTCATTTATCTCACCTCTGAAGTTCCTCCAAGTGTAATATTACAAAACAACCTCTGTGTGTCTTACACTACACGCACACCGGTAACAATTTTTAATTTATTATTTAACCAATTACTAAATTTTATTTCAACGATTAAGTTAAATTATTACAACACTCTTCTTCTGTCAAAATATATTTAGATGGATATATTATTCCATTGACCAAGTGAACGATTGAATAAATATGTTTCGTTAAAAACGAAAACGAAAAGTGATATGACCCAAGCCGGTTTTCTGTGCCCCCGTAGCGCTAGTTGTGTGTGTGTTTTTTTCCTAATAAATTCGACTTGGTAGGAGATTCGAACAAACGTTAGACGGTCGTTTGTGGTAATGATATTAATAGTGGTAATGGTAATGGTAATAGAATGGTCGACGTTTGTAAAAAGAACTTTAGGAAGTTGCTTAAAATTTTGCACTAGTTTCTTACATAGCCCATTGTAACTTAATTAAGTTAAAAATATATCAAAGAATCGTTTTGCCAAACACTATTTCTTATGTCAGACGTATATGACTGACGCAGCTTTATATTAAAACTTTTTTTCCTACCAAATTGCATATGTTAGATATATATGGCTGGCACTATGGATGTGTTACTTTTTGACGTCAGACACATACGACTGTCATGGCGTTTAACGTGTTTGATTTTTTATTTTCTTATATATATTTTTTATGTCACACATATATAACTGACATGGCCCTGAATTAATATTTTTTTAAAAAACTTCCGGATCAATTTGTCAGACATATATAACCGACATGTATCATGATACCTGGAAACTTTCAGATCAATTTGTCAGACATACATGTTTGACACGTATAACAAGTAACTTTTTAAGCGTCAAACACATGCGACTCACCTGGCAATTCTGTGACTGACATGACCCTATATTAAAACTTTTTTTCACGACAAGCTAGGAATTTTTTAGGTGAATTTACATATATGTCTGACATGGCTCATGTAGAACTTTTTTGCGTCAAACACATACGTCATACATGGCAATTATGACTGACAGCCCTATATTAAAACTTTTTTCTTGACATGTCCAGAAACTTTCAGATCAGTTTGTCAGACATACATGTCCTACATGCATTATGAGTAACTTCTTTGCGTCAGACACATACGACTAACATGGCAATTATATGACTGACGTGGTCCTATAAAAAATGTTTTTCTCGACATGCCCAAAAACTTTCAGTTTAATTTGTCAGACATATATGTCCTACATGCATTATGAGTAACTTTTTTGCGTCAGACACATACGACTAACATGGCAATTATATGGCTGACATGGCCCTATGTCAAAACTTTTTTTCACGAAAAGACTTTTAACTTTTAGGACAATTTGTCAGACATTTATGTGCAACATGGCTCATGTAGAACTTTTTAGCGTCAGGCACGTATGACTGACATGGCTATTAATGTGTTAAGTATTTTATTTCACAACTTTCATTTTTTTATATTTATTTTATGACCTTATGGCCCAATATTTAAATTTTTCACGACGAGCCAGAAAATTTTTAGGCCAACTTGTCAGACAAGTCTTACATGGTTTATGAGAACTTTTTAGCGTCAGACACATTTGACTGATATAGTGATTACCGTATTACTATGGTTAGAATAAACGCCTAACACATACACGGTGTATTTTCTTGAAGCGCGGACGATTTATTCAAACTTTAAGTTTTTTTTATAAAAAGACCACTGGTCTACCACAACCCTACTATATTTTAGTAAGCTCAATAACACTAGGAACTCTATTTCCATATTTAAGTTCCATTAAAATCGTTTCAAGAAAAAACGAAAGACGAAAAATAGCATTCTAGATTCTCCTCCCATTGAAGATGTGATTTGGTTGGTTGAAACAAGGTTGAAAATTTTAATACTAAATTTTATCAAAAATTTTGCTAATATAAAATATCTATATCAGATTTTATTTATTACACATTATTAAATAATAAAGACGCGTCTAATACATACACGGAGTATTTTCCTATAGTATTCTGGAGCCTCCCCCTATGAAAAAAATTACACATTCACTGCTAAGCTTTTGTTGCCTGTACTTTTCCTTGTACTAGATGTTTTAAATTTTTCAATATAAATTAAAACCATTTTTGGACATGTTGGCTGGAAATTAAAAAAAAGTACCAAAATAGGATAAAAGTCAACAGCCTCACGCAACATATGCGTGCGCTGCAGTATTTGTGTGAAAAGTTTTATTAACACACTCGTCAAGTCAATACACAAAATTCGTCAATCAGAGTTAAGGTATTTCGCACACTGCAGACTTTTGTCAATAATTGTGAACGACAAAAATCTTTGGTAAACATTCTAAGGTAATTAACTGTCAGATGGAAATTGTCAATTTAATAAAACTTTTATGAAATAATTATATATATATATATATATATATATTTATATATATATTAATATTTTATCCATCGAACGAACGTTTAAAGTTACATACAAGATTCTAATCAAATAAAAAAAGCAAACTTTGTCCAAACTCTTTTCTGTCTGTATGCGATTCTGACAAACAGTCGTACTTCGTCCTCGGAATTGTAACCATTCTGTTCGTCCTATTTGAATAAAACCTTTTGTACTATTTGAAACATCAATATTAAATACATTTTTGGGTGCACACATTTCTACAAATATACGTACATATATATATTATTAAATAGTGCTCAGAAGAGACCTAGTCAGAAATCAAAATGTCTGCAGATTCTAAAGAAGGTTAGTTTTATTGTTATAATTGCATTGTAACTAGATTCTAACTAGATTTTAATTAGATTCTAATCAGATTGTAGTGTGATTCTAATTAGATTGTACGATTTATTGTTAGGTTTGATTGGAATCGTAAATAATTCTAATCAGATTGTATTTTTTGTGGTTAGGTTATGTTTTTTTGGTGAGCACGTGTTCTGTTGTATACAAATTATTTGGTTAGGTGTTTGTTAATGATGAGAGATTTTAATTGGGTTTTATGATTTATTTTGTTGGCATATTATCATTAATATGAGTGATGCATTTGGCAAGTTTGTGCAAAATTGAATTATCTATGATGTTATCCTTTATCATATTGCCCTACAGCAACTTAGTTTACCCTAAAATCGCGTTTGAATATTAATTCGGTATTATTAGTAAATAAACTGGCGCGCGAATGATGCATGTACAAGATTGAATTTGTTTAAAATTTAATATTATATAATATTTTTAATTATCAACGACGCGAGGTTTTAAAGAAATATATCGAATGCCTTTTAAACTTCTGAAATTGGTGCAGCTGCTTTTGAGAAAACGTCTAGAAAATGTCAAACTAAAAAATCCAAAAATCATATTTGAAGTCAAAAAAATTAAATGGGCTCGATTGAGTGAAATTAATTTGAATTTTAAATTTCTCATGAAGTTTTGATCACATCTTAAGTGATTTACAAAGTCTGATCTTTACTGATATCATCCTATTCCTCATTCTTCTTATTTTCTTTAATTCAGATATTCGAATTTTGTAAATACTATTTTTCTTTATTTTTATTCAATTTCTGCTTAACAAATACAATTTTATTAACTTCCCGAAGGTGAAGTTTATGTTTTCATAAAAAAATCTTGTTTTTTCGACGTTTCAAGCCATTCTGAATCGAATGAGACCAAATTTGGAGAAAGTATGTGTGTGTGTGTGAACAGATTTTTTGCCGTAAATCGACGTTTTCTCCAAAACGACTGGACCGATTTCAAAAATTTAAAAACCATTTGATGTGTCTCAATGAGGACTGTCGTTTGTCAGTTTTGTGCAACGATCGGCCAAGCCGTTTCTTTGTAATTTGCAAAAAAGTGTTAAACTTTTCGTCCACATTTAAGCTCATACTACCAAATCGATTTTAAAAAAATCAAAAACTGTTCGAAAGATATTAGTTAGGAATGATACTGATTAGTTTTAGGTGAAAATCTACCGAGCCGTTTTCGTGTAATTAACTGTTGAAAAAAAATTTAAGCCGATTTTTATGGAACTTTTTTTGCGATATATATCCTGGTCTTATAGAACTTACTGAAAAACTACGACTTTACGACAAGTAGTTTGATTCTAAAAATTCATCATTCAAGTTTGGGAAAATGAGTAGTTTTTTTGATGTTTGTTAAAACTAAAATTAGACGATTTACTTGGTATAACGATAGTGTAATGAATCCACACGGTATACTTTTAATCACTCATAAATTAATTTATTTTCATTGATTAAATCAATTATTTATACATATCGGGAAGTTCATGTAACTTGCCTCAAGGCAAAATACCAATACCAACTAGTTTTTTTTTTAATTTTCATGTTTGTATTAATTTTAAGTTGATAGTACATAAACTATTTCAAATTGTTAACTCAATGCATATATTTCGCGAACGAAAAATCGATGCATTTGAAATAAAATATGTTCATTCTAACAATAAGTCCGCTTAATTCGTTTTGCTTATACATATTTCATTCAAACATATGTAAACAACGTCGTCTAATCTAATACGTTTTCTCATTCGATAAGGAACAAATAATGAAAATTCTAGTTTTCATAATATTCATTCATAGACTTTTTTGTTGAATGATTATTTTTATTCTTCGAATATTTCATTACGGTACGGAAAGTTGCAGCAATTTGCCTAAATCCAAAATGCCACTTACAACTATAGTTTATTTCAAAACACATCATTCTTTTCCCCGTATCAATTTCCTGTATCATTTATCTTTTTCCTTACAGTCGGTGGTTACAAGTTGGGCCCCGTGATAATCGAGGGCAAAACTAAGAAGGTCTTCGATTTGGCACCAGCCCATAACGACTTGTGTCTCCTGCTCAATAAAGATCGAATCACCGCAGGAGATGGTGTCAAGGCTCACGATCTGGTCGGAAAGGCCGCCATCAGTAACCAGACTACTGCCAAGGTGTTCTCTATTCTCAACAGTGCAGGTAATAATGATTTTTAACTTCCCGTAGGGTAAGTTATTGTAATGGGCCGAAAATCGGAATTGAAAATTTTTACATTTCTCGACGTTTTGAAGGTTTCTGAACGTTTTGGCATACCTCAGAAAAAATGGATGTGTGTGTGTGTGTATGTGTGTGTGTGTGTATGTATGTGTGGATACAAATTTCCAGTCACGTTTTAGGGCGCACGGATCAACCGATTTGAATGGTTCAAAAAACATCCGATTCCTATTGATAGGGAAAAGAGCTGATTAGTTTTTGGCAAAGGCAGGTCCAGCCGTTTCGGAGATACGGAGCAAAGAGTGCGGAAAATAGAAATCGAATTTTTGAGAGAACGGAGCATCCGATTTGAATGATCTAAAAAACATTCAATTAGTAATGATTGTGAGAAGGGTTATTAGTTTTTGGCAAAGGCAGGCCCAGCCATTTCGGAGATACGGAGCTAAATATGTAAAAAATGGCAGTTTTTGAGAGAACTAAGCGTCCGATTTGAATGATTCAAAAAACTTTCTGCTTGTCTTAACAAAATAATTGATTTTGGAAAAAAAAATTTTTGTTCGATTTTTTTTTTTTTTTTTTTTTTAGTTTTTTGTTCAAACAAATAATTTCAACTTTGCAATTCAGTTTATATAATTCTTATAAATATTAGACAATGTTACAATATTTATAATAATCTATTTGAAAACATTCAGTATTCCTCGAACATTTCGTTACGGTACGGGAAGTTCCAGCTATTTGCCTTAAGGCACGATGCCACCCACCCCACTAGTTTTTTATTATTATTATCTCTTTTTATTTACAACTGTCCAGTAAAGGACATTCAATAAATTTCATGAATTTACAATAGTCAGCCGAAAAGGGACATTGTATACTACAAGGGCATGTTGGAAAAAACAGCTCAGTAGTTGTTTTTTCATTCGATATAAAATTCACAATATTTTATTGATAATTATACAATTTTAACTATTTACTTATTGAATATATAAGATTAGAAGTAGAATTTTTTTGTTGTATTCTAGATTTTTATATTTCAATTTGCTCGTCATTAGAGTCCTTTTGATCCTTGTAGATTGATATTTGATTGGCTCATCAGTAGAGTCTTCGTAGATATTCTAGATTAATATTAAAAAGCATATGAATTATCTTGTGGCCAAGGATAACGACAAAAAAAAGAGTGCGCGTAAGGTTTACACGCGATTGAAGTAAAACTTTTTTGCGACTGTACGAGATGGCATTTAAGTGAAAATGTATACACCGTGTAACAATTTTGAATAATGTTTATTAGTAATATTGTAACACTCGCGAGGCACACATTTATCAGTGTCAACCTTTATACTCATTTATATAATAACTAGATGACCCGACAGACGTTGTCCTGCACCCACGTCTACAATTTTTTAATATAATAACTAATATTTACCGTTTACCTAAAAATAATAATTATTGGTTTTTAAATTACTCTTACGCCAAAATGCATATACATTTATAATATGAGCGATGTTAAATGTAGAACTGCTTTAAATAAAATGATTAGTCTCATTTCTCGCACTATATTGGAAATTGAAGTCTTCTAAACGGTATAACATAACCATAACCATAACATAACACTGGTACTTAATGTTGGACTAAATTAATTTATTTTTTATTATTTAAGATATCCAAAATTGCATCTGAAACTTCTCTTATTCGATATCGTAAGGGCCGAATTTTATGTATTCATCTTTACTTTCCCGGCCCCGATTAATACTTAATTTCATATTTTAAGTGAATTAATTTGTCATTTCCTGTTCATATGTGTATCATTCAATCTGCCATACATATACTATATTTCATATTATTTTAATTTCTGGCACATCTCAACTGCTTTTTGACAATAATAATTTAGACATTACATTTTTCTTATTCACAATCATAAATTTATTATGCAAATTCTAATATTGTCTAGGTTCACAAATAAATTGAAATTTTTGGCAGAAGATAGTTTTCATTTGTTTTCAATGCAAACAATGACATGTCATTTTTTACAATTTTTTCCATTTATTTCTACAATATTGTACATACATCCCAGTAATGTATGATCACATACATCCTAGAAAATTTCCTTAACAAACTTCAGAAAGATTTATCAAAATCCGCATAATAATTTAGAACGAGTATATAGTGATTGCTTGTAATTTAATATGAACTTTATATAATAGCAACAAAGCTCAAATTGATTACACGTTTTAGTTAGAAAACGTTTGTATGAGAAAGACAAAAGGGCTGTTTTTAGGGTTTCCCCGGCAATTATTCAACTTTTCTCGTCATAATAACCATCCTTGAACTTCAACGAACATTTTAAAAAAAGAATTGTCCAAATTGGTCTAGGCGTTGTTGAGTTATGCGCTTACTAACGCATTTTGCGATTCATTTTTATATATAGAAGTTTTATTAGTTTGCTGGTCAGTAGAGTCCTTTTCACATGAATCTATTATTTCTTTGCAGGTTTGAAAACTGCCTTCGTGAAACAGGCATCAGACACTGCTTTTATTGCAAGAAAATGTGCCATGGTGCCTATTGAATGGGTCACGAGAAGGCTGGCTACTGGATCTTTCCTGAAACGACATCCTGGTGTCACGGAAGGCACCAGGTTCTGTCCTGTGAAACAGGTAAGGATATTGATAATGAAAATGTTTGCATATTTTTACGTTTCAAAGGTTTCTGAACATTTTGGTATACATTAGAAACTTGTGCATGGCATTGTGCCTTAAGGCAAATTGCTGGTACTTCCCGTATCAAAATTAGAAGTTTTTAAAAAATATTAACATTTTTGAAATAAATTTACTTTGAAAATATTAGATTTTTGAGAAACTATAAATTTTTGAAAAAAAATGACTTTTTGGAAAAAAGACTTCTTGAAAAAAAAAAGTTTTATTATTTTGATATATTGTGGAAATTTTGACTTTTTTCAAATCGTACTGCTTTAGCTACCTGGAGACGAAATATCGAAGATTCAATTTTTTTATAGAACTTTGAAAAAATTGATTTTTGAGATTTTTAAAGTATTTGAAAAATATTAACGCTTTTGAAAAATTTTAATTTTTTTATACTTTGAAATATTTAGGAAATTTTTTAACTTTTTTTCAAAGCAATCTCGATACGTTAGCTACGTACAAACGAAAATATGGAAGCGCGTGAGCGCCGCGTCGCAGAATAACGGATAAACATTGGTACGGAACCCATTGAAATACAAAAACTAGTGGGGCGCATGGCATCGTGCCTGAAGGATTTTTTGAGAAAATATAAATTTTTGAAAAAAATAACTTTTTTTTGAAAAAATGAAAAAACATTTTTGAAGAAAAATTTATTTTGAAATATTTTGGAAATTCTGAACTTTTTTTCAAAGCAATCGTATAGAATAGAGACGAAATGTCAAAGCGCGTAAGCGCCGCGTCGGCATCTAACGGATAAACGTTGGTACGGAACCCATAGGAATGTAAACAAAATTTATACTTATTATTAAAATAAATATAAAATATGTGATAATTTGATGAACATATGTCTAATGGCATTTTTTCTTTCATTTTTTTATTGGATTTCCGAAACCGCTAGACTTGCCTTTCCAAAAATTTCATCAGTTTTTCACTTCAGTAGAAATAAAATGTTTTTTGAATCATTCAAATCGGACACTCTGTTCTTTCAAAAATTGAATTACCATTTTTGGCACTTTTTGTCGCGTATCTCCGAAACAGCTAGACCTAGACCTATATATAAACCGCGTAACCCAGAATTCAACGGTAAAAAATAAATTGTAACCATTATAAAGAAATTGTCTCATGTAGTTTGAAAATTATGTATCACAATATGTATCAAGTTTAAGGTCGATTTTGATGAATGAAAATAATTTCACAACATTATTATATTAGACCAAAATTAGGATAAAGTAATTATCCAAAAATTATTTTAATATATTGTGTATCTAAGTTTGCTAGATAATTATCTATAATTAAAAAAGGATATAAGTGCGCCCACTAACCATATTTATTAGAACTCACAATATGTATCAAGTTTAAGATCGATTTTGGTGAATGAAAATTAATTTCACAACACTATTATATTAGACCAAAATTAAGATAAAGTAATTATCCAAAATTTCTTCTAATATATTGTGTATCTAAGTTTGCTAGATAATTATCTATAATTAAAAAAGTATATAAGTGCCCCACAAACCATATTTGTTAGAACTTACAATATGTATCGAGTTTAAGATCGATTTTGATGAATGAAAATTAATTTTACAACACTATTTTGTTAGACCAATTTCAAGATAAAGTAATTACCTAAAAATTCTTCTAATATATTGTGTATCTAAGTTTTCTAGATAATTATCTATAATAAAAAAATTATATAAGTGCGCCCACAAACCATATTTATAAGATCTCACAATATGTATCAAGTTTATGATCGATTTTGATGAATGAAAATTAATTTCACAACAGTATTGTATTAGATCAAAATTAAGATAAAGTAATTATCCAAAAATTCTTCTAATATATTGGGTATCTAAGTTTTCTAGATAATTATCTATAATAAAAAAATTATATAAGTGCGCCCACAAACCATATTTATAAGATCTCACAATATGTATCAAGTTCAAGATCGATTTTGATGAATTAAATTAATTTTACACTCTATTACAATATTACAAACTTTTGTCGACGATTATGGGAGCCCGGATCAACCGATTAGAATGATTCAAAAAACATTCGGTTTCTATTGATGGGGAGACGTGCTGATTAGTTTTTGTTCAAGGCAGGTCCAGTTGTTTTGGAGATACGGAGCAAAATGAGCAAAAAATGACAATTTAGTTTTTGAGAAAACAGAGCAAGCATCTGATTAGAATGATTCAAAAACCATTACTTTTATTGATGAAATCACAAATTGGTTGCATTTTTGAGAAGACATTTCCAGCAGTTTTGGAGATGCAAAAAAAACTATATACTAGTTGTGTATGGCATTGTGCTTCAAGGCAAGTTGCTGAAAATTTCCGTGCCAAAAATTATTATTTTTTTAAAAAAGATTAAACTTTTTTTTCAACTTTGACCTTTTTGAAAAAAATATATATTTTATATATTTTGGAAGTTTTTAACTTTTTTTAAAGCAATCCCGCTGCTTTAGCTGCATAGAGACGAAATATCGAAACGGCTGGACCTGCCTTGTTAAAAAACAATAGGAATCGAATGTGTTTTGAATCATTCAAATCGGTTAAACCGTGTTTTGGAAAACGTAGACGAATATTTGTATCCGAACAAACACATACACATATACTTTCAATGTATGTCAAAATGTTCAGAAACTGCTGAAACGTAAAGATATGCAAACATTTTCATTTTTGATTTTTTTGCGATTACTATAACTTATCCTTCGGGAAGTTAAAAAAAGTTGATTAATTTTGACATTTTGTTATAGATTTTTTTTGTCGTTTTCAGGAAACCTTTTTCAAAGATGATGCCAACCACGATCCCCAATGGTCGGAGGAGCAAATAGTCGCTGCCAAATTCAAATTGAATGGATTACTCATAGGTAAGTCTAGTAATATAATTTTGTTTAGAAAGAAACGGTTCGGCTGATCGTCCTTGACGCTAGTCTTTAATCTAGTAACATAAAATTCATCATCCTATCGCAACTGACATTTTTGAATTGATAAAAACGTGTTATCTAATCTCATCTCGTAAATTAATGGCATTTCTTATTAATATATTTAATTTACCGGGGTCACGAGTTCAAATCCGTTCAAAATATCATTGTGAAATGTTGTAACGAGATGTCATGTGGTTCTCGTTGATACGTGTTAATATAATCGTATCTATTTTTTTTATTGATAATTAGTAATAATAATATATTGTTTTACAGGTCAAGATGAAGTCGACATCATGCGAGAGACCACCATCCTGGTTTTTGAAATTTTGGAAAAGGCGTGGGCTCTCCGAAATTGTGCATTGATCGATATGAAAATTGAATTTGGCGTTGACGTAGATGGTAAGATAACGCAATAATAAACTAGTTGGTATTGGTATTTTGCCAAATTAATTTATGAGTGATTAAAAGTATTCCGAGTGGATTTATTACACATTATTGAAAACGAACGAACACGTTAAATCGGAGTATTTTCAAAAGGAAATTTTGAAAAATCAACTATTTTTATAATTGAACCAGTTTTCGTAGAACTTTAATGGTTTAATATGTTGATTAAGACCATTAATCTATGGTTATACCAAGTAAATCATTTTCTCAAACTTTGATTAATTTTTAAAATAAAACTACTTGTCGTAAGGCCGTAATATTTCAGTAAGTTCTATAAGACCATGATATATATCGCCAAAAAGAGTTCCATAAAAATCGGCCTAAATTTTTTTTTCAACAGTTAATTACAAGAAAACTCGGTAGATTTTCACCTAAAACTAATCAGTATCATTCCCAACTAATATCTTTCGAACAGTTTTTTTTAAATCGATTCGGTAGTATGAGCCTAAATGTGGTCGAAAAGTTTAAGACTTTTTTCCAAATTTCAAAGAAACGGCTCTGCCGATCGTCGCACGAAACAGAGAAACAATAATCGTCATCGTGATAAATTAAATGGCTTTTAAATTGCTAAAATCGGTTCAGGCGTTTTTGAGCAAACGTCGATGAAAGGTCTAATTTTGACAAATGCCAAAAAACGATACTAATTTTTGCAAACTTTGACGAATTTTAAAAGTTAAACAAGTTGTCGTAGGGCCGTAATATTTTAGTATGATCTAGAAGACTATGGTATCTTATAAAAAAATAATTATAAAAATCGTCGAGTACATGCTCTAAACAGTCCTACAAATTGATTGAATTATATAAATTAATCATATAATTTGGCCCAATTATACAATTTAAGGACATAATTACAGAGTTCATAAATGTGTTTGAGAGATATTAATTGAAAATCGCAATATTTAGATTTAATTGAAAACGGTAACTTCATTTTCGATATAAACAGTTGACTAATTTTTGGCATCTAAATATCTAAGTCTCAATTTCGGCTGATTAAGTGAACTATAAAACATTTCGGTAAGTTCATGCAACCTGCCTCAAGCCTGAATGCCACTTACACCTAATTCTTTGAAATAGATAATTTTTTTATATAGCACTAAGTGCTACTATACTAGTTTTTAAACAAACGATTTTGAAGAAATTAAAAAAAGAGCATGTGCACAGTCTAAGTTACAACCTGTACAAATATATCTGCAAGTTCGTTTAGAATGTGACTTTACAGAAGCACTTTTTTTTAATTTTGTGAAATAATTGTAAAAAAAAGCCGGTCTAGGCACAGTCCCAACCTATCACACAGTATCAACCTAGTGCAAATATATTTGCAAGGACGTTTAGATTGTGACTTTCAGTTTATCTTGATGATCAAGACTCCACAGTAATATCTAATAAGTTAAATATAAAACCGGCGTCCCACAAGGCTCTATTCCTGATCCCTTTTTATTCTTAATTTATATTAATGATTTGCCAAATTGCACCGATCTTTGCAAATTTATTGTTTTTGCCAACGATACAAGTTTTAAACTATTTAATCAATGATTGCAGTTTCTAATTGGTTCAACTCTAATAACCTTTTACTTAATAGCGTTAAAACTAAAATAATGTCGTTTCGAACAGTCAATAGGTGTTAATAACGAAATCAATTCTCTAATTATTAATGATGTCCTCTTCAAATTTTCTGCCGTTTCTAAATTCCTAGGAAATCAAATTCAAAAAAATTTAAATTGGGATAATCATATTTATTCGTCATTAATACCTAAACTTTCCAGAACTTGTTTCATGTTAAGAGTGCTTAAATCTAAAATTAGTTTAAATTGTCTTCTTTCTATCTATTACTCCAACTTCTACTCGCATTTGGTCTACGGCATTCAATTTTGGGTTTTTTCAGCATCCTTAAAACATGTTTTCAAGCTTCAGAAAAAGAACATTAAGAATCATGTTCTCTCTTAACTCGATGACAAGTTGTAGAAATATTTTTCAGAAGTATAACATTCTTACCGTTCCTAACATATTCCTACTTATTACACTTCTCTTTATCAAAAATAATCCCCAGTACTTTAATTTATCTTCCATGTCTAATTCCCACAATGTCACAAGGAATAGAACTATCAAAGGATCGATTTTTAAGCTTAATATTACTTTTAATTCAATTCATGGTTTTGGTATTCAACTATTCAGTCAATCATACATTCCACAACGTTTTGATTAATTTACTAAAAGCCAACAGTTTTTATGACATTTTTGAATATCTTAATTTTGAGTTCAAGAAATACAGTGGTACCATCCCCTTCATATTATAAATATCTATTTGTTACTGATTATATGTGACATCTTACAAATACAGCAATTTTTGACGATAACTGAGTATTACTTAGCTGTGAAATATTTTTCCTCATCGAGTTGCATCGAATGGCTTTTAAATTTTTGAAATTGGTGCAGCCGTTTCTTAGAAATCGTTGATTTACGGCAAAAAATCTGTTTACGCACACACACACACACACATAATTTCGGTCGAAATTTGGTCTCATTCGATTCAGAATGGCTTGAAACGTCGAGAAAACATAAAATTAGCAAATCGGATTTTTCGATAGAAACATAAACTTCTCTTTCGAAAGTTAAAAAATAGGATACATCGTGACTTTGTATTTTCATATCTATCCTTTACCCTCAGGTCAACTCCTGGTAGCCGACGTCATCGACTCGGACAGTTGGCGCCTTTGGCCAGCAGGCGACAAACGCCTCATGGTCGACAAACAAGTCTACAGAAATCTGACGCAGGTCACCCAGAGCGATCTGGACACTGTCAAGCACAATTTCGAATGGGTCAGAGATCAGCTCGATCATCTGGTGCCTAAGAACGATGCTCTGGTCGTCATCCTGATGGGAAGTCCTTCGGATAAGGAACACTGCGAGAAGATCGCTAAGCAGTGCAGGGACTTTGGGTTGCTGGTTGAGGTAAAGGACATATGTGCCCATAATTATGAAAGTGGTCTAAGTCATATATTTCTTGTTTCGAGATATTCAATGATTTGCATTTGAATGAATTAAAAAATATTTTTACACGATGCGACATTTTAATTTTCAATTTTATTAGTCTTAATTAATGGAAATTTATTATGAATATGAAATTTTGTGTGTGATAATATTGTTTTTAAAGTTTGAATTGACTTAGACCATTTTCAAAATTATCTGAATGTCCTATAAATGACTCAAAGCAATAAAGAACTTTGAGTTTTATTTGAAACAATAATTTTATTGAAATACTTCGTGAGCATTTATTAATTATTTTTAAACGGTCATCCATTTTTATCATTATTTCGAGTATTTTAGATTCTTAAAATGTTCCTGAAAAACTGGAGGGATGTACGGTAGTAAACTCATAATATCTTCATGTTTTTCTTCCGATACTGGTCTAATGCTGGTGTATAATGGAAGTAATTTAATCTTTCCGTATATTTTTGGTCTTTCTCTTTTAGGTGAAAAATCCAAAACGTGAAGTGTAGAATCATCTAAAGAAGTTTTATAAAACATAAAATTTTTTATAAGGTTCATTTTTCAAGAATCTCATCCATAGAATTTGTAGCCAAGAGACAGATTCGCCCGCGGTATTTTTTACTATTCTTGTTATTGTATCTTCTAATGATTTCGTTGAAATAAAATCCGGCTGCGACATTCGCTTTATCGAAAATGTATTGCTTCATCTGCACTTTTCTATCAATTCATAATAATGCTCAGGGATGTATAAGTAATTTGCTTTTTTTATTTTGATTTCTATCAACCCAAAATCACGATCATTCGGTAGAAAGGAATGACCTGACACCAAAAATTTTTGACTTAGAGACCACTTTCCTAATTAACACTAAATGAATTCCATATAATGTTGAAATTACAACCACTATCTAATGGTTCATTTTTGACAATTTCGTAAAAATTACATTGAATACATTTAGTTTAAACTAATGTGGTATGAAATAACTGATAAACTCATTTTTTTTTTAATTTTGATTTAGACCACTTTCATAATTATGGGCACATATGATGGTAATTGAAATATTTTTGAAAATTTAGATTTAAATCTGGTTGAAGTTCTAAAACTCACTTACTTACTTTAAACAAATATTTTCTACTTTGCAATTCAGTTTATATATAATTCTTATAAATATTAGACAATGTTACATTATTTATTTATAATAATTATTTGAAAACATTTAATATTGCTCGAGCATTTCGTTACGGTACGGGAAGTTCCAGCAATTTGCCATAAGGCACGATGCCATACACCAGTAAGTAGTTATTATTTGTATTTTTAATTGTAGGTTCGAGTGACGTCAGCGCACAAGGGCACCAAGGAAACTTTGCAGATTTTGAGAAACTACGAAGGAGTTGCTAGCAAATTAGTTTTCATTGCTGTAGCTGGCAGGTGAATAAAAAATTATACAATTTTGGATTCAATTTTTAGTCGCCGATTTCGGGCGCACGGATCAACCGATTTGAATTATTTTGACAAAATGTCCAAGCTTTGACAAAATGTCCAAGCTTTTTTCATGAAATTCCCAAGTTTTTTTCACGAAATTTCCAAGTAAGTTTTTAAAAAAAATCCAAGTAAGTTTTCAAAAAACAATTCCAAGTAAGTTTTCAAAAAAAATCCAAGTAAGTTTTCAAAAAAAAATCCAAGTAAGTTTTCAAAAAAAAATCCAAGTAAGTTTTCAAAAAAAAATCCAAGTAAGTTTTCAAAAAAAAAAAATCCAATCAAGTTTTCAAAAAAAAATCCATGTAAGTTTTGAAAAAAAAAATCCAAGTTTTCACAAAATATCACTATTTTTAACTTCCCGTAGGGTAAGTTATTGTAATGGGCCGAAAATCGAAATTCAAATTTTTTACATTTCTCGACGTTTTGAAGGTTTCTGAACGTTTTGGCATACCTCAGAAAAAATGGATATGTGTGTGTGTGTATTTGTATGTATGAATACAAATTTCCAGTCACGTTTTCGGACGCACAGATCAACCGATTTGAATGATTCAAAAAACATTCGATTTCTATTGATAGGGAAAAGAGCTGATTAGTTTTTGGCGAAGGCAGGTCCAGCCGTTCCGGAGATACGGAGCAAAGAGTGCAGAAAATAGAAATCGACTTTTTGAGAGAACGGAGTATCCGATTTGAATGATCTAAACAACATTCAATTAGTAATGATTGGGAGAAGTGTTTATTAGTTTTTGGCAAAGGCAGGCCCGGCCATTTCGAAGATACGGAGCTAAATATGTAAAAAATGGCAGTTTTTGAGAGAACTAAGCGTCCGATTTAAATGATTCAAAGAACTTTCTGCTTGTCTTAACAAAATAATTAATTTTGGGAAAAAATTGTATATATTTTTTTTTTCTTAGTTTTTTTTTGTATATCGAAAATAATTCAGATTTTATTTTTAATTCTGACTATAGTTCTAATATACTTTAAACAAATAATTTCAACTTTGCAATTCAGTTTATATAATTCTTATAAATATCAGACAATGTTACAATATTTCTAATAATCTATTTGAAAACATTTAATATTCCTCAAACATATTTCGTTACGGTACGGGAAGTTCCAGCAATTTGCCTTAAGGCACGATGCCATACACCCCACTAGTCCTATTTTTTTTCAATATTCAAGTTCCTTAAATACTTTCAAAATTTTTAAAAATGTTTAAAAATATTCAAAATTTTCAAAAAAATTTTTTTTCTTTTTTGAGATCAAATTCACTTTACGGTACGGAAAGTTCCAGCAATTTGCCTTAAGACATGATGCCATTAAGATGCCACTAGTTTCCACTATTATTCGGAAAGATAATAAAAGAAATTTGAGAAAATATTTAGTCGTTTTTTTTATAGCATTTTCACAAAAAAGTGCTTTATTGGATTCTACAGATGCTCTTTACCCTTATAAATAAAATATGCGCAAAGTCTCACGAAAGTTATTTCAAAATTTGTCCTATTTGAAGATGGAAGTATTTTCCAAAAAATTCGTAGACTGTATGTCTTGCAGAACTTGTTTAATAAATTAAACACTATTTTAATTCAATTCAATTTATTTTCCGAATAATTGTAGCGGAGTACGGAAATCACAATGATATCGATTCACTGATAAAAGTTACTATCGACCTGAACAGTTAGAATCCCAAAATCTATCTATTGAATGCTAGTTACTGCTGCTACTGATAATAATACTGCAGCAGCAGTGTTGCCTAGTGTGAACAAAAGTAATGGTGTTACCATATACAATTCTTTCCAGAAGATTACTTATCAGCCATTTACAGTTCAAAAATTAAAAAAAAAGCATTTTTTATTCTACTAAAACATTAAAAAAATGAAACAGTTGCACCAATAATAGCAAATCTTCAACGTACTTTTATTTTTAACATTATCTTTTTTTCCCAGATCCAATGGTCTCGGTCCAGTCCTCTCCGGCAACACCAGCTACCCAGTAATAAACTGTCCACCAGTAACATCTGCCAACTCGAGCCAAGACGTCTGGTCCAGTTTGAATCTTCCTTCGGGTTTGGGATGTGCCACGGTTTTGTATCCAGAAGCAGCGGCTCTTCATGCAGCTTCGATCATCGGACTGGACAATTACTTGGTCTGGTCGAGGTTGAGAGTGAAACAATTGTACAATTATGTTTCGTTGAAATTGGCTGACAAGGCTTTTAGGAATATTAAGGTCTGCTGAAGTGGAACATACAGATACAGATAGGTGCTTAAGTAATAATAATAATTTGGTTATACTCATTAAAATTGATTGAAATTGATTGATGAGTAATGATTGTTAATTGTTATGTTGATAATACATTCCAAAGATTTTGATAAATTATTTTTTTTATTAACTTCCCCTAGGGTAAGTTATAGTAATCGCAAAAAAAATTGAAAATGAAAATTTTTATATATCTTTACGTATCAGAGGTTTCTGAATATTTTGGCATACCTTAAAAAACATTGATGTGTGTGTGCGATTTGAATAACTCAAAAAACATTCTATTAATAAGGAGATGTGCTGATTCGTTTTTATCAAAGGCAGGTCCAGCCATTTCGGAGATACGGAGCAAAAAGTGCCAAAAACGGTAACTCAGTTTTTAAGACAACGTAGCGTCCGATTTGAATGATTCAAAAAACATTTCATTTTAATTGACGAAATGAAGAACTGTATAAAGTTTTGACAAGGCAGTTCTAACAGTTTGGAGATCCAATAAAAAAGTGAAAATGAATGCCATTTGTAAGTCTAAAATTTTCATTAGACATATGCACATCCAATTATCAGATTTTTTTAGAGATTTTGATAATAAGTAAAATTTGTTTACATTCTTATGGGTCCGCACCAATGTTTATTAGTTAGACTGCGACGCGGCGCTTACGCGCTCCGATTTTTCAGCAGCTCTACGTAGCTAACGCAGTGCGATTGTTTTGGAAAAAAGTTTTTGAAAAATTCCCGGCCGGATTTTTGGATTTTTATTTTTTCTGAAATTAATCACGTGACCAATTTTCAAGGATTTTTGATTTTCTTCCCTCTCCTCCCCCTCCCTCCTACCTCCCCCTCCCCCACAAACATCGCGTGTATTTTTAGTTACGAGAAAAAATTGTACATTTTTTTATTTTTTCTAAAATTAATCACGTGACCGATTTTTTTAAGGATTTTTGGATTTTCCTCCCCTCCTCCCACTTTTATTTTTAGTTACGAGAAAAAATTATACTTTTTTTATTCTAAAATTAATCACGTGACCGATTTTCAAGGATTTTTGGATTTTCTTCCCTCCCCCCCAACAAACATCGCATGTATTTTAGTTACGGAAAAAAATTTTTTCTGAAATAAATCACGTGACCGATTTTTTTTAAGGATTTTTGGATTTTCCTCCCCCCCCCCCAACAAAGATCGCATGTATTTTTAGTTACGGAAAAAAATTGTACTTTTTTCTATGTTTTTCTGAAATTAATCACGTGACCGATTTTTTAAGGATTTTTGGATTTTTCTCCCCCTCCTGCAACAAACATCGCGTGTATTTTTAGTTACGAGAAAAAATTTGTACATTTTTTTACTTTTCTGAAATTAATCACGTGACCGATTTTTTTAAAGATTTTTGGATATCTTTCCCCCCCCCCCCCCCCATCAAGCATCAAGTGTATTTTTAGTTACGAGAAAAAATCGTACATTTTTTTATTTTTTCTGAAATTAATCACGTGACCGATTTTTAATGATTTTTGGATTTCCCTCTCCCTCCCACATCAAACATCAAGTGTATTTTCAGTAACGTGAAAAATTGTACATTTTTTTTTTTTCTGAAATTAATCACGTGACCGATTTTTAAGGATTTTTGGATATACCTCCCCCTCCCCTCCCTCATCAAACATCAACTGTATTTTTTGTGACAAGAAAAAATTGTAAAATTTTTAATTTTTTCTGAAAATGTTTGGATTTTTTAAAAAAAATCAGGTAAAAAATAAATGCATTTGATATTTACTATATCCCATCCCTCCCCCACGTGATTTTTTGCCAAAGCCTCTCCTCTTTCCCCCGAAAAACGTCACGTGATTAATGAACGCCCCCCAAGTCAAATTTTTTTGCAAAATCTATTTTTTTTTCAGTTTTCATCACACAAAATTTTCAAGGTTTTTTTTAAAAAAAAATAATTTTTGGTGCGGGATGTTGCAGCAATCTGTCCATTAATCACGTGAAACTTTTAGGGGAAGGAGGCATTTGACAAAAAATCACGTGATTTTTGTCAAACCTCCCCTTCCGCTAAAACGTCACGTGATTAACGAACGCCCCCACAAGTCAATTTTTTTCAAAAATCTATTTTTTTCAGTATTCACAAAATTTTCAAGGTTTTTTTAAAAAATTAATTTTTGGTACGGGAAATTGCAGCAATCTGTCTATTAATCACGTGAGGCTTTTAGGGCGAGGGGAGATTTGTCAAAAAATCACAAAATATGACGTGGGGGAAGGAAAGGGTGTAGTAAGATAGCACGTGTATTTATTTTTTACCTAGATGTTAAAAAAATCACAAATTTTACGATTTTTTCGTGAGTTCGAAAAATTCGATCGCAAAAGTTTGCATAACTAAAAATACACGTGATGTTTGGTGAAGGAGGGCGCTTTTAGGGTTTGGGTGGGTTTCAAAATTCCTAAAAAATCGATCACGTGATTAATGGACGTCCCGTTCACGTATATATCTGGAACTTCATGCAACTTGCCTTAAGACAAAATGCCTTTTACACCTTCATCAATCGATTTTTATAAACTGATTTGAAAAAATATTTTTATTCATTAAACATTTTACAGTTATCATACGCTAATACATATATACAGTTTCCCATCTTCAAACAGTTCTTGATTTGCCAAAAAAATTGAACATTGTTTCAAAATTTGGCAAGATTCATAATAAAACAATCAAGTTCCTTTAAATGTTATCATTATATAAATATGCAAATACAATAAATAATTTACTACAAAACAAAGAAATATAAAACAAATACAAAGACGGCTATGCAACCGGCTGCTGCTTTTACGTACAAAGATTTGGTGTTAAGATAAGTCGCGTCCTTTTTGTACTTTTGGGACAACATCGAGAGGTTTTGGGGTTTTTGTATCCAATTCTGGAAGAAATAAATATATAATGTAATATATATATATATATATATATATATATATATACATATATCTTCTTTACCTGATAGGACAGTTCCCCTCTGTAGAACATCATCAATGTTCTGGACCATGATTCGTTGTACGTCCTGCAGTTGATTATTGATACTGCTCATGTTTCGACGTGCTCTGTTGTCTGTGAAAACTTTTCTTGCTTTCTGAATGTACGTATCAAATTCTATGAATGTGTAGGGCCTTGTTACAGTATTCACCTGGAAGTAATATTGCAATTGGAAGTGAAACTTGGGGAGGGAAAAATAGAAATTGATATTGTGAGAGAATGCAAGGTTGTTTGAAAGTATTGCCTGAAAATTTTGTAAGGAAGTCTAGAAAGGTTGCAGAATGTCTGAAAATTTTGTAAAGACATCTAGAACGCTTGTAGGTTGTCTGAAACTATATCATAATATTTGATGATTTTTAATATTCATTATTTTGCAACAATGTTTCATAATTAATGCTAACATTAAGTATTTTAACATAATTTGAATTTTTTTTAATATTAAACAGCTTTTCAAAAAATTGGATTTTTGATTAGATATTTTCTATGTAACTCAATTCACATTTTTGCATTTTTAAAAGTTAAAAAGCTTTGAGATAATTTTCTTGAACAACTTTTAAAATTTTTTGGCAAATTTTGCTGGAATTTTTGAAATATTTGAATTTGTTTATACATTTGACTATTTTTAGTATACTTGGACTATTTTCAATAATTTATAGTAATGGGGTAGTTATAGTAATGCATTTGTGCATTTCTCGACGTTTTGAAGGTTTCTGAACATTTTACTGGCATACCCTAAAAAAAATAGATGTGCGTGTGTGTGTGAGTTTTGTACGTCCGCATTTTTTCGTCCACGTTTTCGGGCGCACGGATCAACCGATTTGAATAGTTTAAAAAACATTCGATTCGTATTGATAGGGAGATGTGCTGATTAGTATTTGGCAAAGGCAGGTCCAGCCGTTTCGGAGATATGGAGCAAAGAGTGCAAAAAATTCAAATCGAGCTTTTGAGAGAACGGATCATCCAATTTGTATGATCCAAAAAGCATTCAGTTCGTAATGACGGGGAGAAGTGGTTATTAGTTTTTGGCAAAGGTAAGCCCAGCGGTTTCGGAGATACAGAGCTAAATGTTAAACAAATGGCAGTTTTTGAGAGAACTAAACGTCCGATTTGAATAATCTAAAAAACTTTCTGCTTGTTTGAACAAAATCATTGCTTTTGGAAAAAAAATTTTGTTGTTTCTAATATTTTTTTTCAAACTATATTTTTGGAATTTTGGATTTAAAATTTAAAAAATCACTCAGGCTAAGCACAGTCTAAGCGCCACTCTGGTACAAATGTTTACCCGAGTGCGTTTAAACTGTTTATATACTGGAGCACATTTCCAATTTTGTGAAAACTATTGAAAAATGTGAAAATGCCGTCAAGCTAAGCACAGTATAAGTGAAAATGTCGAACAGAATTGTTTGAAAATGCGTTTAGATTGTGACTATACGGGAGCACTTTTTCAATTTTGTGCAAATTATGCAACTATTTTTTTTTCTTGAAATTGAATTCGAAATGAAATGACGATTGTTAATGTTCTGGAGATAAATTGATTTATGATTTATGATTCACATTTGATTTGCTCACAATCAGATATAACAAGATAGCAAAAATAATGAAAGTTACAGAGTATTTGTAATAATATATTTGAAAACGTTTAAAATTACTTGAATATTTCATTACGGTACGGGAAATTCCAGCAATTTGCCTTAAGGCACGACGCCATACACCATGAGTTAATTTAAATTTCTGGTTGCACTTTTCTCTATAATATTTTAATTTTCTTCTAACATGAAATCTTTCAAAATTGATTCGTTCTTATAAAAATCATTACACAGACTTAAAAAAAACTATTAAAAATATTTATTCAATTTTAATTCGTACTAAAAAATATTATTTGATTTTTTTCAACTATTATTCAAACTTTATGCAATGCAACATAAATTCTAATCACTGTTTGGAATTTACAGTGCTTATCAACAAATACTGCAATTGTTTTTGCTAACACGAATAAAGAATGAATTTAATCAATATTGATTAAATGTAAACTAATTCTAGAGAATTAGCATTAAGTAATTTAATCAGCACTACAAGTACTGTGTATGTATTGAAAAAAATTATGATTGCATCATTCGAATGCTGATGTAATGTTTTGTTAGTATTACAAACATTTGATAAAATTTATCAACACGGTTGAATAAACGTGCCTAACACTATTAACATATATATATATATATATATATATATATATATATATATATTATGTATGTATGTATGTATGTATGTATTTTTATATATATACTTATTTATTATGTTAGTACCTTTTTGCCATATTGCGAATGAAATTCTTGAGCGATATCTTCCAAATACGAATATGCTAAGCGTTTAGAATAATTTCTTTCACATAACACTAGATAACACACTTCATTTTCTATTAAATAACTAAAATATAAATTTACACATATTAATTTCATTTAATTTATATTATTTTTATTATATATATTTGATGTCCCAACGTACTGAAAAAGATACGGTCCTGTTTCCAAAGTACATCTTGCCGGAGACTGAATACCGAGCTTTCGAAATAATAATTTAGCTTGGTTTTGATATTCTAATATACTCCTTCCAGACTACAACATAAAAAATAGTATTTTTAGCTATAATGTAATACATGTTTATTTATTTTATTTATTTTATTTATATATTTTTAGTAACCTGTTCATCTTCTTGCATTGTCGCGGCCAAAGGTAGGCCGTCGACGACGCGAGCTATCATTGTCATTAGCACCATTTTAATTTATTTTTATTTATTTCTATTTCTTTATAATTAATTAATTAATAAAATATATATTCTCTTTAATAAACTGTCCATATGCAAAATATGCAATTCAAAGACACGTCATCGAACTGTCATCTGTCAAATGGAGAAGGCGCTAGTGTCGGGGATCTGAAAATGGCGCGGGAATTTTAAAAATTGAAATAGAAATAGAAATAGAAATTAAAATTGAAATTTTAACTTTGTTGTTTTATTTGGGTTTATATAATAATAATAATAATAATAATAATAATAATATAATAGTATAAGTAAAATACATTAAATTGTCTGACATAGTATGAATAAGAAGTTCTTTACATAATGCTTATAAAATATAAATATTCAATCAACTATCATTCATTATATATGAACCACATACACTCACACACACACATATATATATATATATATATATATATATATATATATTGACATACATACAAAGTTTTTTATCTCATCCCAGACAACTATTATTATTTATTTATACTTATATTTAATTATGGTTATTATCTAATGGGTATTTTACTATGTAACATATTACACTATATATTATTATGCAAATTTTAATATATAAAAAATGTATTTATTACAATTTTATTTAAAATATAGCTCAACTAAGGTGAAGATATAAATCAGCTGAAAATTTTACCATTTTTGAACTTTCCGAACCACACACACACACACACACACACATATATATATATATATATATATATATTGACATACATCAAAGTTTTTTATCTCATCCCACACAACTATTATTATTTATTTATGCTTATTTTTAATTATGGTTATTATCTAATTAGTATTTTATTATCTATCATATTATATTATACATTATTTTGCAAATTTTACGATATAAAATTAGTATTTATTATTTTGTCATTTAAATTATAGCTCAACCAGGTGGAAGTATAAAATAGCTCAAACTTTTACCATTTTTGAACTTCCCGCCATATATAAACAGGTATGAAGTGCGTTCCGCTTTGTTTGAATTTCCAAAAATTTATATAAAAATTCAAATAAAATGCAAAATTTATCATATCTATAGCATTTTATTATAAACTATGTGTCACTTCATAAGTTTTGATTCTCAAAATAAGTATTTATCAAGTTTTTTTAAATTTAAATTATAGTTTATTTTCAAACCATTACCTTTTCACCTTTCCTGAAAATGAAATTTTAACTTCATTGTTTTTTTTTGAGATTATATAATAATATTATTATATTTAATTATAGAATACAGGGGATTGTTCTTAAAACAATATGGACAAGAAGTACAATAATAAGAAGTTCTATTTATATTTCAATAAACACAATTGTAAATCTTACTTGCTTATGAAATATTGATATTAAATAAACTGTAATTCATTATACACACACACATATATAAATAAATACATATATAATATATATATATATATATATAATTATAAACAACGTTTTCTATACATGCATCCCCTTTCATACAACTGATTTATACTTATTTATATAATTATTATTTTATTATGTATCATATATTATACTAAATATTGTTATGCAAATTTTACTATATAAAATTAGTATTTATTATTTTTTTATTTAAATTATAATTCAATTAAGGTGAAAGTATAAAATAGCTCAAACTTTTACCATTTTTGAACTTCCCGCCATATATGAACAGGTATGAAGTACTTCCCGCTTTGTTTGAATTCCTTAAAATTCACATAAAAATTCAAATAAAATGCTAAATTTATCATATCAATAGCTTTATATCACACACTTTGTATCATTTCGTAATTTTTGATTACCAAAATAAGTATAGATCAAGTTTTTTTTAAATTTAAATTATAGTTTGTTTCCAAACCATTACCTTTTCACCTTTCCTGCTCACCTACGCAAAATTTTCACCGAGCGTCCTCTATCGCATTTGTCAAACCCGTCGCATTGAAAGTTCCAACAAAGCAAAAATTCCACTGACATATTGACATCTTGCTTAATTTTATTATTTCTTGTATACCAATTAACGCCAAGTCACTAACAAAATCGTTCTATAACAAAAAACGAACCCGAAACAATTATGATTTCATAGAAAAAAACAAGTCAAATTCAAGTGAAGTGTTAATATGTCTGTCAGATCGGGTGCTGCTGTTGTGATGTGTAGAAAATTTTCTATTAACATATGTCCGTGTATTTAGTGTTATATAATTATTAATTGAAGTGATTCAAGATGCAGAATTCGAATTATTCGGAAGGGCCTCAGGATCCGGCTTTTAATTTGTATAATTCGGCAACGGATCAGGTCAGTGCCAGAAATTAGGTTAGATTTTATTAGTGTGTCAAAAAATCAATTGGCAGAAATTGACAAGAGGATTGGACACGTATGGGAATGGAAATTTGGGGACAACTGTTTAATAGTTGATCTCTGACATAAAATGAATTATTAAAATCTTAGACATGGATTTTTGTAGGTGGTTTATTTGTATTTATATTTGTACCAATCAAGTAACACATCAAACTCTAATTCAATCCAAAATAATATATGTCTACATCCAAAAACATTCCATGCAATTATTTATTCATTTAACCTATCCTACGATAACACTATCATAGTGCTCAAAGCACTGTATAACTATCATGTAAATGTATCATGTAAATTTTTGAAAATTTTACATAACATAATTATATGTTCAAAGGTAATCCTTCGATCCATTGTATTTCTATCAATCTGGGTGACTGTACTTGCAAAATCACTTAGTGAAAAAAATATATTAATATAATAGATATTATATTAATGAAATGTATATATATAAAATTTGAAAACTGTTTTTATAACTTCTCATACCAGGCACTTCTGTCTGTCTGAGATATGAAAATAATATATATATATATATATATATATATATATATATATAATTTACATATCCACAAATGTTCGATTAAATAAATATTATAATATCAAATGATTAACATAGATAGTTCTGTAAATTTTTTTTTGTACCTAATTATTACTCTTTCAGAGAAATAAATAAAATCTTTCTGATCGAGTGGAAATACATGGAAAGCAAATTGCATTTTTGCAAAAATTCATCCTCTAAATATTATTAGAAAATAGTAATAGATTGGAATGTGAAAGTTAAAAGATTTATCATTATAATTTTGCCTACACTTTTACTATTTGTTCAAACATTAGGTAAACCTAACCTAACATGACAAGTTACCGATTAGATCCCCCTGATTAGACTTTTCTGTTTATTTTTTGTATATAAAGTAGGTTTAAGGTATTATTGTGACTTAAGATAATGAGGTATTTCTAGGCCATTAGGCTGAAATAAATAAATATAATAAAAAGAATAATGTCAAGTTACCGAAAGAATTAAATTTCCCTTAAATATAAAAGCATACTGTTGACTTTGTACAAGCAAATTCTTGACAAAATTGTTAAACAAGGATAAAAGATATTCTGATATATCTTTCAGCTTCTATTTGATGGTGTATGTTCGATTTAATAATTTTTAACTTAAACAATACTGCTATATTGTAATAATTATTTATTTATGGCTTCTAGTTACAACACAGCTGGATTCTAATTTGTTTTATAAAAAATGCAAATTTGTTTTCCATATATTACCACTCACTACTTTAACAAAGATTTAATATTAGAAGATTTAGCATTACAATTTTGCCAACACTTTTGCTGTTCGTCAAAACTTTAAATAAACCTAACCTAACATGACCAATTACTGAATGAATTAAATTCCACATAAATTGTAAAAGCATACAATAGACTTTGTACAAACAAATTGTGAAGTAAAGATCAAATATATTCTCATATATCACTTAGCATTGTTTTGGTGTTATTCGATCAATATAATGGTTTTTAATTTGAACAATACTGTGATATTATAATAATCATTTATGTCTTCGAGCTACAATGCAGCTGGATTCTGATTTGTTTTCAATATATTTCCACTTGATACTTCATCAGAATGATTTCTTTTATTTTTATGAATGAGTAATAATTACAAATAAATATTGCTACTACCATTTATTTGTTTATATTTGTATTACATTTATTTACTATTGTTTAACATTGACATTGGCATTGCAAACATACATTACACATTGTTTGTTGTAATCTTAATTAGATTATAAACAATTTACACAAATAACTATGTTAAACATTTGGTATTATAATATTTATTAAATCTTGAACATTTATAGATTTGGTAATTAATTACTAAAAAAAATTGGACTATTGCCATATTTACATATATATATGATGATAATTTTGTTGACGTTGATACATATTTGAACATTTTTTTGCAGCCCAATCGTTCAATTAAAAAAAGATTAAATAGAAAAAAAAATTAAACGTTTCGACACTTGATGTGTGTCATCAATCATTAATCTAAAAAAAACATATTACATAAATAGCAATAGTTGATATTAAATATAAAAATATAAAGAGGAAAAATTATATACATACCAAACCAGAAAAAACAACAGAAAAAAATTATTATGTAAAATTCATTGAACACTAAAATTGTGTAAAAAAATAATATACTAATATATAAATAAACGAGAAATTAAATGAGCACATATTGCCCTCCTATATTGTATGTGTTCAATCGCAGTGCATTATGAACACTGATCAAGGTTACGCAGCACGTGCGGTAGAGTGAGTGGAAGCGGGTGTAAGAAATAAAAGAGGAATGAGAAATAGAGTATTTTTACACTATTACTATAGTTTTATCGTTCATTAAATCTTAGAAATTTCTTTTGACAAACTCTAAAAAGAATTATCGAAATCCGAATAACCGTTTAGAAGTATTAAATCATACACCCGTACAGAAGAATTTTATATCTTTAGCTGTTGATAATATTCAGTTTTTGTGGAATATTTTTATAATTTTTAAAGTAGTACAAAAACAATCTGTAGAATTTATGTAATTAATTTAGGAGGAAATCGACCAAATTTTTATTTAACAAATGAAGATATAACGATTAATGAGAAAAATAAAATTCAGCTTGATAATGACTATATAAAATAATTTTTGATAAAAAACATGATGTCGTTGTGTACAATAGACGTATTTTTTTCAAATTTGTTCCAAATAATTCAGAATTGCTGTATTTTTAGACGAAAATGCAAACTAGAACAGATGAAATGTGTTAATTGCTAAATTTTTTTTTTTAGTTTTCAGCGAAAAACGAGAACTTCATTGTCGAAGTTAAAAATTGTCTGAAAAGTTTAAAAGCCTAATTCTCATTAAATCGAAATTCCACTTACGTCCAGTTTGAAGAATTCTTTCAAGTCGTTTAATCATTTCATTCTAATCTTTCCTGTTTTGCATCCAAAAATATTTGCAATTCGTCGCTCGAATTGTAAACAATTCGCAGATTATTGTTGTTTTTTTGCATATCGACATTCTCGTGTGTATTGAGAAAAATAATAACAAAGTACAAATTTTTCAGACATATTTATTGTTAAAACATACAACCGATAAGAAAGTTTGTTTTTACTTTTTGTGACATTAACGGCATGCGATATTAAATATATGTATTAAATATATGTGATATTAAAGAACATATTTTTTCTTATCTGGCAATACTATTGTGTATATTTCTTCTTATCTGGCAAAATCGGTTTAATGTTCGATTTGTATTGCGTTTGTACAAATAAAAGAACAATAACATTTGAATCAGGAAGAGTACTTTTACCTGCCAATAATAATAATAGTAATGTTGAATATTTATCTCTAAATTTTTATTTATGACTAATAAGGCTACAGGTCTCAGTTTCATTCCTTAAATTTATTTCTTCTCCAAAAATAGAACGAGATAACTTACTAATGTGATTTTTTTAAAAATATTTCTCATTTTGTGCCGATATATCTAGATGCTAATTTTTTGTCGAGGTTCTCATAAATTAGAAAATGTTCATTTACATTAACTTCTCGTGGGGTTAGCTATTGTCATCATCCAAAAATAGAAAGTAAAAATTTCTGTATCTTTTCGTTTTGAATATTCACGTTTCAGAGCTTTCTGAACATTTTGTCATAACTCATAAAAAATGTAAGTGTGCGTGTGCGTTTTTTTGTATAGCGAAGGAAAATCATTTATGCATACTAGACAAAGTCTTTTGCTGGATATGTTCACTAAAACTTTCACTTTGCCCTTGCCTCTGATCCCCACGGAAAACGCTGTTAGGCATCACTTCGTAGGGGGAGGATCTAGAATATTGTCATTTTTAGTCGACGTTTTTGGGAGTACCGCTCAACCAATTTGAATAATTCAGAAAGCAATCGATTCCTCTTGATAGGGAGATGTGCTGATTAGTTTTTGGCAAAGGTAGGCCGAGCCGTTTAGAAGCAAAGAATGCTGAAAACAAAAGTCAAGGTTTTGAGAGAACGAAGTATCCGATTTGAATGATTCAAAAAAACATTCGATTCGTAATGATAGGAAGAAGTAGTGATTAGTTTTTGGCAAAGGCAGGCTTCGCCGTTTAGGAGGTACCGAGCTAAATGTGTAAAATATGGCAGTTTTTGAGAGAACAATGCATCCGATTTGAATGATTTAAAATCTTTCTGCTTGTGTTAACGTAACGATTGCTTTTGGAAAAAAATTGTTTCAACTAAATTTATTTTTAGAATATTTAATTGTGTCGCGAGAAGTTCCAGCAATTTGTCTTAAGGCACGATGCCATACACCACCAGTTTTTATTTCTTATTATCATCACATTTTAGCAATTATATTGAGCAAGTTTTACAAGAAGCCTTGAAGTCATTTGCAATTATAAATTTACGTTATAATCTTAACTACCTAATGACCGATGATCCTTCCTTGTGGTACTCCCGTATTGATATTCTTAAATTATTTATTATTTTTAAAATAACTTCATTATTAATATATTCATATTGATCCATATATTGATTCATTATTAATCATACACATAACTTGTATTACGCGATTTTTTATTCATTTGTTTATTATTGAATAGTTAGTAAATTCGTTGCTGTGGTAATTGGTGACATCTGCAGTGGAATAATAATAATTATCATGTGTCGAAATCAAATGTCCACATATTTAAATGTAAAATCGAATGAGCTCAGTTTATATGAAGTAAAATTCGGTAGAAGTTAACTGATCACCAAGTATAATTAGATGGCAAACACGGTCGCTATGACATTACATCATTTTTAATTTTTTGAGCATATCATAGATGGCGCCACCGACCGTAGCACGTAAATTTACCCTTGAGTTTAATTCTAGATAAGATTTATATAAATATGCAATATAGAGAAGATGATTTGACTAATAAATGAAGTGAGAACAAAATATTACTTGCGTTGAATAGCTATGAAATGTATTCTGCCTTATATTTTTATCGATTTTTTATTTAATGATAGTTATATAAAATATAATAACATTGCAAAAAATCAAAAAAGGTAATGAATTAAAATTAAAATACTTCTTATTGCCGACGTAGATATATGAAAAATAATTAAATCTTTTTCATACATTAAAATATATTAGTCACAAGCTTATACGGCGAATAAAAATAATCAATAATAATTATTATTATTTTTATTTGGCGCGTTGGATTTTTTATTATGACTAATGAATATACTTATATACAAGATATAAATAAATTTTGGTTTTTGATAAATATTTCTATACTCATATACAGAATTTGACGAGACGTGCGATAACGACGAGCCTTGCTCGTCGCTCTTGCAAAGCGACTTTATATGGGTCTTCTTGTACCGGCAGCGCGCGTACTAGCTTCAGTTTTTCCAACTTTTCACCCAAAGTTCCACTTAGATTTAAATGAATTTTTGAATAACAGAAGAAAAATGTACAGGCATTCGAATGATGCTAATATAAAAGTAGTCCAAAGAGCCGCACTGGTAGAAAATGGAAAATGAAAAATCATTTTCACTTTTTCACGCACTAGCAAATATTTTTTTCACATTATTTGTTATGAAAAACATAGACAAGATCGGTATAAATAGAATGACGTTAAAATTTTTTCTATATTTTTCATATTTCCGATAAAAAGTGAGTTTAAAAAAAGGGGCCACTTTCACATGCTTTCACTGATATCTCTGCCAAATTATGAGCTACCGATTTGAAATTTGGTATATCGGATTTTCTCGAAAATACCTATAAAATGGCATCAAAAAAATTATTTAAATACCAGGGAGGGCCAATTCTGTATGGAAACGCGCCCATACCCTTTTGCACCATTAATTTGAATGCCAAAAGCAGCGCCATCACGTCCGAGCGGAGCACCCTTTAAGTATCCCTTCTGAACGTAAAAATCGGGAAAGAGTAACATCTATATAAATACATCATATTAATATTGTCTAGGGACCATTACCATCATCTCCATTTCTTCATTTATTTACAGTCCCGGTCAGCTAACAACATCCATCACCAATCAGCGCCCCCGACCGCCAATAATTGGTTCACGGGCGTCAATCATCATCAAGTGCAACATCCAAGCAATCATTTCCATCAACAGCATGCGGTGATGAATCAGCAACACTATCATCAACAACAAGATCCGCCGCAACCGTTAGGCGGCGCTAGTAACTTTGTAGGTTATCAGCAGATAAATAATCCGCCGCCAGGACGGACGACGACGTCGTTGCATGGCCAGACGGCGCAGTTAAATAATACATATAGTGTGGGTTTGGTTTGGATTTTTTTACTAGACTAAAATGTGTAGATTAAGGGGCACAACTAGTGTGAAATTTTCAAAAAATCGAATTTTGAATTTAAAAATAGCATACTAAAATTTTAAATCGATATCTTAAATAGTTTTGAGTTACAGTCATTTAAAAGAGTATGTATTAGAGATGGGCTTATCATATCCGAAGCCGGATCGGTTAAAATTTGACTCCGCTTCATGATGGAGTTATATCCGCTTAACAACTCCACAACTCCGACATTTTTGAAACCTAATACCCGACACAAATGTGTTCCCTAGTGTGTTGTTAACATATCTAAGGATTTTTTAAGACTTTGGAAATAGTTACAAATAGTTCAAACTAGAGATGGGTTTATCATATCCGAAGCCGGTTCGACTCGGATTTGACTCCGCTTCATCGTGGAGTTATATCCGCTTAACAACTCCACGACTCCGATAATTTTGAAACCAAAATACTCGATGCAAATGTGTTCTAATGTGCGTTGTTTATGTATCTAAGGATTTGTCAAATCCTGTTAATTATTAGAAATGAAAATTTATGAATAAATATCAATAAAATAATTTTTCTAAAAAAATAAACAAATAAACGAATGACAGATTGTAAAATTTTTCGGTCAACCAGATGATCGACTCAGTACCTCGTAATTTTAGCAGTGTTGACCAAAGTAAAAACGCAAAACTTGAGAATCAAAATCAATTTAATTATTTCCTTTTGATGAGAAAATAATTGATTTTTTGGATTAATTTTATATAAAAATTGTGTAATAAACTTTGTAAAAAACTGCTTTCAAAATTTTTCTTCTGCTATTTCCATTTGGGAATTAATCTTATATTGCGTAGTTCGATTAGCATATTATTACTTTTACACAATTATATAATTGTGTAAAAGTAATAATATAATACTGAATATTTTTTGCTGCTTAAATACTAATGATATCACTGACAAAATTTGTACTCTAAAGTATTGTTATTTTAGGCTATGGAAAAACCAGATTAAATAAACGTATTTCGTTTCGTACATTTTTGGGTATGTATATTCCTGATTGCCGTCATTCACTGCCAAAGATTGTCGTAGTTAGAAATATAACCCCTTACTATTCAATAAATTATACATTGGAGCTATTCACATTTGAACACAATTTTATTGTTCTGTATCTTTGAAGTAATATTTTTGTATTTTCTGGAAAAAAACCGTATACCTAAAAGGTCATAAAACTGCCTGTGAGACAAGAAAGTGACCGCTTCCTTCCCAAAGCAAAAACGACAAAAGCAATAAACGTCTGCACGAGTTAACAGATTTAATACCAGTTTCGGAAAGTCGGATATGACAAATCCTGTGAAAATCCTGTGAAACAATTCCACTCGGTTTCACTCCGAGGGAGGAGTTGTATCGGAGTGATAACTCCTGAGTGAGTTACCCATCTCTAGTTCAAACATTTTTGTTCATTTTATTATAATAATTACTATTTTATGCGTTTCAATATGCATACAAAACTCAAATTGACAAAAAAACTTGGGAATCGAAATCAATTTTGTAATTATTTTTGAACAGAAAATGTCTGAACTGTTTATAAACTATTTCCAAAGTATTAATAAATCTTTAGATATGTTAACAACACACTAGCGAACAAATTTGTGTCAAGTAGTATGTTTCAAAGTTGTCGGAGTTGTGGAGTTATTAAGTGGATATAACTCCTTTCTGAAGCGGAGTCAAATCCTAACCGATGCGGCTTCGGATATGATAAGCCCATCTCTAGTATATAGTATAACGATCATGTTATCTTTAAACGCGTTTTTCTTGAAACAGCATTTTCCGAATTTGCTGAAATGATTACTCGGGGACAAATGATCCGATCGCTATCAAATTTTTTTTTGCATCTCCTTTATATAGTTCTACATACGATGACCCTCCAGTTTTTTGATCTGATCAAAAATCGAATTTTGGCAGGCCAAAAACGACCAGAATTTTGGGAAAAATTTAACTTTCTTCAACATGCCGCCATTTTGTCAATTTTGATTTTTTTTGTTTGCCCGAGATTGTTATCGTAGAGACAATATGTTTTAGTATAACGAGAATTTTATTTTAAATGTTTTATCAACGGAGAAGGCTGCAATCACCTCAGCAGTGGAGGATCTTTTTTTGGCGCCGCCGGAGATCGCGTGTCATTTCAAAAATATTTAATATTTTATGTCAAGAATTTTACCGTGTATTCTCAAAACATGTATAAACGTACCCTCAGAATTTTAAATAGATGGATTCACCAGTTTTTTTTTAATTCCCAAAAATGGCCTTTGTTTAGGTTGTCACACTAGGCGTGCCCCTTAAGTGGTCTGATCTTGGATTATTAAGCTGGTTTTGTTTTTACAGATCGCGAATAAACAGTATGTCCAGCAACAGTTACCTCAACCTCAACCGCAGCCGCAGCAGCACAATTGGATGCAACAGCAAAATTTCACAAATTCTAACTTTCAGCAAAATCCATCGATACCACAACAAGAACCACAAAACGAAGACGATCCATGGGATTGGGGCTGGGAGGACAATTCCAAAAATGCAAACAGGAAACCGATTCCACCAAAAGCACCAACGGAAAACACTACCAGTATACAAGATCAAATAAGAGATCAAGCGGATGCCATAATCTCCAGTTTTGGACAAGCCAACGACGCGTCCTGGAATTGGTCTTTTAACGATGCCAAAAAGGAGTCACAAATAGGAAATAATAAACCATTAGCGAATGCGCCCCCAAAAGTCGGACAGAATAGTCCGAGGAATATTTCCAGCTTGCAGAACGTTTCTAGAAGATCCAGTGGATCGAGTACCGGGCTGCAAGGAGAAAATTTTAATGCACCACCAACGATGATGCCTACAAATCAAGCTCTAGACAACCTCAATCAAGGTGTTAAGAATTTATCTTTACAAAATCATGATAGGGGTAATGTAGAAGTGGTCAGTAGTCAGAATTCAGTGGTGCAACCAGGACCTCCTAAAACTAGTAACGTCTTACCTCCGATGTCAGGTCCTGGTAATATGTCGTTTAGAAGAGCTGGTCAGATGTCACATAGAACTGCTAATAGAAACATTACAGCGGCGCAAAGTCAAAATATTATGCCTGTACAAAACTTTATGCAGCCAAGTTTTGACACCACTTACACTTTACCTGATACTAGCCAAAACATCGGTTTAAACCAAAATGAAATTGGTGAAAATCTGAATCTCCATACAAATTTAGAGCCTGCAAATGCAGTAAACCAAAACACTTTTCCCTGTTTCCCAGCTCAGTTGGATAGTACGAGTAAGAATCACCAGACACTACATCATCAATCTTTAGAATCTAATTTTACCAACCAGCCTGCAAATTTGTCGGTTCAACAAAACCAGGAACAGGATTTGGTCAATCAGTTTACAATGAGCCAACCACAAAATATATTAACTAGTCAAAATGTTCCTGAAATTGAACCGGAGCCGAATCAGAGTATGTTTGTCCAGCACAATTATGGTGGACATGATCACGAAAACTTTGAAATTAGCGTTGGACAAGATTTTTCGGTGAATGAAGATAGGCGAAATTTGCAGAATTTTGAACCACAAGAAGATAAAACCGCGGTTGTGAATTCGTCGATGAATATTAGGCAGGAAAATCCGAACGCGATTTTTCAACCTATTGCTCCGCAACCTACTTCTGTAGAGGTAAATATTTATATGATAAATTTATTTTTGCATAAATTTTAAAACATCTGTAAAATATGTGATAATTTGATGTGCATATGTGTAATAATCATTTTTGACCGCCAAATGGCTTATTTATGAATTTTGTTTATTGGATTTCCAAAACTGCTAGACTTCTCTCAAAAAAATTTTTAGTTCTTCATATCATTCATACAAATAAAATGTTTTTTTTTTAACTTCCCTTTGGGTAAGTTAAAGTAATCGCATAAAAATTGAAAATAAATTTTTTAAAAATTTTTACGTTTCAAAGGTTTCTCAGCATTTTGGCATACCTTAGAAAATTTGGATGTATGTGTGTATGTGTGTGTGCGGATACAAGTTTTCACCGACGATTTTGCGAACACGGATCAACCGATTTGAATAATTCAAAAAACATTTGATTCCTACTGATAAGGAGACGTGCTGATAAGTTTTTGGCAAAGGCAGGTCTAGCTGTTTCCGAGATACGGGGCAAAAAGTGGTAGAAATGATATTTCAGTTTTTGAGATAACGGGCCGTCCGATTTGAGTAATTCAAAAAACATTTTACTTTTATTGACGAAGTGAACAACTGGTAAAATTTTTATAAAGGAAGTCTAGTGTCGCCGAAGATCCAATAAAAAAAGTAAAAAATAATGCCATTTGACGTCAAAAATGAACATTAGACATATATATAAGGGTTTATACAAAAACCGACATTTTACAAAACCGATTTTCGAAATGTAAATTTCCAGAAAACTGGTTTTAGCCGGTTTTCGAATTTTATATAACAAATCAATTTTTGTTTGAATATTCTATAACAAAATAAGTTTTCGGCAAATTTAGTGGGATTTAAAGCAGTTTGTGACTGAATTTATTTAATGTTTAATTTTTTGATTAGTAAACAAAATTATTTTAATTTTAATTAGTAGAACAAAAAATAATAGTTGATCTGGATTAAATAACTTTGAAAATGATAATTCGTGATTCTTGCATCATCTTCACATATGAGAAGGTAAATATTTTTATGATAGTGAAAGGAAGAGTTCGAATAAATAAAAATAATGCATTTTTAACTTTAAATTAAATAAAAACTTAACTTTAAATTAAATAAAAAAAATAGTTACATATTGACACATGTTAATGTCAATTTTAATTCTAAAATCAATTAAACAAAACCCCGAGTTTATTCTATTCCAAGCAATTTTAATTAATTTAAAATATTTAATCATTTTTTGGTTGAATGAAATATGATTGCTAAAGCTGAGGACTTTTATCGATTTGTTTTTTAGAAGTGCCCTTTGATTACTCATAAAATTTTCTGAAATAGAAAATTACCTTCTCACTTGCAGCCGAACTAGGCTTAATCGTTTTTAAAGCGTGATATAATAATTCTGAAAAATTCATTTGTGGCTGCTAGGGCTAAAAACTGTTTTTTAAAGTTTGTTTAGAGCAATTCACTCCTTCAACAATAAGTCACATTGATCTAAATAAATATATTGATATAATAATCTAAATTAATATATACATTTGACGAAAGATAACGCAGAACCAGAACTATACCAGAATATATGATTCCAAATTTTAACGAATCGATATGATTCTAAATATCAAAACACTTGCTTCTATTTAGTATATTTGTCATTTTCCATTTATACAGTAAAAATCGACTTTTTCCGCTAAAAAAACCGGTTTTCGAATTTCACAATTTTCGTCAAAAAACCGGTTTTTGAAAACTGACAAACCCTAATATATATGTACATCCTATTATCAGAAATTTTATAAAAATTATAATAAGTACAAAGTTTAGCGCGATTGTTTAAAAAAATGTTAAAAAATTTCAAAAAAAAGTCAAAATACAAAAAAATCAGAAAATTCAAAATTTCTCAAAAATCTAATTTTTTCAAAGTTTTGTCATTTTTTTTAATAATTTACTTTTCGGTACGGGAAGTTCCAGCAATTTGCCTTAAGGCACAATGCCATACACACCACTAGTTTTATTTTTTTCTCAGCCAACATTACCTGCAGTGCCACTAACCGTAGCTCCTTCAACCACAAATCAAGAACGCAATGAATACCTACAAACAAGTCATCTGTCCGAAGTCAACACGCAGCCACAAGACAGCAACGACGCGAGTTTAGATCGCGACAATGGTGATACGTCCGTGATTCCTCCAGGACTCAGCAGGATGGTTCCTGGTTGCCCTGAGGAAAATTTGGACAGCACATCATACAGTAAATGAATGAAAAAAATTAAGGGGGTTGTTCTTATTTTTCGATTTTGACTTTTTTGATATTATGAAAGCTAAAAACCTTAGAATTATTTTAAAAAAATCATCTCAATATCTATTTTTTTGACGAAGTTATATATATATATATATATATATATATATATATATATGTATGTCCCACTGAAACCGTTTTTTTTTCATCGCTCTGCGAGCTATTGTATACCAGCTGCTCTCTTTTTCATTATAATACCTCATGCACATGACCTTTTTAATGTGTCCATCTTTGAACACCATGGTGTATTTAGTCATCAAAAATTTGGACAGCACATCATACAGTAAATGAATGAATCAAATTAAGGGGGTTGTTCGGTTTTTATTTATTTTTTTCGATTTTGAGATTTTTTGATATTATGAAAGCTAAAAACTTTAGAATTATTTTTAAAATAATCATATCAATATCTATTTTTTGACGAAGTTATAGTTTATATATATCTCTATATGCATGATCCTCTGAAAAGTTTTTTTCATCGCTCCCCGAGCTATTGTATGCCAGCTGCTCTCTTTTTCATTATAATGCCTCATGCACATGACCTTTTTAATGATGACCATCTTTGAACACCATGGTGTATTTAGTCATCAAAAATTTGGACAGCATATCATACAGTAAATGAATGAATCAAATTAAGGGGGTTGTTCGGTTTTTATTTTATTTTTTCGATTTTGAGATTTTTTGATATTATGAAAAGCTAAAACTTTAGAATTATTTTTAAATAATCATATCAATCTATTTTTGACGAAGTTATAGTTATATATATATCTCTATATGCATGATCCTCTGAAAACCGTTTTTTCATCGCTCCCCGAGCTATTGTATGCCAGCTGCTCTCTTTTTCATTATAATGCCTCATGCACATGACCTTTTTAATGATGACCATCTTTGAACACCATGTGTATTTAGTCATCAAAAATTTGGACAGCATATCATACAGTAAATGAATGAATCAAATTAAGGGGGTTGTTCGGTTTTTATTTATTTTTTTCGATTTTGAGATTTTTTGATATTATGAAAGCTAAAAACTTTAGAATTATTTTTAAAATAATCATATCAATATCTATTTTTTGACGAAGTTATAGTTATATATATATCTCTATATGCATGATCCTCTGAAACCGTTTTTTTCATCGCTCCCCGAGCTATTGTATGCCAGCTGCTCTCTTTTTCATTATAATGCCTCATGCACATGACCTTTTTAATGATGACCATCTTTGAACACCATGGTGTATTTAGTCATCAAAAATTTGGACAGCATATCATACAGTAAATGAATGAATCAAATTAAGGGGGTTGTTCGGTTTTTATTTATTTTTTTCGATTTTGAGATTTTTTGATATTAAGACAGCTAAAAACCGTAGAATTATTTTAAAAAAATCATCTCAATATCTATTTTTTGACGAAGTTATACATAGTGTATCGAGGCAAAAGATCGATATTGAGTACTTTAAAAAGTATCTAATCAAAATATCGATGCCAAAAAAATATTGTGGCGAAAGTATCGATAGTACTCTCAATATCGAATTTTGAGTACTTTTCATAAAAATCAAACATAAGTGCAAGAAAGATCTAAAACTCATTAAATATCATATCACAATATTAGAATGAATTCTATTGCTTGTATCTGATGTGCTAAATCAGAATCATTTTCAATATTGTAAAATTTTAACAGTAATTTTTCAATACTAATTTCAAATTCTATAATTTTTCAAAAAAAAAAGGACAAGTTATAATAGTTGAGTATTTTTGATTAAAACAATATAATAGTCTGATACTATTATATATTCAAAAAGCAATACTTTTTAAGTATTTTTAAGTACAATAATATTTTTAATATTTTTAAGTAAAATAATATTTTATAATTGTTGAATATTTTTATATGAATAATTTTAGCGAGCATGCAACTTTAAAAAGCCGTTACATGTTTACACAAAAGTGCAATATGAAGCCTTTTGGAAAGCAATAAACATTCAGTTTAATGACGGTCAAGATAATATTTCGACACTTGTAGAGGAACTTGTAGAGAAATCCCTTGGGAGCGATGGTCGATGAGTGGTGTTCATAGATTACGCTGTCGATTCTTTTTGAGTACTGTCGACGAAAAGAATCGATATTGGGAAATAGATCGAGCTAAAAAATCGATAGCAAAAGTACTCACTATCGACCGCAAAGTATCGATATTTACTCAGTACTTGATATTTCGTTCTAACACTAGTTATAGATATATATATCTCTATATGTATGATCCGCGAGCTATTGTATGCCAGCTGCTCTCTTTTTCATTATAATACCTCATGCACATGACCTTTTTAATGTGTCAGCATCTTTGAACACCATGGTGTATTTAGTACATCAAATTAAATGCTGTATTTAGTAGATTATATTAAAAACTTTAAATACGTTTTTCTCAAATTGACTTTTTTCAATGCGGTGCCACAAATTAAATAAAAACTACAAATCGGATTCGACTTGCATTTTTTTTAATTTGTTCACCACTGCAATACCTAGTCCCCCTACCTCAAACAACTTGATAACATTACGCAAAAAAATTTGCGAAGCTTTCGCCCCAAAAAGGCCTTTTTGACACTTTTTTTAAATAGCTGCCATTTTTTTCCTTCTTGATTTTTTTCTTTTATTATGTTAGGGGGACTGGATTCAAACTTCTTCTTCAACGTAGTTTCTTTTTTTTTTTGTTTCAGGCATGCGCAACGGATTTATCTGTGTGCACCGCAAAAGAGATCGATTTTGCAAGACCGACTTTGGCGCCCCCTGGTTAAAAAATAACAGCGAAAAAAAAAGAAATTTTGTAATATTCTATGATTTTGTAATTTTTGTTTAACACTATTCCTACCGACATTTCATGTTTACTATTCCTACCGCAACCGGTCATGCAAAATCTATATTTTTCAGTATTGAATGAAGAGTTAATGCTAGTTTAAGTGTTTATAAATACAAATACAAAATATTTCTTTTATTTTAGAATGCGAAATCTACATTTTATTCTGTTTTATCCATATTTACGATTTTTTTCTTATAGTGTATTTTCTTCACACGCAATTTTTACGTATTTGGCTGATTTTGTTCGCCCTATCATCTTTCTAAAACATTATCTGGAATACTTTCTTTTAGGGAATCTGCTTTGTACTTGTACTTAGTTGATTTTTTTCTGAATTCTTGTTGGAACTATTCGGCAAGTTAATTGGAATAGAAAGTTCCTGCCTTGTACATCATCTTCCCGTAATTTCTTTATGAGAAAACAATGAATTTATCCTGAATAAATACAAAATAATGTAAATCCTTGATAAATTCTCTCTAAAATTCATATTTTACTGAATGATTCATATTTTATGAATGACATCTACACCAAACACGACGCTAATACCAATTGAATTGACTCCTGTATTAGTGAAAATTAGAACCTTCTTTTTTAGCTTCCAAAATTGTAAATATTATTTGTGTGAGGTCCTTGATTGCTAGTTCTACCAGTATTTGTAGCTGTTATATTGCTAACAGTTTAGCTATAAGTAGGGTGGTAAAAACGTTTAATTTTTTTACATCGTACTAGCGATTTTGATAATACGGATACATTGGTTATAAATCTTCAAAGAAATTATTAGTTTTCTACGTATACTCAAAACGTACTCAATACGTATATATCAAAATTTTACACACCATTTGTGCGATTTGCTGGGCATAATTATATTTACATCGTATATTGAACAGTTACTAAAATTTTATACTACGTTTTCCTGAATATTATTGAACATGTGTTGAATAAATTTACACCTTACCTTTATTGAAAATATATGTTTGTCGATAGTAATACGTGATCTTTTACAACAATTACCGCATGTCTCTATGATAAATACATTTCGCGAAAAACAGAAACAAATATCTTGCATTTTTTGTAAAAAAAACGAACAACCCCCTTAACACAGGTTTACAATTGTTGCTTATATAGGGGTAACTTATTTTAGATCGGCAAGGACCATCCATTGGTGGTTATCCAGAGAGACATGTACCAGGATTGGAAAATGAGGCTTCGGAGCAAGTTGTGGTGCCGCCGTACGATGAGAGAGTCGTTGCAGGGTTAGAAAATTTAGAAAGTCGCGATGATAGGGATGATAGAGATATTGTTGGCTCGGATTCTCCACAGAGTAGTCTTGGTCACAGAGAAAGAGGTAAACATTTTTAATAGAAAATAAATTGCAATAAATTGACTGAGAAGAGGCAATTAATTCAATCCATCTTTCAGATGAAATCAGGTCCGACGTGTTAGATGGAGCGGATGATTTGGAGCGAGAAGTCAACATGGATGGGGAAAATCTTCAAGTAAGTCTAATTTATATATGTACTAGATGACCCGACAGACGTTGTCCCGTACCCATGTCTAAAATTTTTTAATATAATATACTTATATTTACCGTTTAAATTACTCTTCACGCCAAAATGCATATACTTTTATAATATTAGCGATGTTAATTGTAGAACTGCTTTAAATAAAATTATGAGTCTCAATTCCCACACTATATTGAAAAAAAACAATATTGAAAATTTAATATCCGAATCTTGTGTTGGCGCCCCCTAAGGCGTGCCCTAAGGCTCTTAATTTCATATTCTAAGTGAATTAATTTGTCATATCTTGTTCATATGTGTATCATTCAATGTGCCATATATATACTGTATTTTATATTATTTTAATTTCTGGCACATCTCAGCTGCTTTTTGGCAATAATAATGTAAATATTTCATTTTTCTTATTCATAATCATAAATTTATTATACATATTCTAATATATGTCTTTTTGGCATATGATAGTTTTCATTTGTTTTCAATGCAAACAATTGCATGTCGTTTTTTGCATTTTTTTATATTTATTTCTACAATATTGCACATACATCACAGTACTTTATAATCACATACATCCTGGAAAATTTCCTCAACATACTTCAAAAAGATTTATCAAAATCCGAGTAATCGTTTAGAAGGAATATACAGTAAGTGCTTGCAATTTGAACTATTTATATATTTGCAATAAAGCTCAAATTGATTCTACGTTTCAGTTCGAAAACGTTTGTATGAAAAAAAGAAAAGGGCGGTTTTTAGGGTTTTCCCGGCAATTATTCGATTTTTTCTTGCCGTAACAACCATCCTTGGACTTGAACGAACATTTTAAAAACAGAATTGGCCAAATCGGTCCAGGCGTTGATGAGTTATGCGCTTACCAACGCATTTTGCGATTCATTTTTTTATATAAGAAGATACATATATAATATATATATATAAATATATATATATATATATGTATATACTAGCTGACCCGGCAAACGTTGTTTTGTTGACACATTTAATGTTTCAAAATTTTGATACATTATTACCGCGCTTAATAACAATCGGTAAAGCCGATTCGGAGGAGTACTGGAACGAACTTTGTGACACGAGAATTTTATATATAAGATTAATAAATGAGTAATTTTAAAAATTGTTTTCCAAAGGATATACAACATGTTCAACAACAACAACAAAGCACCTTCAACAAATCAACATCAGCGCAATCGCAACAGTCTCAAGCCCAGATTTCAAATAATTTGCAAGACGATGCAAACAATCAACAGTCATTGAGTGATCATGTCAACGAACAGGATGTCTCATTGGATAGAGATCATAGGGAAGAAGTCAGTGGTAAAGGTGAGATAATAAAACATTAAATGAATAGATGGAAAACATGTCGCTGACTTTTTTAATTATACTGTTTTTTTTTCAGCCTCGAGTCGTTCTAACAAGCAACACAGACGTCATCCATCCGACACCACAGATGACTCGGAACGAGATAGAAGATATCGCAGAGACAGGGATCGGGATAGAGATCGAGACCGAGATCGAAACAGGGATAGAGATCGCGATCGCGTGAGGGATCGAGATAGAGATAGGGAAAGAGAAAAGGATCGGGATAAGAACCGGGAGAAGGAAAGGGATCATCGTGATAGAGACAGGGACAGAGACAGGGATAGAGATCGTGATCGAGATGGAAAGAGGAGGCACGAACGGGATCGTCATCGCGATGATAGGTGAGTTATTTAATAAAATATTTGAATCAAAAATTTAACAACTTTACGTTGAAGACATTTATGTTTTTGACACCAAACGCACCAAAATTACAGTGGCGCCTCGACATACGAGTTTAATTCGTTCTGTAACCACACTCGTATGTCGAAGCACTTTCTTTCATATAAATTCCATATGAATTCGTTCCAGCACTATGGTTTTTAGGTTTTTTGAATATTAAAAATAATTTTACCAATTATGAATTTAATTATTGTTTTTTCCTGCCCATTCGTGATATTGTGGAATGATAATAATTTTACCCTTTAATTTAAGAGACATTGCCCTTAAGATCCGTGGTTACAAAACTAAACTAGTGGTGTATGGTATCGTGCCTTAAGGCAAATTGCTGGAACTTCCCGTACCTTAACGAAATGTTCGAGGAATATTAAATGTTTTCAAATATATCATTATAAATACTGTAACTTTTATTATTTTTGCTATCTTGTTTGTTATATTTGAGCAAATCAAATGTAAATCATAAATCAATTTATCTCCAGAATATTAACAATCGTCATTTCATTTCGAATTCGATTTCAAAAAAAAATAGTTGCAAAAATTGAAAAAGTGCTCCCGTATAGTCACAGTTATTTTCAATTATACTGTGCTTAGCTTGGCGGCATTTTTACATTTTTCAATAGTTTTCACAAAATTTAAAAAGTGCTCCAGTAAAGAAACATTCTAAACGCACTTGGGCAAACATTTGTACCAGAGTGGCGCTTAGACTGTGCTCAGCCTGTGTAATTTTTTGAATTTTTAATCCAAAATTAAAAAAATATTTTATGGAAAATAAAAAAAAGATGTAATAATTTTTCATCCTCAAAAGCAATTGTTTTGTCAATACAAGCAGAAAGTGTTTCAAATCATTCAAATCGGATGCTTAGTTCACTCAAAAACTGTCATTTTTTGCACATTTAGCTCTGTATCTTCGAAATGGCGGGACCTGTCTTTACCAAAAACTAATCACCTCTTCTCCTAATCATTACAAATTGTTTTTTAGATTATTCAAATCCGATACTCCATTCTCTCAAAAACTCGATTTGTATTTTCTGTACTCTTGTTTCATATCTCTGAAATAGCTGGTCTCCTTATCAATAGGAATCGATTGCTTTTTGAATATTTCAAATAGGTTGATCCGTGCTCCCGAAAACGTGGACATAAAATTGTATCCATACTTACACACACAAATCCATTTTTTTTCTGAGGTATGCCAAAACGTTCTGAAACCTTCAAAACGTGAAGAAATACAAAAATTTTCAATTTCCAGTTTTGGGCGATTAAAATAACTTACCCAAGTTCAAACTTTTCAGAAAAATTCAAGACTTCAAATTCAAAATTGGATTTTTAAAAAAGTCAAATTATATTGAAAATGACAAAATTCTCAAAAATCTCATTTTTTCAGTTTTCAATAAAGGTTAAAGGTTTTTTAAAAAATTTAATTTTCGGTACAGGGAAGTTCCAGCAATTTGCCTTAAGGCACGATGCCATGTACCCCTAGTTTATTACGTCTATCATTATGATTTATCAACAATTTAATTTTCAGGAGAGACAGAGATCGGGATGCTGATTATCGGGACCACAAATCTCATTCCAATAGAGATAGACATCGCAGGCATAGAGATCATCACGGTAAATATATACTTTTTATTATTTAAAAACAATCTCAATTTTAATTAAACCTATAAATTTATTTTTTCAGGTCGATATGAAACTGAAGACACCGAACCAGACTATTATAGTGACCGAGCAGGAAGGAAAACCTCAAACAATCGTTATGGTAGGGACAATGATAGTAGTCCTGAGGATCGAGAACGCAATCGGGATAGAGATAGAGACAGAGATAGAGACCGAAGATATGGTAGTAGACGAGGTAAGAGAACTTGCTCGACTTTTCTCATTTTTGTATTTTTTTAATACTATCTAAATTTTTATTACAGGTGATAGATACGACTACGATCGCAATTCGAGTAGAGCAGGGTCAGACAGAGATCGCAGAGACTACAAAATGGGCTACATGCCTCCGGATCAGTTTTCATACTACGCTGCAACTCAACAGCAATTCAGCTCTGAATTTTATAAATATTATGAAAACATGAGACGAACAAATCCTCAACAGTATGCTGAATGGTACCACAAGTTCTATGGACCACAAGGTAAAAAAATTTGATAAACATATCCAAATATATCCACAGCAAAAAATTTCATGCTTCCCTAGTTAAACTTTTTAAAGAAAAAAAAAGTTTTTATAAAATCGTGAGTTTTCTGAAAATAGTTTGTACTAAAGTAGTAGTATAATGAAGTGAATTCTAGATGGAATGTGAATTACTTTAATTCTGGTGGAAATGGCGCTCATTATAAACCATATGATTTAAAAGAAAAATACTTCGTATATGCTTCTTATTTGCATGATAGCTCACTCATTTTACACGCAAAAAACTTGTAACAGCACTCATTTTAAAGCTTATGTTGAGCACTATAAAACCCAATTTCACCGAAATGCATAAAATGTAAAACCTTGACACTAGATGGCTTTAAATACAACAATTAAATCTTGAACGAAATAAAAAACGACTTTGCTCTTTCAAATCTTGCTTAATATTTTTCCTGGAACACTTTATGTAATACCGATTTATTAAGATTTTTATTGACATTATTTTGTTCATTACATGATTTTCGTTAAAATGTATATTTTAGGAGAAATATATGAATCTTTAGTGGCGTAACTTGACAAGTATTAGTTTTTTTTGAAAAACTATAAAAGACATTTTTTTCTTATAATTAGTTCTTCTATCGATTTCCGACGTTATTTTGAAAAAATGTAATTACACAATTGAGAAAAGGTGTCATGTTATAGCGCAACCCGAATTGTTTTCACTTCTGAACTTGAGGGTAAGATGAACCTAATTCCAAAATTTCATTCAAAAAAAAATTCAGAGGTTATACCCTTTTTTCCTCTCCATTTACTGCACTATCCAGGTATTTTTCTTTTAAGCCTTGTCGGCTAGCCTTCCTGGTATAAACGATATGCTAGTTGGTTAGGATGGACGTCTATTCTGCTCTTATAATTAATGGCAACCATTGATATATGTCCTTGAATTGTAGGCCTGTGTCTTTGTCGAGGATCCATGTTGCCGCAGGAATTTGTTCTGTACACGTTGTATTATGTTTAAATTGCTCTTTTTAGGAGTACCCCAAAGTTGTAATCCGTAGGTCCATACGGGTTTGATCCCCGCCTTATATATAAGTAATTTGTTGTAAGTTGATAATACTGATTTTCTGTTCGAAAATTAGATCTATTTGTGTCTTTTCTTCTTTATGTATATTTCCCAGTTCAGTTTCTTGTCTAAGTGAATGCTGAGATACTTCATTGATTTTTTGAACGAAAATGAAAAATAGGTGTTGTCCGATTGTCACACCCAATATGCACACAAAATTTCATGAGAATCGGTAAAGCCGTTTCGGAAGAGTTTAAACACCGCGACACGAGAATTTTATATATTACTAGCAAACCCGACGAACTCCGTTTCGTCACCAGATGGTTTCGTGAGAAAGATTTTTTGTTTGTTTTATATTTGAACAGGAAAAAATTGATTTTATTACACAACAGTAATGAAATTATTTCGATTACAAAAATGATGTGTTTTTTAGTTGAACTTCTCTAAGTAAATGAAAGTGAATCCACAAATTATCCGTTTCATTGAAGTGCTCTTTGGTAAACCACATTTTTTGTTTTTTGGTCTGACGTTAACACAAACAAAGCGGATGGTTTTCCAACTCGTGAACAGGCAACGTATAACTGCCCATGTGAAAAATAATGATTTTCTAAATAATCTATTTGAAATTTATCCCGCAAACACTAAGCGATCGGCCTTGCGACTTGTTATTGCGAACGCAAGGCGAACTGGAAATTGCAATCGTTTGAAGTCAAACGGAAGACTAGTCGGAATTATTGGTATGTCACCAAATCGCCAGCAATTTTCGATTGAATGGTGAAATTCAGTGCGTGTACATTATTATTCTTTGTGGCAAGAATTGCTCGTTGACTTAACCAAGCATAATTCTCATAATTCTCACTAATGTCATTACTCAAATTTTTAATTACGGTGCGTGAAGTGCCTGCAATTTGCATTGAGGCACGATCCCATGCACCACTAATATAATCTTAGCTATAAACCTTACGGAGCCCGAGACTTTTCCAACGAATACAAAATTGTCGAAATCGGTTCGTGCGATTTCCCGCACAATTAAACCCGATTTATTTTTATATATGTGTAGATAATATTATATTATCTTTTTTTTAGGTGCAAATGCGATGGGCATTACCTCAAGCTCAACTTCCATGTTTGTCCCCGGTCATCAATCTTTAGCATCTTTAGACCAATCTGGTGCTCCGATTCCTGATGACAGGGCCAGTGTGCATTCGGGAAGGAGCAGCGCAAACGGAAAGGATTCACAAAGGTGAGTACAATAAATTTATTGTTTCGTGTTTAACTTTTTGATTAATAAATTTGCTCGAGCTGATTTGAGTTGGAATCAACATTCCACTTGTCTCTTACCAAGCTTGTGATTCACACCTGCTTCCACTTTATATTTTTACTGCTGTAGTGTGTGGCTTTATCTTTAACTAAAACAAAAGGCTTCTCTGTTTTTTATCACACACACACACTTGCATATCTGTAGTCATTCATAAAACTTATTTGCCCGATACACCATCGTGAATAAATCATATCATTAACAAATGGCCGAGAAGTATGCTGCACCAGCAGCAGCAGTATTATGCTCAGCAGCAGCAGCATTATTATGTGCAGCAGCAACAGCAGCATCAGTATCGAAGCAGGCACCAGAGGCAGGCGTCCAGGACTATTTCGGAGTTTTCGGATTCAAATTTCAGGTAGGTATTTGATAATGGCGATAAAATGACTTTTATTGATGTCGATTTATTTTGTTTATCAACTAGTGGTGTATGATAAGAAACTTCCGATATTTTTTCAAAGAATTTTCAAGTTTTTTGATTTTCCAAAATATCTTTTTATATATTTACTTGTTTATTAAATTTTATTGATTTATAGGAAGATGGTGTTGCTTGTCATTATTATTATTATTATTAAATGTGTGTGGTTCATCATTTTTCATTCGCATGCATCATCATCATCGTGTCTGTACATTTATGTTTTGTGTTTGATGATTTTATGAAAATTCAAGTAAATTCAGGATTAATTGATGATTTTATAAATGCATGTTTTTGTAGATATATATATAACTAGCAAACCCAACGAACTCCGTTTCGCCACCAGATGGTTTCGTGAGAAAGATGAAGAAATTTTTTGTTTGTTTTATATTTGATAAGGAAAAATTTGATTTTATTACACAACAGTAATAAATTTATTTACATTACAAAAATGAAGTGTTTTTTAGTTAAACTTCTCTAAGTAAATGAAAGTGAATCCGCAAATTATCCGTTTCATTGAAGTGCTCTTTGGTAAACCACATTTTTTGTTTTTTGGTCTGACGTTAACACAAACAAAGCGGATAGTTTTTCCAACTCGTGAACAGGCAACGTATAACTGCCCGAGTGAAAAACAATGATCTTCTAAATGGCACGATGCCATGCACTACTAATTTTCTTAACTATAAACCATGCGGAGCCCGAGACCTTTCCAACGAATGCAAAATTGTCGAAATCGGTTCGTGCGTTCTATTTCTCTATTTAGTATTTAAGTTATATCGTCAGGAAGGAAAAACCCGACTTATTTCTATATATTTTATATGTAGATAAGCAAGTATATTTAAAATGTATACGTTTCGGCTAGAATCCGAGCCCTCATTCAGTGGAAAAACTAAATAATTAGTCAGTCAATATTTGTTACAAGATAAAATAAAAATGTTTTTGAGCAGACATCCAACTCAATTATGTATCTAAAAATTTTTAATAGACTTTCATACGTTTCGAATCCTAATTTGAGTAGATCTTGAATCTTTTTAAGTAGATAAAATACATTGGAAAATAAATAGTATTTAAATTGAAAAAAATGTATTAAAATTGATACATATTAATTATAATTTATATCTAAATTATAGAAAAATTGACGTTTTTCTTAATTTTAAAAAAATATTTTTGCAGCAGGTGCCCGAATCGGATGGACGTCGTTTTTATATAATTTATATAATTGAAATTTAAATGTTTTCATTTAAATGTTTGCATATGTAGATTTTCACGACAGATATCGGTTAGGATGGACGTCTTTTTAATATAAACTAGTCGTGCCTTAAGGCAAATTGCTGGAATTTCTCGTACCATAAATTTAAATTTTTAAAATTGATTAAAATGAGATTTTTGGAAAATTTGATTTGAATTTTTTTTTATACTTTGATTTTTGCTTAAAGTTTCGAACTTTCTTTCAAAGCAATTGTGCCACGTAGCTATTCTAAAGAAAAAAGATGGAAGCGCGTAAGCGCCGCATCGCAAAACTCATACTAATTATTTAAATATCTATAAAATATTTGATGTGCGTATGTCTAATGATCATGTTTGATCTCCAAAACCACTAGGCCTGTCTACCCAAAAATTTAAACGGTACTTCATTTTGTCAATACAAGTAAAATGTTCTTTAAATTATCCAAATCGGACACTACATTCTCTTAAAAATGAAATTACCATTTTTGGTACTTTTTGCTCCGTATCTCCGTAACGGCTGGAACTGCCTTGCCCAAAAACTAATCAGCACGTTTTCTTATCAATACAAATAGAATGTTTTTTGAATTATTCAAATCGGTTAAACCGTGTTTCCGAAATCGTTGACGAAAATTGTATCCGCACATACTTACACACACACACGAATACATACATTTTTTCTAAGGCATGCCAAAATGTTCAAAAACCCCTGAAACGTCAAAATATGCAAAATTTTCATTTTAGATTTTTTTTTTTTCGATTACTCTAACTAAATTATGTATATAAAAAAATTTAATACACTTTCATACGTTTCGAATCCCAATTGGAGTCGCTTTCAGTAGATAAAATACACAAACTAGAAAAAACGGTTAGGATGGACGTCATTATTATATAAATTATATGTTAATTAAAATTTAAATGTTTTCTTTCCTATATTAATTTTAATTTAATTATTTCACTAACATGTTTTTGTTTTAAGTATTTGGTTTATTTAATAATAAATGGTTTGTGCTTTTTCCAATAAACCTCTATTCTATTCTATTTACTGAAAAAGAGTGAAATTGGGAGCCGAAACGTAAGAAAGTCTATTAATATTTTTTCGAAATATAATGTACCTTTTTTTATCTATATGTGCCTGCTCAAAACTTTTTTGTTTAAAGATATATATGTATAAATATTTATTATATGTTTGTTCTGTTATTGTCGTACAGCTTTCTATGTAAGCTATAGCTATTTTAAATATTATTTTCTATATATTATTTTATAGTTTTTTTTATTATTACATCATTGCACTTATAGATTTTGATGTCATTGTTTTCATATGAGATGATTAGTCATTCGACAAAATTATTTGGTTTGTTTTGAATATTTTTTTTTATTTATACAAATAAAATATTAACTAACTGTGTAAGATATGCATGCAGAATTTTCAACTCTTTATAAAATACCAAAAATAAAAATTTAAATAGAAAATTTTGTCAGAAATTAATTTATACTAGTTGTAATTACTAGTTGTAACAATAATTAATTTATACTATTTTAAATAAGATACCATTTTTTTAGAACATTGAAATAAAAAAATCCATTGTTCTAAGGTATACCAAAATATACAGTAACGTTCAGTTTAAAACGTAAACATATGCAGAAATTTTCATTTTTTTTTTTTTTTGCAATTACTATAACTTACCATACGGAAAGTTAAAAAATAATTTATATTCAAATATTTTCATTTTTTGTGTCCATTATTCACATTTACTATATCTATCTATCGATATCCATAGGGAGCTACAGATTCTCCACCAAGGAAGCCAGCAAGAGGAACAAGACTCGATGCTCGACTTCACACAAGATTTAGGTGCAACTTCATCAAGATACAATGAACCTTACACTCTGGACGACCAGCAGGACCTACCACAATCTGAACCAGTCGAACAACGTTATACACCTGCCAAATTTCCTGCTGCACATGCCATTTGCAGTGCCAGAGGCATCAGGTTACTCTGCGCTTTCACCGATGGTGAAATCGCCCTGCACGATTTGAAGGAACTCACTGGACAACATGAGGTGATAATTGGAATATAAACATATATATATATATATATATATATATATATATACTAGCTAACCCGGCAAACGTTGTTTTGCCATAAAAAATATGCCTAAATTGATAAAAAATTAATAAATGTGCCAAAAATCAACTATTTAATAGATTTGGACTCCGATTCTTTGACAAATAGTTAAAAACATGTTATAATTTTCGAAATTATTTGACATTTCATACTTCAAAAATTAATTCACTCGCATCATAGTTTTTTGTTTATTATACTTTTGTCATGTCATATATGTCAATAAAATTTTCTTTCAAATATTATTTATTAGTTAATAAATTAATAATTATTTTAAGTCATCAATTAGTAATTATGTAATTGTTAAATTCATAAGTTTGGCTAAATCAACACAGGAATATTGTGGAAATAAATATTTTTCTACATAAAGATCTGATTTTTGACATTTGCATTTTATTTCAAATTAATTATAACTGTCAAAATATTTTCTTTTCGGTCAAAATTTAATATAATATGATATAATATTTAGTTTGTCAGATTTGTTTTTGTCAGATTCCAATGATACTCTCAGATCGTACTATTCCATTTAAGAGGTTGCAATTTCCTGTAAGATCAGCATTTGCGATGGCAATCAAAATATATCTTAACTGATATATTAATAATAATATTATATTTTAATTACACAAATTTCTTTGCACTCTGATAAATAATTCCAACGCATCGTAGTGTTTTGTTTATTTTAATTTTGTTTATGTCAATTTTTTTTTTAATTAAAGAATAAATTAAATTTTAGTCTAAATCAACGCAGTATCTTTATCTAAATATACAATTTTTTATATAAATATTTGATTTTTTACATTTGCATTTAATTGAAAAATAGTGAATGTCAATTTCATATATCCAATATGCACTAAATTTATAAATGTCAAAATATTTCCTTCTTGGTCCAAAATTAATATAATATGATAATATTTTTTGTACAATAATGTTTTGTATCTATAATTTGCTTGGCAATATTGCCTATAACATAACTTGGAATAATTAATTTATTTGCTTCTTATTGAAGTAAGTTGTTAAACATTTTTTTGTGAAATGTCCAAATTTTGTTTATGATTAATTTTAAATTCAATATGCCGCTTTTTTATTGTGATCTCTGATCTATAATGTTTTGATGAAGTTTTGGTTTCTGAAATAATTTCGTAAGCTAATTAATTAAATCTAAATCGTAAATCTATTTATATAATTATTATCATAAATACTGACGAATGACTTTTAATTTTATTACATGTCAACATTTGTTCAAATTTTTAAGCATTGATTTTTAATTAGATTTAAAACTATAAACAGTGATTTTGAATATAGCATTTCATCAAATTTGGATTTAAATGTTGGATATTTCTATATATGTACATGTTTTTGAATTTTATTTTTTGAAATGTCAATTTTTTTTTTCAAAAATTATATATCGAAATTTCCTTAAATTTTGACATTTGTCATTTTAGTGTTTTGTTTTTTTTTTGGTCATTTTCTGTCAAAATTTTTAGAAATTTATAAAAATTATATATTTATATTTCAAATTTACTTTTCAAAATTTCCTATAACCTAAGTTGGATATATATGCACACGATGAGCCAATAAAATTTAAAATCGGTTCAGTAGTTTGGGCGTCCATCGCGAACCAACATCGTGACACGAGATTTATATATATATATATATATATATATATATAGATTATATAACCAGGATTTATATATTTTTGTTTTTAGTGGAGCAAAGAGCTGTCAGACTATCCCGGTCCACTCATCAGTGGAGTTACTCACAAGAAATCAGTGATCGAGTTCTGCGAAGAGAGGGTTGCTCGTATTGTCACGTCGTCTTTAGATGTCACTTCTTTTTCGTACAGTGGCAGACGTCATCATTTGCAGAAGAATGCTGCTGTTGGACAAAATGGCTCGGATGCTGAATCTCGAGCTCTTATGTGGGAACTCATGATTTTGCTGCTGAGACAGAACGGGGTAAGTAGAAAAAGTTGTTTTTTATATCTTAATTATTTTTTAAGTGAAACTTTTGTGTAAGGTTTTATTAAACGACAACTCGAGGATTTTTTAAAAATGTTGTGAATTGTTTGAGAATATGGCGAGTTGTCTGAGAGTGTTGCAGGTTGTCTGAGACAGTTGCAGGTTGTCTGAGACAGTTGCAGGCTGTCTGAGACAGTTGCAGATTTGTTGAGAGTGCTGCATGTTGTCTGGAAATGCTGCAGCTTGTGTGAAAATGTTGGAGGTTGTCTGAGAGTGTCTCAGGTTGTCTGATAGTGCTGCAGGTTGCCTGAAACAGTTGCAGGTTGCCTAAAACAGTTGCAGGTTGTATGAGAGTGTTGCAGGTTCTATGAGAGTGTTGCGGGTTGTCCTGTAATGTTGCAAGTTGTCCTGGAATGCTGTGAGTTGTTCTGGAGTGCCCCAAGTTGTCCTGGAGTGCCTCAAGTTGTCCTGAAATGCTGCGAGTTGTTCTGGGGTGCCTCAAGTTATCCTGGAGTGGCTCAAGTCGTCCTGGAGTGGCTCAAGTTGTCCTGGAGTGCCCCAAGTTGTCCTGGAGTGCCCCAAGTTGTCCTGGAGTGCCCCAAGTCGTCCTGGAGTGCCCCAAGTCGTCCTGGAGTGCGCCAAGTCGTCCTGGAGTGCGCCAAGTTGTCCTGGAGTGCGCCAAGTCGTCTTGGAGTGCGCCAAGTCGTCCTGGAGTGCCTCAAGTCGTCCTGGAGTGCCTCAAGTCGTCCTGGAGTGCCCCAAGTCGTCCTGGAGTGCCTCAAGTCGTCCTGGAGTGCCCCAAGTCGTCCTGGAGTGCCTCAAGTCGTCCTGGGGTGCCTCAAGTCGTCCTGGGGTGTCTCAAGTCGTCCTGGAGTACGTCAAGTCGTCGCAAGTCGTCTGGGAATGGTGCAAGTCGTCTGGGAATGGTGCAAGTCGTCTGGGAATGGTGCAAGTCGTCTGGGAATGTCGCAAGTCGTCTGGGAATGGTGCAAGTCGTCTGGGAATGTCGCAAGTCGTCTGGGAATGGTGCAAGTCGTCTGGGAATGGTGCAAGTCGTCTGGGAATGGTGCAAGTCGTCTGGGAATGGTGCAAGTCGTCTGGGAATGGTGCAAGTCGTCTGGGAATGGTGCAAGTCGTCTGGGAATGGTGCAAGTCGTCTGGGAATGTCGCAAGTCGTCTGGGAATGTCGCAAGTCGTCTGGGAATGTCGCAAGTCGTCTGGGAATGTCGCAAGTCGTCTGGGAATGTCGCAAGTCGTCTGGGAATGTTGCAAGTCGTCTGGGAATGCTGCAAGTCGTCTGGGATTGATGCAAGTCGTCTGGGATTGATGCAAGTCGTCTGGGATTGATGCTAGTCATCCTGGAGTGCCTCAAGTTTTCTGGGAACGCTGCAAGTTTTCTGGGAATTCTGCAAACTGTTGTTTGTTTGAAAATCTTGTAGATTGTCTGAGAATGTTCTGGATTGTCTTTTAGAATCTTCTAATCTTGTTGATTGTTTGAAAATATTGCAAGTTATCTTGTATGAACCTATTGTAGATTATCTAAAAATGCAGCACATTGTCTTTTTACTAATGCATCTACCTCTTTTAGCGTGTTGTGGGCACAGATATAGCAGAGCTGCTGATGAAAAATTCGAGTAATTCTTTGGGATCTGAAAGAGCTATGAGCCGTACTGACTCTATAGCATCTGTTGCCACAGGAGCTGCATTCAGCGATGAACCGGGCAACTTGAATGACGATCAAGAAGTCGATAGCAACACTCCTGCAAGTGAAAATAATATAGGTAAATTGAATATTTATCAGTAGCAGTATTTATAGATCGTTATTATTATCACTGTTTTATTTTAGTAAGTGGTAGATCACAGAAGGCAATTAGGAAGATTAGTAAGAATGAGTACGCGCTTTCAAAACTGTCTGAGAAAGAGGTGACTGATAAGTTCAGAGAGTATTTGATATACGGGAACTGCAAAGATGCTTTAGGTATATTGGATATACAACAATAATACACTATGCATACATCACGATACAAATAATTGTTTGTTGTAGAATATGCAATGGCTCATGCACTGTGGGGACATGCCTTGTTCTTGGCTTCTCGTCTGCAAGATGCTCGGTCTTTGGCAAGTTGTTTAGCACGTTTTTCGAGCACTGTAAAACCAGCAGATCCACTTAATACACTGTACCAACTTTTGGCAGGACGACAACCACCCGTGGTAAGATAATGATAAAAGATTTGAAGTATTTAGACTTCTTAGCTTGCAGTTTTTTCTCTGGGAATCAATTTTCAACAAAACAAATATATTTTCTTTTAAGGTTACTTGTGCATTAGATGAGAAATGGGGTAATTGGAGACCACATCTTGCTATGATCCTGTCAAATAATTCAGAAAGGCACTCTGAACTGAATCGAAAGGCTATTACTACTCTGGGCGACACACTTATGAATAAAGGTACCCCTCTAACTATTTTTATTAACTTCCCGTAGGGTAGTTATAGTAATGTACCGAAAATCGAAAATGAAAATTTTTGCATTTCTCGACGTTTTGAAGGTTTCTGAACATTTTAAGGCATACCTCAGAAAAAATTGATGTGTGTGTGTGTGTTTTGTATGTCCGCATTTTTTCGTCCACGTTTTCGGGCGCACGGATCAACCGATTTGAATGGTTCAAAAAATATTCGATTGCTATTGATAGGGAGATGTGCTGATTAGTTTTTGGCAAAGGCAGGTCCGGCCGTTACGGAGATATGGAGCAAAGAGTGCAGAAAATACAAATCGAGTCTTTCAGGGATCGGAGTATCGGATTTGAATGATTCAAAAAACATTCAATTGTAATGATTGGGAGAAGTGGTGATTAGTTTTTGGCAAAGGCAGGTCTAGCCGTTACGGAGATACGGAGCAAAGAGTGCAGAAAATACAAATCGAGTTTTTGAGAGAACGGAGTATCGGATTTGAATGATCTAAAAAACATTCAATTTGTAATGATTGGGAGAAGAGGTGATTAGTTTTTGGCAAAGACAGGTCCCGCCATTTTGAAGATACAGAGCTAAATGTGCAAAAAATGGCAGTTTTTGAGTGAACTAAGCGTCCGATTTGAATGATCTAAAAAACTTTCTGCTTGTTTCAACAAAATAATTGCTTTTGGAAAAAAAAATTTTCGTTTCTAATTTTTTTTTCAAAAAATATTTTTGTAAATTTGGATTAAAAATTTAAAAAATTACCCAGGCTAAGCACAGTCTAAGCGCCACTCTGGTACAAATGTTTACCCTAGTGCGTTTAGACTATTTATGCACTGGAGCACTTTTCCAATTTTGTGAAAACTATTGAAAAATGTGAAAATGCCGCCAAGCTAAGCACAGTATAAGTGAAAATGTCGCACAGAATTATTTGCAAATGCGTTTAGACTGTGACTATACGGGAGCACTTTTTCAATTTTGTGTAAATTAGGCAACTATTTTTTTTTTTTTTTTTTTGAAATTGAATTCGAAATGAAATGACGATTGTTAATGTTCTGGAGATAAATTGATTTATGATTTACATTTGATTTGCTCAGATATAACAAGAAATATAGCAAAATTAGTGAAAGTTACAGTATTTGTAATAATATACTTAAAATTTCTCGAATTTTTAATTACGGTACGGGAAGTTCCAGCAATTTGCCTTAAGGCACGATGCCATACACCAGTTTTCGCATTTATTATTATTCATTAGCTAATTTTATTTATTTTTTTCAGGTGATCTTTATGCTGCACACTTTTGTTACCTAATGGCCCAAGTCAGTTTCGGCAAATACAAAATCGACATTGCAAATTCTGGTGCATCAGGAAGATCTTTGAGTCCAGAACGACTTGTCTTGCTTGGTTCATGCCATTTGACTGGCGAATGCTTTGAAGACTTCGCAAAGAACGAATCCATAATGCTGACAGAAGTTTATGAATACGCTAATGGACTTAGTGATAATCAATTTGTCATACCAGAATTCCAGGTAACATCAGTAACACGATAACAATAAATGAATAATGAATCATTTATTTCCTTTTCCCCAGCCTTACAAGTTTCTTTTGGCTCTCCGTATGCTCGATTGCGGCTTATCGCATCGCACCGTGTCTTATTTAGAATTAGTCTCTGAAAATATTCTTCGGGATCCTTCCAAGTACGATCCTGGTTTTATAAGAAGTGTCTACGACTGGTCAGACAGGCTGAGATATTGCTCGGTCGAGGGAGAAGGTTCTGCAGAGGCTGATGAAGCAGGCAATGTTGCTTCTGGAGGCGCTGCTACTTGGATCGGAAGACTGGGAGGTCTTTTGGATAATAAACAAACACAACAGGTAAATAGAAACTAAAAGAATTATATTATTATATTTGCAATAGCAAGTTTTAAGAACTCCAAAATATTTGGTTTCGATGGTATTCCATCTTTCTTTCTACGTGATTGCTCATCTACTCTATCTGATACACTTGCATTTTTATTTAATCTATCATTGCGTACAAACACTTTTCCAAATTGTTGGAAAATTGCATGATTAGTTCCAACTTTTAAACAAGGTGATACATTAAACATTACTAATTACAGGCCGATATCATTATTATCAAACTTTGCTAAGTTATTTGAAAAAATTATTTATAGAGAACTAATTCCTTCTGTTAGAACTTTAATTTCTATTAATCAACATGGATTTATGCCTGCCCGTTCTACGATAATAAATTTAATTTGTATTAAACAATATATAGCTGAGAATCTTGACATTAATGGACAAGTTGACGTTATTTACACTGATTTCAGTATAGCTTTTGACAAAATTGATCATAACATTCTTCTTACTTAATTATCTATGATTGGTCTTAATTCTTCACTTATTTATTTTTTTAAGGGTTATCTTCATAATCGTAAACAGTTTGTCTATCTTAATGGATTCTTGAGCAACATTGAAAATATCAGTTCAGGTGTTCCTCAGGGATCCATTATTGGTCCACTACTATTTATTATTTTTATTAATGACCTTTCTGATATTATTAGCTGTCCACATTTATTATTTGCAGATGATCTGAAACTATATCTCAAAATAAATTCTATTGACCACTGCTTATTATTACAGTCTCAACTTGACTCTTTCCACTCTTGGTGTATCTATAACAAATTACATTAAATATATCAAAGTGCAAGATTCTCAGTTTTTCACATAAATACTTTTTGAATTATAAAATTTCTAACGCCAGCATTGATAGATGTAATAAAATTTCAGATTCAGGAGTTCTTTTTGATTCTGGTTTATTTTTCACTGACCATATAACTGATATTTGTAATGGAGCACATAAATCTTTAGGTTTGATACTGAGAAATTGTAAACAATTTAAATCTACCAATGCACTTCTTTGCATGTACTATTCTATTGTACGTTCAAAATTAGAATACGGTTCGATTATTTGGTATCCTCATCAAATCAACAACTCTGATGCGATAGAGAAGGTTCAGCGAAAATTTCTGAATTACCTTTATTATAAAACATATAAAATTTACGCAGAACGTGGCTTTGACCACAACACTTTACTAAAAGAATTTGGTATTCCTTCCCTTGCCTCACGTCGATTTATCTGTACAATTTTGTTCTTATTTAAACTTTGCAATAATTCTATAGACTGTCCTCTTATTCTCAATCAACTATCCTTTAATGTTCCAAGGCTATCTACGCGTTCACAATTATTTTTCAATTATCCTACACCTAAATCTAATTCACTCTTAAATTCGCCTATTCTACTTATGTCCTCTAACTTTAACTTAATTAATAATGAAATAGATATTCACAATACTTCACCTAATCAAATAATCTCCATCTGCACAAGTTAACCTTTTTATTTTCTTTTCAAATATCTTTCATTATTTTAACTTATTATGTAAATAAATAATATTGTTACATTCTGCATTATATGTAATTTTATGTTAAGCATTCTATGTTAATAACTATATATTGTAATTTTGTATATATTTTAATTGTTATTCATTATGTAAAATAATTGTATTTTTGAGTCCTCTTGGAGAAATCTGTGGGCTATATATTTAAATAAATAATAAA